AGGGACAGGAGGGGGAGTAGGGATGCTGTCGTCAGTAAGGGGAGTAGGGACAGGAGGGGGAGTAGGGATGCTGTCGTCAGTAGGGGGAGTAGGGACAGGAGGGGGAGTGGGGATGCTGTTGTCAGTAAGGGGAGTAGGGACAGGAGGGGGAGTAGGGATGCTGTCGTCAGTAGGGGGAGTAGGGATGCTGTTGTCAGTAAGGGGAGTAGGAATGCTATCGTCAGTAGGGGGAGTAGAGATGCTTACGTCAGTAGGGATAGGCACAGGGATATCGATGCCAGTAGGGATGATGGTAAGGTCACTATTGTCAGTAGAAATATCACTAGAGATAACACTAGAGCAGTCGTCAGCAACAACATGAAGGGGCTTACTAGAGATATTGGTCCGTGTCGGAAGTGGGTGTAAGATATGCGCGGGTGGACTATAGATATCGATTTTGCCGTTAGGATAGCCCCAGGTACCGGTATGGTGGAACCATTCCAAGTAGGTCCGGGGCCTGGAAGGAAGAAGTCCCTCGAAAGGGTCGCGCCTGTGATTCGTTGACGTAAGCCAGGCAGGCGTTGGGTAAGTACGTCGGGGAGGAAGAATAGGTGAGCGAGGGGGTTTCTCCTCGGGGATGCAAGGAACAGGAGCAGGACGAGGTTGTGGTCGAGAATCGGTGAAGCGTGAAGAACACCTGCTACCGCCAGAAAGACTCCGAGGAGCAATCTTGCGGCGTTGAGGAATCTTTGGGCGAACATCGAAACTAGGAGAAACAGCAGCAGAAGAACCAGAAGCAACATAACCAGAAACAGCAGACACGGAAGCAGAATCAGAAGCAGCACAATCAGAAGCAACACAGGAAGCAGGACGAGAAGAACCAATAGAAGAAGCAGGGTAAGAAACAGTAGAGGGCGCAACAGAATAATCAAGACCAGCAGGACGAGAAACAGAGCAAGGGTCAGAAAGAAAAGGATCAGAAGAAGAATGAGACGGTACAGAAAACTCAGACGAAGTGGGGGGATAACAAAATGTTTGGGGAGAAGGAGCAGCAGAACGAACAGGAGTTGCAAACCAAGGACGAGGAGAACAAGCAGAAGATGGAGAAGAAAAAGTGAGGGCAGCAGTATAGGGGGGCTCTGGATGGGGAGTACTGAGGGACGCAGGGAACCATACCTTCTCAACGTTAGTGGCCCACTGGGGCGCATCAACCTGCTCCTCCGCCTCCGACTCTACACTTGGCAGAACCGAAGAGGATTTGAGCAAGTCGAACACAGATGACCCAACGGAGAGTCGGGGTGAAGGGGTTGTTGCAGGGACGGCTGAAAGCCAGTCAGTAGTCGACTGCTTCTTGACTTCAGTGGGGAGGACAGGAGCCCAGCTGGTGAGTTCCTGTATTGTAGCTGGTGTGATCGAGTCATCATAGCCATAGTCTAGAGACTTGACCACTGATGTCCTCGAGTTAGGAGGGGGAAGGGGGGGAGGGTTAGAGGACTGATACCTCTGATGCTGATGCACCGACGCGTTGGAAGGAGGGCGAGGAGGGAGAGGGAGGGTAGAGGACTGGTACCTCTGATGCTGATGCACCGACGCATTGGAAGGAGGAGGGCGAGGAGGGAGAGGGAGGGTAGAGGACTGGTACCTCTGACGCGAATGCGCCGACGTGATGGAAGATGAGCTGGGCGCCCCAGGAGCACGCCCAGAAGAAGAAGTGATACGCACAATGCGAGACATTGTAGAGTATCTTGTTGCTGTCAGTGATCCATTACAAATGAATGGAAGGCGTACGCATGTGTTGGAGTGGACTTACGAGAGAGGGGGAAACGGATGGAGGAGAAGGAAAAGGAAGAAAAAGTGGGCGAAACGAGGGATACTTATACTTGCAGAGGATCACCAGCGCGCCAAATTGGCGTGTTATTTCAGAGTTCAAAACAAACAAGACAGAGTCCAGAACAAGCAGGTTCAGGTTCAGAATAAGCAGGTTCAGGTTCAAAACAATCCGGATCGAGGATAGAGGATGACGATTTTTATGGCTGGGCCTGGCGAAATACCCTGATGGTTGTTCGTAGACCAAACTCAATACTGATCAGGCAATGAACATCTGGCATAACAAGAAGCCCTGAAGGGTAGGTATCTTGTACAAGAAAATGATCAAAACAATCCGGATTGAGGATAGAGGATGACGATGTTTATGGCTGGGCCTGGCAAAACACCCTGACGGTTGTCTGTAGACCAAACTCAATATCGATCAGGCAATAAACAACTGGCATAACAACAAGCCCTGAAGGGTAAGTATCTTCCACGGGAAAACAATAACCAGTAATCAATATCATCCGTAGGCTTCTTATCTCATGAAGATATTGGAAATTCTAGCCGATAAGATTGAGTTTTGATATCATATCCGAGGAAGGAGCGTGCCTAGGCCCGTAGATTGAAAGAGAAAACAATAGCAAATGTAGAACAGCTTTTGGTGACTTACCACAGCAGATCGATCATTGAAGTTGAAATTAAGCCCTGAAATCATTCGAATCAGTTGACAAACCCGAGAAGGATGCATGAACGAAGTCGCATGAACGAAGTCCTTCCCAACGATACGACTTCGATACACCGAGCACTGGATCTGCAAAGATGCCATACAGATGAACTTCAAGCCAGCCTGAAAGATATGTATCCCACAGGCCGCCACGTCCCTTCTCAATGATCTCTTATGGCGGCTTTGGCTAATGGAATCTGCAACAGAACCGAACGGTGATTTAAAGCCAAGTGCTACTATATTCAGAGATAAAACAACCTCGGACCGGAGCAGGTTGAAGGCAGCATCCCCTTGACAGAATTCCCTTTCTCTGATGCCATGATATTTCAAGAAATTGGACAAGTGTTCGTGATGAGTACAAGGAGATAACTGTCGAGTACTGATGGAGAGCAGTCGTCTCTAAACAAGGCAAAGATCATTTATCAAGTACAAGCTGCACACTAGGATCGCGGCAGGCCATATAGAGGGAGATCCTAAACCAACTTCACCGGGGTTATGGTCAAGTAACTTCCACCGAAGAGTAGAAAATTGGGGACATTTTTGCTCTCCTTCTCCTTGTATAGAGGGCTTGAGAATTGTGACCTTCATTTCTGCCCCTCTTCTTGACGTTGAACCATCAGCAAGAGCAAATAGGGAAACTCGACGAGGTGTCGTTAGAATTGGAATTGTGGCTGGGTATTTTGCCGAGGATAACAAGATCACGTGTGAACTGATCGAGATAACTGCAGTCCTTTTCTCTCCTTGGCCGACTGTTTTCATCCAATATTCCATGGAAGCATCTTCCAAAACTAGGAGAGCTTGGGAGCAGCTGCCGGATCTTGTGATGCGGAGATGAAACCGGATTGTGAGAGCTCTGGGGTTGGGCCTGTTGACAAGAGATTGTATCACTGGAATGTGTGAGAATGAGTTATAAAATGATTGCTCCCACTTGGAAGTTGGTCGACTGCAACCTTAATCAATACCTAGCACTGGCGGAGGGTATGCTGATCGAAGAGGATGTACCCAGACATGAAGTTGACACTTGGAAAGAGACTGTAGGATGTCTGAGGAATTTCATAAGATGCTCTCCTCGGCGAAAGTATGGGTGGGTATATGTGCCAAGGTCAGGTTCAGCTCCAGTTGCTCTCGTATTGTTTTCCAATCTCTTGACTGTCCTCATCAGAGAGGTCAATTGCCTCGAGAGGAAGAGGAAGTGCAACGCCGAGATCTATGTTGGATGCAAAACATAGGGGGTTGGTCTTCCTGCCTAAGGTATCTAAGGTGTTGTCTTGGAGCGTAGCCTTAATTACCAGGCATTTATTATTATACGGAAACGCAAACTCCGTACTTTCCCTTCCAAGGACTTCCTGAACATGAAGGAAGCCAAGTGAGAGTTGCGTAGGTCAAATAAATTGAAGCGTTTCATTATTCGAGCTTTTTGATTTATGATATTTATCATCGGTCACTGGGTGCCTTTTCTAAGGTACTTTCTACCAATCTTTTGTGCTTTTACGGTTCTCTTTGTTCTTATAGGTATCTGTGTATCTTCGGTCACAACAAGGAAACACGGCCTGCTGGCCCAATGGCAAGGCGCTTGACTACGAATCAAGAGATTGCAGGTTCGATCCCTGCGTAGGTCACATGTTACGAATGAACACCTGTTCATTCATCTTTTTCTTTTTTGGCTTTTTGGCTTTTTTTCTTTTGGGCCTTCTGCTCAAATTGCTGGGTTGTACCTAGATGGAACGCTTTCTTTTTCCATTTCGAATTTTTTTTTATTTTCAACCCCCCCCCTCTCTCTCCTCCTTTCACATTGACGATTCCCGCCACGATGACAACGTACACACACGTCTTATTATTAACTGAGGCTCTTGCCGAGCTTCGAAAAGTAGCAAGGCGTATGGAGATGGATGGGCCTAACTCGCAATTGATTCCATAATGTTGTCCACGAACCTCGAGGTCCCAGATGTTGCGCTTGGAGTGGGACAACCTACGCAAACATTATTATACAAAACACATTAATTCTTCCCAAAATGTCTTATGGTATGTATCGTATTCTGCGTCAGCCATCAAATTGGTTCAGAAACTCCCATTATATAAAATTGCTGAAGATAAAGATCTCCAATCCTTCGGAACCCCCTACAGCATTCAACCTTCAACCTTCAAATCCTAACTTTTCCCACAACAATCTTCTCCTTTACTATTATACACATGACTTGGGATATCACCTTAGGGGCGGGGTTTTGTTGCACATCGCAATCGACGCTGATGTCCCAGACGTTGAAGGCGTTTCAATGGCGATGACCTTGTCAATCACGTGATTTTATGCACGTGAGTGATATCATAGGTCGGAAACGAGAGTTTTGTTGCACATCGCAAGTAGCGTTGACCTCCTCGGCGCGAGATTGTCATCACGTGAGCATTTGATTCCGGCGTGTTGACTTCCTTACCTAACTAAGTACCTTCAACAGACTGAGTAGGAGCTTGGAAGGATGTTCAATGAATGACATGCAGAAGCCAGATTCGAAGCACGTAGAGGGAAACTGGCCGGCCTTTGCAGTATTTTTTTCGAAGTAACAATCAATCAATCAATGTTCTTGCTCGCTCTTGGCCTTCAGCAAGGAGAGTGAAAATGGGATTGTGAAAAACATATGGAGAAGTTGTCTGATTCGTAGAAATGGCATTGAAATGCCCCCTATATTCATTGCATGATGCTACTCTGGATAAATTCCTGATACAGAGGTGTCTCGTTACTTTTACTCATGGTCTACCGTTTATAATAATTTCATGAAGGTATGATGTATTGAACGGAAAGCTGCCTCCGCCTCCGCTTCGCTCCTGAAGGAGCCTCGCCCTTTGAAGAGCGCCGCCCATGCCTGAGCAAACCTTTACCATTTACCGCTCAGCTGCTCAGCTGCCTTATATGGAGTAGGTAAGTTGTGTGGCTCGCCGGCGTTGCCGTCCTGTGGACCTTACTCTGCGGCACGGTGCGAGAGGGTCGCCGGCCATGATGCGAATATTACTTAATTGCTTATTAGCTGGTGCAGAACTCAGATCCTCTCGAATTACTCACTTGCACTCGAACGATTTGAGTTGAAGCCAAGGTACTTTGAAGTCTTCAGAGTTGAAGTCTTTCAAGAGTACCTTATCTTATTCTCGTATGATACGAGCGGCAGAATACAGTTAATATCCTGGTAATGCTGTATAAGGTAATCAAACATACCGTAATCGCATCATGTCCCTTCCTCCCGCCTTTTCTCTTTTCTCTCCAATTCCTCTTGACATCTCTTATTTCCGTGAATCCTTCAAAGATGTTCAAGATGTCAAAAGCCTCAACCTTGAACCTTTTAGCCTCACGATCACGACATCCAAGCCTTTCCTCCTTTCTTCAAGGCTCACGCTGTCAGCAGGGCGGGCATCCCGAAACCGAAGATTACTGGTTGATGGGCCCTGTTCATCCCCCCACTTCCCCATAGCTGCAACTCCGGAGTCCAGACAAGCTTCGAGCCGTCTTGTCAGGTACCGTGAGATAAGGCCCACTGGCCCCTTGTTCCGTACTGCGTACATCTCTTCTGTTTCCGAGCTTCCTCATCCAGCAAATCATTATTAATTTGGATTCTTCTGGATTGCCATGGTATCGCGGGCAGGACCCTGCAGATTGTCAGTGACATGGGCCAAGGCGCCCATAGATGGGATATGCAGAGACAGTGCAGCGATTAGATTGCTCGCGCCATTCCCTGCTTCGCCGTGTAATCGTCACCGCTGAAGCTATCGTGAGCTATCGTGAGCTATCTCAAGCTTCTACAGGATCTACAAGATCTTGCCCTTTTCTCTTTTCCTCCTCATTCTTTCCTTTTATTCTCTTTTTTTTCTCGTCCTGTACAACTCGTCGAGATGTTGCTCTCTACCCTCCTCAGCTTCGGCCTCTTCCTAGGCAAAGCGTGGGCAATTCCCCCGCACCCACACCCACCCGGGCCCGACCATCTGGGCGCCGTTGCTTCTGAGAGTTCAGTCTGCTCCAACATCGGGATTGACATCCTGAAGGAAGGTGGAAATGCCGCCGACGCGGTATGCCGTTCACCCCCCATCAATTGACGACCGCGAGCTGACGTGCGTAAAGCTAGTAGCGACACAGTTCTGTGTCGGGGTCATTGGCATGTACCACTCTGGAATCGGCGGTGGAGGATTCATGCTGGTCCGCGCAAGCAATGGGAGCTACGAGTTCATCGACTTCCGGGAGACGGCCCCTGCTGCGGCCTTCGAGACCATGTACTCGCCGCCGCTGTCGAACTCGAACCTCTCCCTCTACGGCGGGCTGGCGAGCGGAGTGCCTGGTGAACTGCGCGGACTCGAACATCTGCACAAGAACTACGGAACGCTGCCTTGGAAGCATCTGGTCCAGCCAGCAATCAAGTTGGCCCGGTACGGATTCACGGTGACGGAGGATCTCGTCCGGTACATGGAATCTGCGACGGCCGGGTCCTACGATTTCCTCACGTACGACGAGACCTGGGCGCTGGACTTTGCTCCTAATGGCACGAGGGTTGGACTCGGCGACACCATGACCCGGAAGCGCTACGCCAATACCCTCGAAAGCATTGCTGAGTACGGGCCGGATGCTTTCTACCACGGTGCAATTGCGAATGCCACCATCACGGCATTGCAGAAATCCAATGGGACCATGACGCTCGCGGATCTTGCAAACTACACCGTCGAGATCCGACAGCCATCCAACATCACGTACCGCGGCTTTAAGATCCACAGCGGGAGCGCCCCATCGAGCGGAGCGGTGGTGCTGAGCACGCTGAAGATCGTGGAAGGCTACGATATGTCGACCCCATCGGCACTCAACCTCTCCACGCACTACCTGGACGAAGGCATGCGTTTCGCATACGGCCAACGCACCCTCCTGGGAGACCCGACATTCCTCCCCAATCTCACCGCCTACCAGGAGAACATGGTGTCCGAACAAACCGCCGCCGAGATCCGCAGCAAGATCGAGGAGTACCACACCCTGAACACGTCCGCGTACGACCCGTCCGGATTCGGCATCTTGACTGACGACGGGACATCGGCCCTCGTCGCCGCCGACTGGACGGGCCTCAGCATCGCCGTGACCAGCACCATCAACACGCTTTTCGGCAGCCAAGTAATGGTGCCCGAAACGGGCGTAATCATGAACAACGAAATGAACGGTTCGTCTCCCCCTCCCCCCTTTCTTCCCTCCTCCCTCCCTCCTAACTAACTCCCCTTCCCACTCCCAGACTTCAGCATCCCCAACACCACCAACGCATTCGGATACGCGCCCGCACCCGCGAATTTCATAAAACCGCACGCTCGCCCCCTATCCTCCATCTCACCCACCATCGTCGAGCTTCCAGACTCCTCCCTATATCTCGCGCACGCCTCCGCCGGCGGGTCCCGCATCATCACCGAAGTCATCCAGCACCTCTGGCACGTGCTCGATCAGAACCTAACGTCATCCCAATCGCTCGCGCAGCCGCGCATGCACGATCAGCTGTCCCCGAACCTGGTCTCGTTCGAGTGGGGCAGTGAGATCGAGGGCGTGCAGGGGTATAGTAATGAGACGGTGGCTTTCTTGAGGGATGTTGTGGGTGCGAATGTGGGGTGGGTGGCACCGGGCAGTACGACGGCGCAGGCGTTGAGAAGGTTGAGAAATGGTACGTTTGAGGCGGCGGGTGAACCGAGACAGTTGAATAGTGGGGGCTTTGCGGTTTGATTGATTGTCTTGAGGTTTGGGGGGAGGGGGGAGATATATATTCAAAAATGTATGTATATAGGTACATGTATATGCCGGATATGTGCAGCCGGAATAATACTAGCTAGGTACCTACCTTAGGTAGGTGGGTATCGAACTGTACGGCATTTCGAAGCAAGGAGTTGGAAAAAAGAAAAGGATATGATATGATATCATGGAATGAGAATAAAAGGAACGTTCTCATGTTTACTCCAGCCCAAGAAAGAAGCTGTTAGTAGATGCATCACAAAACAATCATCTTCCAAGTTTATAATAACATTGTATTCTCATTCACTACAGTTTAATTACAAGGCAGGAGTACCAAAGGCGCCTGGAACGCGTTGCACCGTCTCGGATCCATAGACAGATCCATTGAGTGCAGAACGTTCCTCATAATTTCCACTCTTCGAAGGGAAAAGTTCGGGAGGAAAATTTCAGAGGATGGGAGAAAAACGTGAAAGCATGTCGTGGTTGCTTAAGGTATTTAGAGGAAGAAGATGCCCGCGCCTGACAAGACCACCGTAGAGAGATAAGCCACCCAGCACCAAGATCCGAGAGACAACGAAGCCTGGACAGCGTTTCCAGCACTCTTCTTCCCGCTTGCTGTTGAGCTGCTGCTGCTGCCGGTGCCACTAGCGGCTCCAATGTTGCCGCCTGATGCTGCTGCTGATGTAGCTGCGGCGATGATGCTGGAGCAGGATGAGGCGGCGCCAGCTGGCTTGACCACGGTGGCATTGCCGCCGAAGTCGCAGGCGGTGGCTGCTGATCCCTGCTCGAGGTAGTAAGCATTGAAAGCGTTAGAGAGCTGGTCCTGGGCGTTGCAGCCGAGGTATGCACCGTATGTGCCTTGAGTGGTGTTGAACGCAAAGCCTGCGCATGCTTTGGGAGACAAGCTGCAGACATTGCCGAAGAGCTCGCCGAGGGTCTCGGGGTCGAGGTTGGGTTTGGCGACGCACTTCAAGGTGCTCGTCATGCAGTCGCAGACATCCTTGTTCGGTGTGGGAGGAAGGCCAGTTGCTGCTACCTGCCACTCGGAGCCAACGGTGGGGCAAGCTTGACCGGCGGAGTTGGTAGGAGTATAGGCGGCGGCGCTCACCGTAGATGGGGAGATTTTATGGATCTGAGAGGAGAAAGCGTTGAAGTCCTTAAGTTTGCTGACTGTGTTGCCCGAGACGGAGACCAGACCATAGTCGTTGGCTTCTTCGAAATACTCGTAGACAATGCCTCCCGAGAAGACGACAGACATCTCAGGGCCATAAAGAGCTGGGATTTCGGAGAAGTCTCGTCCAGCAGCACCGTGAGCGTCTCCGGTGTTGCAACCGTACTCAGCGAAGAAGACGGGGACGTTGTAGTCGGCGAACTCCCGGGTGTGGTTCTGGTAACCCGAAGTAACATAGTCCGAAGGGTCGCACCATGAGTAGATGTTGTATCCCCAGAAGTCAATTCCATCAGCGTGGTCACCGCAGTTGAAGTATGCGGCCACCTCGGCACGGATTGTAGCATCGTCGTCAGCAGCGTAACCAACACCCATGGTACGGTATCCCTTGGATTTGATGTAGGCCTTGGTGTCGCGAACAGCGGCCTTGACGAAGGCGGAAGCGGGAGTGTAGGATGCATTGTTGGTAACTTCGTTACCAGCGAAGAAACCGATCACGTTGGTGTAGTTGGCCAAGGAGTCGACGACGGCAGTGTATCGATTGTAAAGTTCGAGGTTCCATGATGGGCTCTCTCTGTTGATGGAAAGCTTGGGCTCCGAAAGATCGCTAATCACGTAGATGCCGGCAGCATCGAGCAAGGACATACATTCAGAATGATCTTGCGTGGGATCGATAGCGTAGGTTCGAATGACATTGGCACCGAGCTCTTGGAGTAATGGAACGTCTCGTTTGCAGGAGGCAGCGTCGGCAAGAGGATCGTTGTAAACAGCTTTGCGTGAATTAGCGGGATGCCCTTCATTTGAAGATCTGTTTGCAGGTGGTCAAGAGCATACTGTTGGTGGATTGGGATGTAGAACCGGCGGCGCCGACACCTTGTTGATAAGCAACGCCCTTGATGAAGAATTGGGTGCCGTTGGTCTTGTAGAAGAACTTGGAGCCCTGGATAGAAGAAGGGTCAGTCGGAGTAATGGGCAATGGGGGACTGACGGGTTCTCACCTGGATCACGATGGGGTCGACGGCCGCGGACGCGCCGTTGAGCAGCAGGGAGGCCGCGGAGAGCAAGGAAAGGAGGGAACGACTGCCCGTCATGGTGGGCGAGGAGAAGACGGGGTTGATGGCAGAGAACGACGAGAAGAGGATTGAAGGAGGGAGAGGGAGAGGGAGAACGAAGGTCGAAAGTCGAAAGTCGAAAGTCAGAAAGAGGCCGAGCGAATGTTGGAAGTAAAAAGGACAAGTCAAACGAAGGAGGCGAGTCAAATCTGCATGCAAGAAGCAGAGAAGTTTGAAGTTCGAAGATCGAAAGGGATGGCTGGAAACGACATGAGATGGCGGTGGGCGGCGCAGTGAGTACTCCGTAAAACGCGAGTCACGCTGCTTTTGGCGCCGGCACCGATAACACGCCGGATTACGATACGATTACGGCACTGGTGGCGCTTTTACCCAGCATTTTACCCTATTCCTGCACGGAACTGTGCCTGGTGATTGGGCCAGCAATACGAGGTCATGTAAACACAGGGAGCCGAGGACACGGGGGCTTAGGGCGGCGCTACGAGCAATTACTCCTGACTAGAGATGTGTGTGCCTGAGGCAAGGAGGGGCATGCTAGACAGAACTGGGAAATCCCGCCAGAGATTCCGCTCACCCCTCGGTCTCTCCCGCTGATCGCAAGAGGGCCAATAATACGCGTAAACGCGATAAAAGTGTTCTAATGATAGCAAATATAGGTAATATTACGTCAGAATATATGGGGTGGTGCACCTGTGGCAGGCTAAAGGTACACGAAGCCCTCAGGGCCTCACCATTGTTACAGTTTGCGACCTACCGTAAGGTACGCCTTGGGTGCCTTAGGTATCACTCGAGCTATACTGATTGAGGCGTACAAATTCTAAGGTAACTGTGCGTTAACTGAGGTGATTCTAAAGTGCGAGATTTCTCTAATTAAGCCACTGTGGTATATTCCAGGTTGGTGGTAGGTGGTAAAACTGAGGTGTTGAAATCCAGGCACGTGATACAGCTAGTTGCTGATTCTAGCGGCTCGCTTACCGAATCTCGGATTTCGCGCCACACAAAAGCCTTGTCGATTTCACACCTTCAGCTTCACGCCTTAACACCGCAACACCACACCCAGCCCCCACATCTTTCATACCTCCACACCCCACACTCTCCCAAAGCTATGGCGTCACCGCAGCCAACAGAAGAAGATTACAACCTCCCAAGCGAAGAACGGCGAGCTCTTCTTCAGCGCTTCCAAGAGGCGCTCGGTGATGTACCCCCCCATTTCTGGGCCGCCTGTCAGTTGTGCGATATGAAGTCGCTAGAAGCCTTGGTCAAAAGCGCTGAGTGTTGCCCGGATCTTCTTGGCCTTGTTATCGGACAAACTGGGAAGGAAATGATCGCATACTGTAAGTTAGATAATCTCGGGTTCCTCTCTGTATACTGCAGGCTGTAGCTAACGTTCTATAGGGAACCAATCCGCCCTGGCGTCGTCGCGTACCACGACACCTCAAACATCACCAAGGTTTGGAGCATCTGGATTATCATCTACAGGATCGGTATCGTCTCTCGGAGGGCCATATGGTAATTCTCCACCTCCTGCAAAGAGACGCAAGACCAGCATAGATCGGTCTGAACTAGAGCGAGAGAAAGTGAGCCTTGAATTCCTTATCTCCCTACTCACTCGAGCTTCTACCTGGCTTGTATTTCTTCGTCTAGCTTAGAATGTGCCACTCTCCCGAATTGTCGTTGTTAATGTTATTGTCGTTGTCAATTCTCTTCTCGTTCTCAATTCTTTTCTCGTTGTCAATTCTCTTCTCGTTCTCAATTCTTTTCTCGTTGTCCATTCTTTTCTCGTTGTCCATTCTCTTCTCGTTAATGATTTTGTCATTGTCGTTACTATTTGTCAAGTATTCTTTCGAGGTTATATTCTGAACACGCGCCGGCCTCTTTTGCATCGTAGTTGAACAGTGCGGCTCTGGTTGAATATGTCCTCTCGTAGGGTCCCGAATGGGATATTGGAGTCTCCGGCGCGGCGCTTGGCCTTCAAAAGGTCCCTAGTAGGAGCAGCTTGTGTATTCCAGTCTTGGAAAACAAAGCGAAGGAATTTCTGCTCGCTCTATTTGTAAAATGTACCGAGAGTTTTGCAAAGTTCTTCTAAGATTGTCCGAGAACTAGAAGAAGAATACTGTCTGGGTAGACCAGGACGAGAAGTATCTTGAGGTGGCTCTGATATCCTAGAGACCCTAGTGACGTAGGAAGGGATCGTGTGCCGCGTACCCTTCTTTGGGACTACGCTATCGAGGTCCTTGTGGTATCCAGTATGCCCTACTTTCTAAACTTGATTGCTAATACAATAAGGCTGCTACGCGAGACGGTTTCGCCTGCGTGTTAACCCTTGATGATATCTGTGAAGTGGCGCACATATACCCGTCTTGTCTCTTAAAAGAAGAGAATGATGCGTTTGGTAATCGCCACATGTTTTGGCGGCATTTGCAATTATTCTGGCCCAAAGAAAAAATCACCGCTTGGCAAGAGCAACTCTTCCCGGGCGACACATATGACTGTGGCATCGAAACAGCTAAAAACCTCATCACTCTTTCGGTCGCCGCACACAGGCTTTGGAACAAAGGAGCCTTTGCCCTGAAGCCTATCTCCGTATCTGATGATCATACTACGCTGAAGGTCCAGTTTTTTTGGCAGATAAAACAACCAGAGGTTGAGACTCAACCAACGATAAGTTTGCTGACCACGCCATCATCTACGAAAGACCTTGAGCGTTTTGGTAGGAGCCGCCTGGTCCATGCCGATTTAAGTGACGGCCTTCTAAAATCAGGAAACATATTTGAGATAAAGACCGACGATCCGGATAAGAGACCGCTCCCAAGCTTCGAGCTGCTCGAGATGCAGTGGTTTCTACAGCGAGTCACTGGCATGGCAGGTGCAGTAGATGTGGAGGTGGATGTAGGAAAGCAAGATCCGGACGATGATATTGAGGATTTTCAACTTGACGAGGTAGTTCCGGGACAAAGGTCTAGACCAGGTCAAAAATCTAGAAGTGATGCTGCCGATGAATCCCCTCCTACGCCTGATGCAGACAGGTACCGAAGCCCTAGCATGGAGGGATCTAAGTATAGCACGGAGGAGGATGAAGCGCAAGGAGGAGTGACTATTGTACAGTACTAGGTCTGGCCTGTTAATTCACCTAGCTTGCTATCTTCACAAAGCAGATGGAAAAAAGAAACCCGTTTTCTATCTATTTCTCTACCTCCCTTCCAGTAACTGACAACAATTTCGATAGATTGGAAATGCTATCTAGAGCTATGGTTCTACTATGCTAGATGAACTGCTAATGTTGAGCGCGAGAATATACGAAAGTGCGCTTCTTCATACTTTTTCGCCTTTAACCAACACCGACTTGGTGACTTTTGATGACGCATCGTCCTCCTCAAGTCGCCTTTCCTAGCCATCTATCTATCTTTTAAGTCTTTTTTAAAGAAAAGGACGCCCGTCCGTTCGTTCGTTAGGAATGTTGGGGGAATCAAACTGAGGTACCCATACGCCATCGATCGATCGGTCGATCTAACCAATCGTTTCCTCTGACAGGTTCGGGAAAAAGAGCCTCTTGCTCTTTCCTTCACTCGCTATCTCTGTCTCTTTCTCTCTCTCTCTCTCTCTCTCTCTCTCTCTCTCTCTGTCTCTCTCAGTCTCTCTCCTTAAAGCTCGTGGGGAAGCCGCAGCTAGGATTACTTCTTTATTTAGATGTTGGAGGATGGGGTCTTGAAGCGTTGCGGGATGAAACAAACGCTAAGATTTGAAGCTTGGGGGCTGCAGCGAGGATATTGGTGCTGCGCCGTTATTATGACAGCAATGTGTAAGAGCCATGGATGGATGGCCTTCTTTCGTCGGTGGTGTGTTGCGGAAATTGGGCTGTGCGGATCTTGAACTCTTGAGATTCAAGAGAGGCCAGCTGCGAGGGAATGAAGCCTTCGTACTTGCACCGGAAGCCCGGGTCAAGAGCGAGGGCAAAGTCTGAAAATCTCTAGCCACTCTCTTCACGATTAAGTTCCTGTTGACTATCATTCTTCTCGATGCGAACTCGATAAGACTTCTCGACTCTGATATCAGCAGCATCGCCGTCTGATTTCCTCGTCGCGGTCTCCGAGTTCGAGACGGTGGCCTGGCTCTTGACGCCGTCTCGGCGGAAGCTATGCAGTTGCACTTCGTCGGATACGGGCATCGAGTCGCCGGTGTGGCGCGTGTACGAGCTTCGCCAATACCGGGATCCGTGACGGCCGCGGAAGAAGTTCAGGATGGGTTTCAGGGTGGGGATGGAGCCGCAGACGGTGATGAGGAAGAATTCGGCCGTCACCCATGCGAAGATGTCGTAGGTGGCCCAGGTGAAGTCGGACCGGTTGGCGAGTTGGGAGAGGTAGGACGTCTTGATGCCGGAGCAGATGGCGGTCCTGCGATCACTGTTAGCTACCTGCTTGCGCTGTGAAAGGGATGATTCTGCGTACAGGATGTTGAGAGCAAACACGATGCACAGGGTGGCCTTCTCCTGGAACCCGATCTTCAAGCTCCAGAAGATAGTCGAGGGGATCAAGGCCAGACTTGCGTCAACGAAGGTATTATAAGCTGTTTCTCGGTCAGTTTTTCTTTAGGCTTGATGATGGCAGTACGATGCAGAATCAGCCTACCCCCCGTGAATGTCCCAAAGTCGGCCATTATGGATGGCTTTATGCAATGGCCTTTGATCCTGGTATCCCACAACGCCGCTGCAGGTCTGCATTGCGCGAACGTGAGCACCGAGCAGGATATACAGACCATGCACACCAGCACCATGCAAAAGACCCACAGATACACCTTCTGCCACACGCGGTGGGTGTTTTGCATAATCGCCAGTATCAGTGCTGAGACGGACACTTTGCCCGCAGCGACGCCAATGATGCCTGTTGTGCAGGTAAGCTTGATGATGCTCATGCAGCCCTACCACGGGTAAAATCATACCAAAGACCTGCGCAGTCCAATTGAGCAATTGAACTTCGGCGATGACATCCGGACCCAGAGGCATGACATCCTTGATATGCTTTTCCCCTCCTTTCAGACAGAGGAGCGTGAGGGAGATGGTCCATCCGTAGAAGCACAGCTGCGCGCACGGAATTCAGCGAAAATCCACGGCGGAGAGAGAGAGGGGGGGGATGAAAGGGGGACGGACCAGCGCCACGAGCATGAAGAGATCATCCCAGCCAATGATGGCTTTCCGAGCACGGAAGACGAATCTCAGAACGATGGTGATGCTCGACACGACGGTGCACACCCACATCAGAGCCATGAGGGACGGACCTCGGTTGGGCACGGAACCTGATGATGGGGCCGCGGTAGCCATTGTTGCTGTGGTCTCCAGAAGCTGTCTCCTCGCGAAAGAGTGGTAAAGGAGGCGAGTTTCTGTGGCTCTGGGGGGAAAGGGGGAGAGGGGGAGGTGGGAGGGCATAAATAAGTAATACTTTTTGTGTACATCAAGACATTAATTGTTGTATCCCTTCCAACTACTACTGCCCTCCCGACGACTCCGTCCCAAGATTGTCCCATGTTTTTCAACTCCCCGGCCTGAATCCAAGCCCATTCCATGCTAGATCCTCGCTCTGAGCCGGGGGGTTGATACAGATTCTACTATTCTACGTACAAGGCTGTCCCTCGCGGTGGGTCAAAGCCCGAGAAGGTGCAAGTTCTATGCCGTGACACCGTGCTATCAATTGCAGCAGTAATAAGAACAGTAGTGGGGGGGCACAGGTACGTGAACATAGCGTTGGTAGATCTCTCCACGATGGCACGATCCCTTCCTGTTCAATGAATTCGCTGCAGAACCCGAACATTGGCTAACGGGCCGTTCGGTTTTGATAGCACCATGACATGAAAAGGGGGGCTGCTTCTTGACTTGGCCCCGTCCGGAGACATAAAGGTAAAAATCGGGACCCCTTTTTCTGGGACCCCTTTTTCTTCATTACTCTATATACATCCGTCTCCTATGCAAGCCCCGAGTCCCCCAGGGAACCACTTGTGTAACCTGACTCGTCCCAAGGCTGATGATCCCCAGGTTTGTGGCGTTGAGGAGAGAGGAGAGTCCGAGGACAGACGGGGCTCTATCTGTGCGTAGAAACACCAAGAGGGGGAAATTTCCGCGGCGGGACAGATGATGCTCGATGATTGGCTGCACAGGGGTGCCGATCCTGCTGGGACGATCGGCGGCGGGATTACCCCGTAAAGATCGCTCGATGGCTGGGCGATTAGGTGATTGGCGGGGCGGAGCGGGGAGGGGCGCTCTGGTCCTCCCCTGGTCCCGGTCCCCTTGCTGGTCCCTCCATGACGACCTATAGGGTGCGCTCCTCCCCGCCACGCCCCGACCCGTGCACGCCGGCTCACGAGTCAGTCGTCTCGGCCTGAACTCCCGTGTCGAACTGGCCCTTGACTCGATGGTTTTTATGTATGTATGATTTGTGTCTGTATGTATGTTATTTGTGTTATTATTTGTGTTTGTCCCTTGGCCAGTGGCTGCATGCCATGCATCTAGGGACTTCCCCTGGCAAGCCTCAGCCTTGAATCCTTGAATACTCCTGTAATGACCCCTCGCCCCTCACTCCAATAGTCATTATTAATCCCACCTTCCATACCGACGGCTCCGAGTCATTATTCTTATTCTCACTACTGTCCTGACCTGATTCATATATCATATATCTGTTGATCACTATCAATATATCCATCCTGTTATCGACATCCCGCCATGGCCGACGGGAAGATCGAAGCCCAGCCCGCCGTCCTGCTCGACCAGTTGCGCGCTCTGGTCGCCAACCCCGAGGCCTTCGCGTCCGACAGACAGGAGATCATCGCGTTGGCCCGCCAGGCCGCCGTCGCGCTGGAGGAGCCCTTCGAGACGCTCCAGAGACTGGTCTACTCCGTAAGTCAGGCTGAATGACTGACTCGGGAGCCTCCCAAGACCGCTGACGGATGCCGTGTAGCCTCTCCCTCTCATCACGGCGCGAGTTGCCCAGGACCACAAGATCTTCCAGACCCTGTTGGAGAATAAGGATGCCCCAACCAGTGCCGCCGTCCTGGCCCAGAAGACAGGGATCCATCCGACACTCCTGGATTCCCTCCTCGAGTACCTGACGACGCAGAACATGGTGGGGGAGGTCTCTCCCCAGCAGTACACCCCGACCAAGCTGTCGAACCTGCTCGTCGCACCTCTCTTCGTCGATGCCGTCGTTCACTTGTAATCCATCCTGTTCCGCTCTGAGCTTTCAATCCATTGTCTGATCCTTTTTCCTTCTCTAGCCACGATAACTGTCTCCCGGCCTTCAACGCCCTCAACTTCTCTCTAGCGCACCCCTCGGATCCGCGCACCCCCTTCGAGATTGGCCACAACAGCCCGACGGACTTCTATACTTGGCTCGAGACCCACCCCGTGCAGGCCGGTGCCTTCCACCGGTTCATGGAAGCCCAGTTTGCTTCCCTCCCAACTTGGCTCGATGTCGTCTCTTTCCCCGATGAGTATGCCCAATCGGCCAGCCCAGAGACCCCAATCTTCGTTGATGTTGGGGGTGGAATCGGGCAGCAGGTAGGCTGATTGCTTCATTGTCTTCGAAATGGAGAAGTTTGAAGAGATGGGGACTGGACCCCTTGATCACAACGATTGATCGGTTTTGTGAGCTTGGCTGTAAGTGAGAAATCATCACTGACAGATAAAAAACAGTGCGTGGCGTTGAAAAAGAAATTCCCTTCACTCCAAGGAAAGATCATCCTCCAAGACCGCGCCGCCGTTCTAGAAAAAGCAATCGTAGGAGACGATGTCGAGAAAATGCCATATGACTACCTAACCGAACAGCCCATCAAAGGTAACTCTCTCTTATCCATTCCCATCCTCTCCTCCCCTCACTGACCAAATTACCCAGGAGCACGCGCCTACTACTTCCGCCAGATCTTCCACAACAACAACGACGCCACCTGCCAAAAGATCCTCGCCTCCCTCCTCCCCGCCCTCGGCCCCTCCTCCGTCATCCTCATAGACGAGAAAGTCCTCCCCGATGAGAAACCCTCCGGCACGTCGGTTGAGTATACCGCGGCTCTCAGCTTGGCCATGCTGGCTATGTTCAAGGCGCTGGAGAGACGAGAGAGTCAGTGGAGAAAGCTGTTGGGGGATGCAGGGTTCGAGATTCGTGAGATTAAGAAGTTTACCGATTATGGGGATAGTGTCATCGTGGCGGTTAAGAAATAAGGGAGGCGGTTTCTGAGATGTGATAAGATGAGATGGAAGTCTGGCGCTCTTGTGATTGAGATTGCTTTATCGTAAGACACTTCTTCCTTTATAGATAGATAGATACTATGTAGGTAGGTGTAGGTAGAGGTAGCTAGGATACGAGATGAGGTAGGCAGGTAATGCCTGTTATGACTTTTTGAATATGAAATATACGAATCACTATCATGCGTTACCATCCCGCATCTACCTACCTAACCTTACGCACGGGCAGCCCTACGTATAGTACCTTACCTTATAGTACCTCGTATTCGCAATCAGCCCCATAGTACGTACCTTACCTTACCTTATCCACCTACCTACCTACCTACCTGCCTACCTAGGTAGGTACTTCGCACAGTACCTACCTAGCTTATGTAATCCACGCTAGTAAACCCAACCTCACCTCTTCAACTCCTCCTCAAGCTCCAGACCTGAAGTATTGCAATTGATCCCCAATAGATCAAATAAATCATCTCTACCTACTTTCTACCTAACGCCTCCTCTTCTTTCTCTAGATGAGCAAGCTTTTGAAGTTTTGAAAGCATGGAAATATATCTCATGAGTCCTGAGTTATGAATCTGTCTGCATAAACCCGGAATGAATTCTTTGATGGACTGGACTGGGATATGGGTAGCTGTGAAATTTTTAGTTTTTAGTTTTGTCTGCTTGCTTTATGTTGTGCGAAGGATGGGTTGAAGGATGGGTTGAAGTCAACCTCGATGAAACGAAACTCAGATATGCCATGATATAACCATATCATGGTACGGAGTATAAGTTATCATGTGTACCTAAAGCAGAGGATCCATTGAATCTTTCGGATCAAGAACTGAGAATGAAGAAGGAGTGATGGGGATTAAGAGGGATGGCGAGGTTGGTGTGCTATGCTTGGCTACTAGGTATGGTATCCCAGGTATGGAGAAGAGACGGAGAGCAGGGGTTCTTGTTGCATATCTTAAGGTATCGTCGACACTCAGCTTTGGGATTTAGCATCACGTGCCAGTGTACGGGTGAGAGGAGAGGGGGTTTTGTTGCACGTCGCACCACTGCCAAGCGTCGGGGTGTTGAAAGTCGTTTTGATGATGTGGCTGTGGGATTGAGCATCACGTGCAAGTACTTGTGATGTGGTGAGAGGGGGGTTTTGTTGCATATCGCATCTGACGTGTTTCCCTAATGTTGATGCATGTTTTGAAGAGGAGGGGCTTTGTTGCACGTCGCACCACTGTTAAGCGTCGGGGTGTTGAGAGTCGTTTTGATGATGTAGGGTTGATCTCAAGTGCGAGCGTACTGAGCAGGGGTTTTGTTGCACGTCGCACCTGGCCACCGTACTTGGAACATTGCTTTTTGGAGTGCCCTACAAGCCTTTGCTGCACATCGCATTAGCGATAGTCCTAGGGGTGATGAGAGTGAGTTGAACAGCTGTGGGATTGAGCATCATGTGCTAGGATACACGTGATATGTATGTCTTCACGTGATTACATTATCCATTTTTGGCCTACCCAAGGAATCAACCAAGGGGCTCCAGGGGGAGCTCCTGAGGGATTCTACAGCTGTAATTCAAATGAGATACTGTAATCATTGGCAACAACGGCTGGAGTAGATGGTTCATATCTTATATTAGCCATTCAGACTCTCAGTCTCACTTGCGATACTTGCGTTCAAAGGATACCTAAACTTGGGGGCACCTCCTAACTCACGATATCAACTTAATCCAGTGTGATTTGTGATATCCTAATTTTCATTGATATCTCCTAGTCTCCATTACTGGAGTCCTGCTCTGATGATACAGGCAGGATAACATGTCAAGATCTACTTCTGTTGATAACATACCCTCAAGCGCTCTACCTTTCGATCAAATTCAACCTTCTCCTAATAATGACCTGTTCCTCTCTCTTCAACACGTGCTAGAGAAAGACCACAGCGTACTAGCTGTTGTTGGCCATTTCGATGAGCCTGTCGTGTGATTCGTTGAAAAGAATCCAACCTCCTCCTTTTCCGAAAATGCTGCCTCCCATTGGTCGAAAAAAATCCGACCTCCTCCTTTTCTGAAAATGCTGCCTCCCATTGGTCGAAAAAAATCCGACCTCCTCCTTTTCCAGCGCACCGCTACCATTGGCCGACGAGCGTCCGATCCCGTGACTTACGGGCAGCGCCCATTGCAATAGGGGTGAATTGACAATAGGAGAAGGCCAAAACCGACAATAGGAGGGCGACATTCACGCTCGATTCTCCTCGTCTGTGAATAATCCATCCACACAACCACAATTCCAATTTTCCCACCCTACTAATTTCTGTCAACACCAACCACACTTTCCTTCACCACCAACAACCACAAGCTCTCGTACCAATTCAACTCAAGCAATACCAGATCTTGTATCAATCCTTCTTTACAATCGTCAAGCTCACTCACTCACTACTCTATTCAATTCCTCCTATTGATCCACTTCTCTAGTCAATCCCACCAACAATACTCTTCTTGCGATCAAGTCCTCTACGAGTTCTTGTACCAACAAGAGAACTATTAGATCTTGTATCAACTACGAGATCTTCAATCCTTCTTTAGAGTCATCCAACTGACTACCCAATTCCTCTTACTCTCTCTCCTCAATTCCTCTTACCGACTTCTCTCTCTACTCAATTCCACCAAGCAACCGCTTCTTGCGACCAGGTCCTCTATTAGGCCCTCTACAAGTTCTTGTAAGTACGTACCCCCTCAAGCACTGGAAGATCTTGGGCTAATCGTTCTTTACAGTCATTGAACTTCTTATTCTACTCGTACCGACTCTTCTACAAGTTCTTCTTGTAGGAATTCTATTTGAGACCAGATCTTGATCTTCGATCAAGACTTCTTCACAGTCATCCAACTCACTCACTAGTCTACCCATACCTTTCAGCGACTCTTCTACGAGTTCTTGTACGAATTCTACAAGATCTCGCACCAGTTCTACTCAAGAACTACCAGATCTTGATCTTCGATCAAGACTTTTCTACAGTCATCCAATTCACCCATTCCTCTACTCATACCCCCCATCTCCTTCTCTCCTCAATCCTCCTATCCTCTTCTCCATCCAACTCTCTATCAACCAACCTCTTAACTCAAACTCCCCACAACCTTCTTTACCTAACCCCACCTACCAACCGCAAATATGGTCGGCACCGGTAGATACAGACAGGAGCAGATCCACTTCATCGTGCAGTCCAAGCGCCAAGGCATGTCCAACGCCGACATTGTCGTCCAATTCAAGCTCCGCTGGGTCTTCCACGACTTCACCATCGGCAGCGTCAAGTACGTCGTCAATAAATATCGCAACGATCCTACGTAAGTGTTCCCTTCCCCGCAATGCATCCCACCACCACACTCTCTAACGAAAAATCCAAAATCTAGTTATGATGCCCCCCTTGTCATGCCTCCCGTTCTGCAACAGAACCAGGCTTATCACAATAACCTTGCCATGACCGCTGCCATCGCAGCCGCTCAGGAGTTCACCCGCGCTGGCGGTGTCCTCCCCGCTGATTTCCCCGGCTTCGTCTCTGGCTCTGGCTCTGCCCAGCAGCAGTCCTCCTCCATGACCACCACCACCACCACGAACCCGCAATCTCAATCCGGATCCTCCATCCAGCAGCCCATCAACCTGGATGACTATCAATACAATGCCTATCAGCCCCTGGCCCCAAATTCTGAATCCCAGCCTATGGCGCCGACGCCAGCTCGCAATCCGAGACACCGCCGCACTCAGGGTCGTGGTCGTCAGTTGGTCGGCACTTATCATCCGGCTCCTGCTCAGTGGATGAGAGCTCAGCAGCAGCAGCAGGAGGAGATGCAGGATGCACAGGAGGAGATGCAGATGCAGGCTCATATCATGGACGCGTTGAATGCTGCGACGCAGTTTTTGGATCCTAATTTGGACCCTAATTTGTTTGCTGATGGTAGTCAGTCTATGATGGCTCCTCCTCCTCCACAATCTTCTTCTTCTTCTTCGAATGCCGCAGCGGGAGCTGCACAGCAGTTCATGAACCCTCGCACTTCTCCGCAGTCATCTCAGCAGATGCCTTCTTATGGCTCGCCGGGAACCCAGCAGTTCATGAACGATGACTTTTATGGTGCGGCAACGCGCAATTCTCCACAGTCATCATTTCAGCAGATGCCTTCTTACGACTTGTCGGGGTCTACCCAACAGTCAATGAACGACAACTTTTATGGTGCTGCAACTCGCACTCCTCCACAGTCATCACAGCAGATGGCTTCTTATGGCTCGTCGGGAGCTGCACAGCAGTTCATGAACCCTCGCACTCCTCCACAGTCGATGAACCCCCCTCCTTCTCCACAATTTTCTCATGGCGCGGCGGGATCTATCCAGCAGTCCTTCGACCACAATATGTATGGTGCTGGAAATCAGTCTATGGCTCCTCGTTCCTCTCCACAGTCTTCATCTCAGCCGATGACCCCCCGCCAGTACGGAGGAGCCGCTTCTCGCACGTCTCCACAGTCTATGAGCATGAACCCTCCTACCACTCCACGGCCATCTTCTCAGTCGATGTCTGCGTACGGCTTGTCGGGATCTACCCAACAACCCATGACCCCCCACCAATACGGAGATGCTTCTCGCACTTCTCCACAGTCCATGAACCCCCCCACCACTCCACGGCCATCTTCTCAGTCGATGTCTGCGTACGGCTTGTCGGGATCTACCCAACAGCCCATCACCCCCCACCAATACCAATACGGAGCCACGTCTCGCACGTCTCCACACTCTTCATACGGCTCGCCAGGATCTTCTACCCAGCAGCCCATGACCCCCCAACACTACGGAGCCGGCAGTGTATACCTAGCTCCTCGTACCTCTCCAGAATCCATCCGAGAGATGACTCGTCGCGTCTCTACGCCGTCCATGTCTTCTCGTTACGACTTGCCGGCATCTACCCAGCAGTCGATGAACCCCCCGCAGTCGATGGCTGCTTATGGATCTACTCGTCAGAGTAAGATTACTCAGTATTATGGCGTCAGTGGTCCGCAGATGACTCCTCGTGCCTCTCCACGTCCATCTCAGTCCATGAACTACAATCAGTATGGTGCTGGTGGTCAGAATATGGCAGCCTCTCGTGCCTCCCCACAATCCTCTCAGTCGATGGCTCGTGCCTCTTCACAGTCCTCTCAACAAATGAGCCACAACCAATATGGTGCTGGCAGTCAACACATGGCCGCTCCTCGCGCCTCTCCACAATCCTCTCAATCGATGGCTCGTGCCTCTTCACAGTCCTCTCACCAAATGAACTATAACCAGTATGGTGCCGGCAGTCAACACATGGCCGCCCCTCGCTCCTCTCCACAATCCTCCCAGTCGATGGCATCTTACCAACCATCCCCCAGTGCGACAAACACCGCTCGCCAACGCCCTGCGGCCAGTCAGGCCAATCCAAACCCATATCCATTTGGCAATCCTGCAATGAACCCTTACCTATATCAAGGCGGTACTCAGCAGATGACACCTCATCAACATCAAGCCGGACAGCCAATGGCCCCGCGACGATATTCAGGACAGCCCATGGACCCGCGCCAACTCCAGCCCGGTAGACAGCGAATGGGCCCTTATAGCCCCCAAAACATTCGTCAGACCAACATACCTCCCCAAGACGTTCTCACCTCTGGTACTTCCCAATCTCAGCCCGGTACTTCTTATCCCCGTGCCGGCGATCAACCAGTGGCTCGTTCTCGCCCCTATACAGGTAGTCCTGCCAAAGCTGCTTCCGGATATCAGGCGTCCCTTCTGGCGAAAGGAGTCCCTCCATCCGCGGGGTCAGGTCCGACTACCACCCCTCTCAAACTTACTGGCATTAGTCAGACCCGACCCCCTCCAACTTCCGAGGAAGAATTGAGGGCAAGAAAGCTGCTCTTTGCGCAGGCTTTCAGCCATGTCGTGTCGAACCCAGGGATGTTCCCTCCCTACGAGCCTTCGGCGGAACCGGTGGCTCCGGTCTCCCCGGTGGTAGGCAAGAAGAGAAAGGCGGACTCGCCTATCTATGAAGAATCGGCCTCAAAGCGCCGGAACGTGGCTGGCTTTGCTGCAGAGCAACCGATTCTTCTAGATGACGATGTCGCGACCGCTCCTTCGACGCCGCCACAGCTCACTTCTTGTCCCCCTGCGACGGCACCGCTAGCTCCGGTAGCCCAGGCCGACAAGAAGAGGAAGGCGAACTCTCCGGACTTCGAGGAACAGGCCTCGCTGGAGGAACCGGCCTCGAAGCGACACGACGTCGTGGGCCTCGGGCCAGCAGACCCAGTGGACTCTTCGCCCTCAGAGGAGGCGTTCGAGCCACTGCCTGCCCCCGAGGGCTATGACCCCGCGGTCCTTCGCCGCATATTCGAGGGCTTCTTCCCGTGCAATGCACCTTCGACAAACCCCGTCCCACCTGCGCCGGGGGGCCAGGATCAGGACCAGGTCTCTGGAACTTATTTCCAAGACCTCGTAGAATGCGGGGAAACTCCAGTCGAATCACCTGCGCCGGGGGGCCAGGGGTTCGCGGATGAGTACCCAGACTACGAAGGGTACGAAGTAGTGGAAGAAGAGGAGCAACCTGCGTCGTGGGACCAGGACTCCAATAGTGTGGCCTCGATCGACGAGGAGTCTGAAGAACCGGCCTCGCCAGCCGGGGAGGATTTCTCAGAGACCGATTCTCTCTTCGGAGACGACGGGGAAGATCTGCCAGCCTCGCAAGCTGATGAAGACTTCTCGGAGTCCGACTCCCTTTTTGGAGAAGGCTCCCTCTTTGGAGACGATGAGGAGGCGCAAGCTCCTCTGCCTGTTACCGAAGAGTCGTCGGATAAGCCCCAGGACGTCCCGTCCCCTGGGCCGGTCATGCCACAGACCGTTAAGGGCAAGCCTCAGGAGTTATTCCCGATCCCTGAGCCGGATATCCAGGAGGAATCCGTTATGGGACGTCAGACATGGGCGGAAAACTTGGTAAGTCTATTTCTCAATCTTGATGCCCTGCCACACAATACCCCAGATACATGCAATTCCCTCCCCAGAAATCCCATTCTCCACTCTGTCCTTCCGTGAAGAAACCATAGCTAACTGATCCTTTCAGGACGCGTTCCTCAAGTTCGACTTCCTCACCGAGGAAGGTTACGAAGAGAGAGAGCAAGCCTTTCTCGCGAACGCGCCCCTCGATTTTCCTAGAGGAGAATATGCCTACAATCGCTGAGGCTATGTTGCGCCTCCCATTCTGGGTCGCTCCTCATTTCCGATGATGGGATTGTATCGCGGCATATTTCCTAGCCTAGCTCGTGCTCGCTTTGCTATTGCAGCACGGAGACTAACGGTTGTCGTCGTGTCAATGAATGAATGTCGCCTTTCTTTTGCGCTGGTTTTTTTTTTCGCCGCCATACCCACCATACTTCATATTGTCAGCCCTTTGGGAGTTACTGGACAGAAGTTTTTGGGGGCGTGGAGACAAATTCGAAAGTTGATGTTTCGATCTTTTCTCATCCAATTCTTGCGACCAGCCTTCGAAGAACCACCACACAGCTCTTCTCCTTCCCCTCTCCGACGGACTTTCATCACGGAATCCCGTCATGGATATTCCCAAAAGCTCCTTTCGACGCTCTCGGCTTGCACATCCTTTCGATTTTATGTCATCGCGGCTTCGATCTCACGACGCAGCTGAGCAACAGCGTTTCGGTCGCTATTCCTGGCGAGGAATTTTATTACTGTGTTAGACCATCAAAAAGCACGAGGAGCTTATAAGCTTTTTTTTTTTCGATAACCATTCCTTCCTCCCTAGAGGACGAGGCGTTTTATAGAGTATGTCGATTTCATCATCATGACTGAATGAATGAAATGAACGACATTTTCGCTCTTCCTCATCAAAACCACGATTCATCAGACTCACTCACGCATTGCTGTTCCAGAGTCACACCAAAACCAGCATTCATCAGACTTGCCTGTTTATTTCACCCTGGAGGCAAGCAGCCAGGTATTACTCGATGCATTTATTCATCACTGTCATCATTTTGCTTTACTGGATATCAGTCAGGGACATCCCAATCAAATCAAATCAATTACCACGAATGAGCACGAATGAAAAACGACATTTGGCTCTTTTCCTCAGGGAGAGCCTGACCAAAACAAAACCACGATTCGACGGGCTTGCGCATATCCTGTTTTTTTTTTTTTGCTCCGGAGAACTCTATTACTCTATTACTCAAATCACTCATCATGAATGAACACGAATGAATGAATGAATGAATGGAACGACATCTCGATGCCCTTCCAAACCACGACTCATGGCAGTACTCGATACATCCATCCATCACTGTCGTCACATCACTTTTCTTCGTTAGACATCGAGCTATAGGCTTTTATTTTCTCTCCGAGTCCTGGAGCATTTTTCCTTCGTCTTACAGAGATCCGGATACTTTCATCAACTTCTATCAAAGTTCACCAATCAATCACCACGAACTCAACTCACTCCACTCAATGAAATGAAATGGAATAATCAACATTTCCATTTCCATTTCCATAATTTCCTCAAAGAGCTAGCTAGCTAGCTAGACTACCCCAAAAACCACGATCGATCTCATCAAACTCACTCACGCAACGCAACGCACGCATACAGCTAGCTAGCTCATCACCTGTTCCATTTCACACCATCGAAGAAGGCATTCTGAATACTCGATTGATCGATACATGTCATTCATCACTGTCACAGAATTTGCGTTTTTTCGATCGACTATTCCTGGAGAGAAAGGAGGTCAAGCTTTGTGATGACATGAAGCTATTATAGACTCTTTTTTTGAGATTCTTGCATGAGGTCTTTTTTGGGGGGGAGGGAGTATGTTGATTGATTGATTGATGAAAGCGAAGAGACATGAATGGCATTTTGATCGTTTGGTTCATATTCAACGAACGGGCTTGCGCATTGCTGTTTGATATTGCCTGGAGGGCCGATAGACTCGATAAATCAATCACGTTGTCACTTTACTTTACTTTACTTTACTTTACGTTTATTAGACCATCAGTTCAGGGAAATCAAATCCCACTCAAAATCAATTCAAATCGAATCAAATCCATTTCTCTGCCAATCTGATTGATAAAACAACCGCGTATGTGAAGAAGTTCGTTCTCCTTAGCAATATTCATAATAAACGTAACGTCGTGTGTAAAATCATAACAATAACAATAACAAAGAAATAGTCTCAGCGAGACAAATAAATTGCCCATACCAAACCAATACCGACCGAATCCTAAGTCAGAAATTGCATGCCAAGTCCCATGATGATGGATGGGATGCAATGCATGCCAAGTGCCAAGTGCCAAGTCCATAATTGTGAATCCCACTTCCCTTCCAATCTACCGTTATTCCATCCCAAAAAAAAGTAGCGCCCAGCCCATCTCAAAACACGACACGACACGACATACGATGAACCTCGTGATTCATTCATGCAACCGCACTCTAGCTCATTCATTCCACAAGGACGTGCTCACTCCAATCGCCCTCCCCATCGCTACTCTCTCCGAAATGCACAGGGCCGAGCTTCAAATAGCGTCTCAGACCGCCCCCTTCGCTGCTACTCGCCCCACTAGAACTACGTCTCGTAGGCCGGTGCTGCTGCTGCTGCTTCTCGATGGATGATGGTGATGATGATGGTGATGATGGTGATGGTGGAGAGCGAGAGGCAGCAGAAGCGGCTTTTTGGGACGTGGGGTAGGAGGCGCTGGTTGTGGGGGCTAGGGTGAGGAAGGTTGAGAGCGGTGGCTGGATGGTGGCAGTGGTTGTGGGGGAGTTGGAGGAAGTCGAGGTGCGGGAGAGGGGGAGAGATGTGGACATCTTGATGTTTGTTTATTTGTTTGTGGAGAGAGGTTTGTGGAGAGAGAGCGGGGTGCGGATGGTTGGTTATGTTTGTATGAAGATGGAAGAGGACTGGAGAGAGGGCGAAGGGCTCCTTTTATCTCACGATCTCGAGGTAATAAAACCTGCTCCAGTAATAAGTGCTTGGATAATAAGTGGAGATACGAAACTGCTTACTGCAGCGGGGTGGGTGTGCTCTGATGGGCGCTCTGAAAGATATGAGATCCTGATGTATGTCGGAGTGTTTCGAGCGGCGATCTCTCACCGGGGAACACGCGGCGTCGTAATCGCGCCAAGACTTGTCTGAGATGAAGTGAAGAGCCAAGAAAACAAAAAGAAGGAGAAGAATGAGCGTTGCATATGGATATCAGAAAGACGTACAGAGAGTCAAGCTGATGTCCCAATGGGGCAATGGAAGCAACACGACGATCATGTTAGCCTTACCTCGGTTCTAGCGGTAGTCGTTTCAACATTTATAATCTTATGATTTAGGCCTCTCAGGAGCCGTCGGTAGATAGACCCCGCGTATATTAATGATGTCATCGAGTACAGTGTCCGAGTAGTCTAAGTAGATAGGAAGAGGATTTCTAGTATTTCGAACTAACTTGGAAGGTATTGTCTTTGGGGAAGCCGATAAGAGCTTTATCGTGATTTCGCTTAATTATCAGTTTAACCTGGAACTGTCACATGAAAATAAGGTCACATGATATCATCGGTTACCTTGATGGGGGGTCTTTTGTATGTCTGGTAGCTTAACCAATCCACAGACTCAACACAATGATCGAGTCCTTTTCTCCCGTTTGACATTGACCACCAACTTGACCTAACAGTCACCGTCGCCGTCGTTTTCTTCTCCATCAGTATTCAGATTTCCAATATCGTCTTCATCATCATGGCTGGAAAACGCAAACGAGAGGAATCTCTCTCAAACAGTCCACGCCGTCGATCTGCTCGAATTTCTGACATGCGATCCTCAGCTTCCGGTACTACTGCCCCTCTAAGCAGTGTTAGGAGTCTCCGTTCTCGAGAGATGTCTGCCTTAACAGGTGTGTCAGAACTCTCAACAGAGGAGGAATCACCTGTGAGGTTCAATTCCCTTGATCGTTTGTGTTAAGTCTGTGGATTGATCAAGCTACCAGACGTTACTATATACATGATATAAGTGAGGGGCACATGACAACACCAGAATCATGGACTGTCCTTTCTGATCTAGCTCGAAGACGCGTCAACAGATATGAAACCAAATCAAGAGGGTCTTTGGAGAGCAAACTGACAGCCTGCCTACTTGCGTGTATTGATCATCTTCCCGACGGCGGAAGAGAGTCACTTGCTAGGAATATAAGAAAGGCGGATACGGATGATGATCTCCATGCTGTCTTCTCCAGTCTCTGCACCGGTCTCCTCTGCCCTAGTAGGTTGGAAATGATCCATTTGGTTGCTTCATTAACTGGTATAGTGAAAGCCAACAGTGCACGTGGAACCATAACTCCTTCGCCACATTCCCAGGGAGAAGAGAATGCTGAGATGATGCTTGCGAGATTACTAGATCCCAATCGTCGCAGCTCTGAGTTTCGGGATACTCTCTTACGTCGCGACGATTATCGCTGTGTCGTCTCTAATCAGATGGACCAAAAGCGTTATGATGAGATTGGATCACCAGATGACATAAACAATGCTGAGGTTGAAGGTGCTCACATAATACCGTTCAATTACGGAAAGTGGAAAGATACGCCAGTATGTGTTAATTCATCCTCTGGCTCTCGAGAAATTATTAACTTTAGATAGGCAGCTGCTCAGGAGGTTAGCAAGGCATGGGAAGTCCTGTGGAGATATTTCCCAGCTGTCCGTCGCTGTGGCCTGAATATAGACAATATAAACGACCCGTCCAATGGGATGACCCTATCAGAAAGCATTCATAGGCAGTTCGGGCGGTTCAGTTTAGCCTTTATTGCCACGGTATGTACTTGAATAATCTACGGATTCACAATCAGTTCTAACAGAGATGCGAATTTCAGGAAATCCCAAATACCTATAGAATCAAGACCTACCACCATTTCCCCAAATTTTATCGACAACATTTCCTGCCTCCGAATGATGTAGTCACATTCCAGGCAGCAGCCTCGGATACTGGAGATATCAGTAACTGTATTCCCCCACCGAACCCTATATATCTCGAATGTCACTACAGGATTGCAGAAATTCTAAATGCTTCTGGAATGGGCAAGGCGATAGATCAGAAGCTGCAAGACCTGGAAGATCTGAAGAGCATGAGCCATGGACATATGGCACAGGATGGTTCAACAGACCTTTCTCGCTATCTGAATCTTGCTTTCTGGCAGACCGTTTAAAAGGATGATGGGTTTATCTAGGGCCCGATGGTAAAGCTGTCTGGTCTTGCTATCAGTCACTCAGCCCTTCCGCAATCTGATTCCGCTGCTTTTGCTTTTTTTCCTCCCCCCCCCCCCCCCTTTTTTTAGGGCTTTGTAAAGATACCCAATTATAATAAAATGATTATTGATTCGATTCGCACTACCAGATCCTATTGTCAAAAGTCCGAGAATCCGAAGTCCTCGCAACTGAAGTCCTTGCCCCGAAACTACGCTCAAATAAATCAGAAAATACTGGGACTGCGAAAGAGATTCCGCAAATTTTCTGACATTATATTTCGTGTTGAATAATTATTGCACGGCTTAAGGTAGATATTTCAACGTAACGATTACCAAGGTCTCCTCGTACGGTCGTACCTAGGTAACTAACCTAAGAAATGTTTGGATGAGGAGGAAAATACGATAGATATCAGGATTGGCGATGAGGTAAACTCAGGTAAGAGTAGAAAGCCCTTTTTTTTCTTTTTTCAGAAACGGAGAGCTTTAATGTATGTACTCCTTCCTTCTGGGTATAGATATGGTGGAATAGGTGTTGGTGGTGGTAGAAAGTAGTGGTAGGATCACAGAGACACGGTGTTGTGAATAGCTTCAATTTTTCCTGTTATCGCGAATGGTTTACTATCACTAAGTGGACTGACTTGCGTTGCTATACAAATTACTACTTGGCAACGCGAGTATATAGAGGGGAGACCCTTCAACATTCATAATTGGAGAGAGAGGATGGGAAAGGCAAGAAGATAATCCGGAAGCCTGTGAGCATACGGGATGCGGGATTCCCTGCGGCAAACTGGGTTCAAACCGGGTTTGCTCGATCGAGAGCCACGAAGTCCTTGAGGAACGGGAACGTGTTCGACCGAGACCGAGGATAGCCTGTCCAGTAGGTAACCGTCGGCAGTGATAGGCTTGGTGATGCAAATGCCACACATTCCATAGCTCGTGCGTACGGCATCGCGAATGTCTCACAGCAATCATGATCGAAGCATCACATCCATGATCCAGCATAAGACACGAAGACTTCTTGGCTCGCTCAGCTCCGGATGATGGTGTCACTTACTGCTGGGCGAGGGAGGAAGATATGACGGTGGAGATACCATTGCGCTGTCTGCGCATAAACCGTGGTCCACAAGCCAGTAACCGCGGTGTACAACAGTATCATTGTGTTTCCGAACAATTCCAGTACTTGTAACAGTTGACCAATAACACCTCTGATGATGAGCTTTGACGACGTCTTTGTGTGGTCCTGAAGAAGTGCTCGGAAGAGACGAGACAACCCCACAATTCCAGGGTCGCGATAATGAAGGCCTATCACAATACCGAGGCAAGGACGGCGGTTCGGATCGGGTTATTGGGATTCGGGATCAATCATTATCCAGACGCCCGATTTCTTCTCGTTGCTCTCCAGAACTCGAGAAAGGAAAATGGATGCCCAACTCCACCTGCCCGCAGTTCAGCAAAGTAGGTCACGTGAATAGCGTGAAATTCTCTCTGGGCTGTCATTGCAGACCATGCGGAGAGGCTATGCAATAGGGGTTACCATTGGGATCAAATAGAGAGGGCTTTCCCAAGAAGAGATTGGGTATTCGATCCATAGACCTTAGAAAGAAAGGAGATCAGTTCTATTAATTTCCTGCAGTGCACGTGACCAACCAGAGGATGGAGCCCCTATTTGATGGGCCTCGAGGAGGCCGCCTGTGGGCAGACCTCGCGCATATTAATGATGTTACGGAGTACAGCATCCAAGCAGCTTGGATGGGAAGAGGACTCACAGTTTCGGACCGATGAAATTCTTGGCTCTTGATTGCAGGCTTACAGGAATATGACCGCCCTCAAGGCCTCACAATTGCAACATCGTATCTCTATATAATGCCTTCTTTGAGCTGGCCGCAGTTACGCAGACGCCGTTACGCGCCGTGGATACCTCAAGTTGGACCATTGAGACCTGTGCACATGAACAGTTTTGTACATGGTCTCGATAATACCCTTGCGGAGCGTTCATCACATCAAATATGTCCTCTGGAGAATAGGGGTCATGCCATGGTATGTCCCGAACTTCTGCTCTAGTGGTCTGAACAGGTGTATACGGCCCCTTCGAAGCCGGTTTTTCGGCCAGGAGGCTGTTCGAGACATGCGGCCCTTCGTCGAGAACGTTGAGGCCTGTTGGTTCGGTGTGATTCGGTCCATGTTCTACTCGCAACTAGTTCCTTTCTGATACGTAGAGTATTCTCAAGGGTCAAGAGAGGATCGAAAAAAGGTCGAGAGAGGGTGTTCTGAGTTCTCAGCTCCTTAGAACGGATAGGCGAGTAAACCCAATCCCCTGTCCTCCGTCTGGCGCTTATTTTGCCCTTGCAATTCGCTACTGCACCGGTAACTCTACCGCTCTCGTGCCAGTCCGGAAGTTCTTTTCTTATCGATAGTCGACCGTGATTGACGGAAACCTCAACGGTCTAAGGAAAGAGGCGTGCTTCTCCCTTGCTTCGATTGACATCTAGCTCACTTTCTTGTCCCCAAAATACGAGCAGGCTTTAGGGGGCTATCTTCGAGATGCTACATCCAGCTGGCATGTCCGCTCTTCTTGCAGCAACCCGTTACTAACATAGCATGACGTCGGGTCCCTGCAGAAGGCGGGTCTTGTGCCCCTTCGGAAATTTCTTCTTGAATCGTTCGAGTATATGCCAAGAATCGCAATGGTTGTCAAGGTACAAGGTTGGAAGCCATTCCACATCCCTGAATCGTACGTACCTCATGGCGGGAGGGATGGGGTAGTTGCGGGCGGGGAGAGGGGCGGGAAGCATCTGGTCTATCCCAAAAGATGACTACTCCGTACTGACCTGCTATTCTGTACGTAGTGAAAGGCTTGCCGTGTCTAAAGGTTCAGGTAGCTCTAGCCGGCCGTGGCGGGATGGTTCATGCAGTTTCGCGGGCAATGAATGGACAAGTCTTGTAAGCATTTGCGCCTCAAAACACGTAGAGTAAAAGGACCTCGGTCCCTTCTCGTAGGGATGAGGTTCCTATCGAGATAAGAGGACCATCACCCGCTGATTAAGTGCCAGTCCCCTAGTCTAAAGCAACTTCAGTTGTCGAAACTTCAGAATGTGGCGTTCGAAAACGAAGTAACGTGCGGATGGCCGCTGATACCGAGGCTCCTGATTACATTTTTTTTCTGTGGGTGTAGCAGTATGAACGAGCACAAACGAAAGGAAGAGCCGTTGAAGATGCTGTGGTATGTTGGTACACGGTTGGTGATAATAGTGATTTAATATATGGTGACAGGTCCCGGCCTTCAATCATAACTCAATCACGACGGCAGTCGAGCTTGGCGACCGTTAATGGGACCGCCCGTTCCTCGAGGGTGTACAATATTCGATCCCATGTTCTTACGGCCGATAAAATTTGTGTATCCTCATGCCGAAAATTCGAGCCTTGTCTCGTCGAACAGGAAGTGAGATCCAGCGGTGCTGCAACAGGTTTTCAGGAAGACCTCAGCGGAGCAATGTAGAATCGTTCGTTTCTCCGTACGGAGAACAGTTCTAGACTGGTAGTGGCGTAAGAGCTACATATATAGCGGCCGTATGTGGCGGCCATGCTGTGAGCCGCGGGCTCCAATCGGATTGGGGCCGACCATTTGCCTTCGATTCATTGCCGTCGCACACTTCACCTTGCACCCTGCAATCTACCGGTACCTCCTCCAGTATGGTCTTTCCCTCCCTTCAAATGATCACAAAGGGACTACTCTTACGCACTATAGTGGACACTTGACCCTCCATAGCGTGTGCTGCTTGCGGCTTGGACGTTAGACCTTGGTTTCCCCGGTGGATCATCCTCTTCCTCCCCGGGCCAATCTCAGGTTGTCCATGTGAACCCTCGAAATGGCGGCTAATGGCGCCCCGCGAACCCTGTCGGTATTGATCTTGACCTGCCCACCATGGCAGTATCTGTTCACTGTTCAACGGCCACTCTTCTTTAGCCAACCAGCCAACCTTTTGTGCGCGGATGACGGTTAATTGTTGGTATTGGTAGATTGGGAGGCCCTCTTTGTGATATTTCAAATTTTCAATGGCCGCAACCCAAATCCCAACCTAACACTCATCACATCTATACGGGAACAAACGACCAACAAAGGGCACACGCAGCTCGCAAGCAGGCAGGCATATCCTCTCTCGAGTGTATATCCCACAGATGATGGCAAACAACAACTAGACTGAACCGTAGAGTCGGGAATGGTATGACAGGTCTATAAAGCAACTTGCTGCCTCTGACTTTTGGAGATTCGAAGACTTCAACTCCAACTCATATTGTCGAGCGTCGAGTATTACGATATCGAAGTCTCAAACTCCTTCCAGTAACGTACATTGCGGAGACAATACTGTCAAAGAGGCCACCGACCAAGGGAATTATTCAGGTGAGCTGAAAGTCGAATCTGTTTGACGATCTGTAATCAATTTGTTGATACATCTAGTAATCCCTCTTCCATCCGCGAAGCTCAATTTTTTGGGACGGAAAGCACGTTGAAACCTGAGAGAGCTTGGACATCACTCCCTCCAATAGCCCTATATCCCGGAAAAATGTGCGTTAGATATGTCGACCATTACAGTTGCGGGTGCATATTATACAGTCCTCTCGTCCCGTGTACGAGAGATAGAGACCAGCCCGGCAAGGAACGGGAGGTACACAACCACTATGATTATCCCTGCCCAAATCAGTAAGTACCTTTGACTTGTGGCACTCCGAAATGGCTCTGACAACGAGATAGTTCAGAAGATCGATCCTAGTCGTAGCCAGCTGGGTTCGTGACCTGCGGTCAGCTAGCCTTATACCGGCTTTCCTGAGGACTTGCACTTTTGAGCACTTGCTGAAGTAATGAAACTATGGTTTGGGGGGAAATTTGTGAAGCGCGTATGATAAATTCCTTTCTAAGGCCGTGACTGGATTATTGTAGGAATGGGGCATGTTCTGGGTTTTTGAGGTAGAAGCTTAGGTCAAGAGCACGACTGGAGGGTCTGTTCTGGTATAATATTCAGTCCTTTAACTCAACATATCAGCAAGCTCAATATATTTTGCGGCCAAATCCTGCTTGTGAGCTTGTGAGCTTGTGACTGCTGCAGGTAACAGGTCCCATGGCGTAGTGCGCATGGTCTGCCACTATCGGCACTCTATTACTGGAGTCGTGATGAAGCTCACCTGCACTTCTGAGCGCCAACATTTATTATTTGAGCACCAGAACTCACTTCACATTCGTTCTGGAATCAACGTGAATCACCAGATATATATAAAGATGAGAGTTCTTAGAGAGTCTTCGAGAGAGTGGGCAGCAAATTGGCCAAGTTATCGTCTTCGCCGTCCACTAGGCCCCAGAGCCCCGGCCAGGGGTTCTTCATCCAGTGTATGTATGCATTTCCCGCAGACCATCTGGTATGCTATTGCACCGAAAGGCAGAATTGAAGATATTGAATATTGGCAGTTTGAAATCACGTTTTCGAAGAGATGCGAAACGTTGCATACGGAGATGTTGGAATATTGGAAACCTTGTCTCAAGGGTGGTAATCCTTGCTTCTGCATGCATTGCGGGTTAATCATGTGATGAGGCTACATAATGGGCCGTCTGTGATGGTACTTATTGGATCATTAGGAAGGACTTGCTGCTCTTGATCTGGCATGCAGGTAGACAAGTGAAATAGCCGTGGCCACAACTCCGCATATTGAGGTCGGGTTGATTGGCTCATACTGTGTAGTGATTCTGGGAATAATAGGATTGTTGAAGAAAGGAGAGGGTTAATATGGCTTCGTTTCAGACTACGATCTCCGCTGCCAACACGTATACGGCACATATGCTTATAGGGCTCTCGATGCGAGACGTTGAACCAATCTGCGTCACTTGAGGCTTAAGTTGCCGGTCTATATGCGCGTCTGACAACGGCTAATGGTCCGAGCCGGCGGCGTCTTCTATGGAGTACACGGCACTTAGCAGATTGAAAGCCAGCCGGCCGTCCCAGCTTTCAGCGTGACATCGACCGTTGACGACGTGCGCGTGTGATACAACACCCCCCATGGTTGCAGCCGACCCCTGCGGAAATTGGAAGAGACGCACAAGCGCCCAGACGCACACACGCACACACGCGAGTACTTTTGAGCAGGGGAGAATAGAAAAAGCAATTTAACTGCACGTTACACAGTATTGTGCATGTTTAACGCGATTATTAGACGCAATATGCACCGAGGGCGTATATCCCTCCTGAGCGACGAAAAATTTAGGTGGCGTTGATCCCAATGATACTCATCTAGGAACTTCACCTCATTTGAGAGGAGATGACAAAAGCGCTTTGTGCTTCAACCAGGAAACGTGTGGCTCTAGTTCTTGTAGCATACGAGACGTCGTAACTTGGAGAGTTGGAAACATGCCCACTTCGTGCTTGACAGTTGCAGCTAAGAAAACGAGACCACTCTGTCCCATATCTGTAGCTAATCCAGAACCACGTAGCTCTTCTCGTTTTGTGCCAGCAGCTTGAGTGCATGGATGAGGGCCCATTGAGGGGTTTCTCTCCACTGGGAGATTCCTGATAGACTCATCAGGGGCAGGTTTTGGCCGTATCATCCCCAATTTACTTCCATGGAGAGACTTTGTGGGTAGATTCGAACCATTTGCGAGCGATGAGACGTATAGGCGTATATAGATATGTTCCGCTCTTTCCAAGTGGTGCGAGGTTCTTTTGTCGTTGAGCCGGGTGCCTTGCCGCTTCTAGAAAAGCCGTTGCTGCTTTTAGCGCACCTTTGACATGTAAATCGTCCTGTACATCATCAACCATCAAATCCGAACAACCACCGTGACAAATTTCGGTCTCGGCCGTTATACTATATTACTTGTGGCGCTGTAATCCAGAAATTTCATCAGCCATCTGAAAAGTCACCACGTTCACGAATGCTTCCCAGCCTCTTCCGCACCTCCACCTAGTGATCGAGTGATCTCGAGCAGATGTCTATCGATCTTAACTGGGAGACCCTGACGACAGGACCCGATGGAGAAGCTCTAGCGGAAAAGATTCGAGATTTTGTGCATGCGAAGTTTCAAACGGTGACTTTGCCCCGTTTTATTAAAAGCGTGAAAGTTCACGTGTTCGAGTTCGGGTCCATTGCACCCCAGATTGAGCTCAAGGATATCTGTGATCCTCTACCGGATTTCTATGAGGAGACAGAGGGCGACTATGGGGATGGGGATGAGGAGGATGAGGAAAGCTGGAGACCAAGAGATGGGAGTAATGAGACATTGAGGGGACGAAGGAAAGAGGAGAGGAATGGCGCCGAAAGGGTCACGCATCTGCCTCCATATGTCGATACCAGGCTACCGAGAATGAGACCGACGCAATCTGCTGGAGATACTGGATCTCAGTTTCTTGGTATCAGCACACCTGGAATTCCGGGAGGGACATCAAATTTGCATTATTTTCACTCCCAACTTGCTTCCGGGCTCTCGGGCACTCAAACGCCACTTGCTGCCGTGGCGGGCGCTCATCTCCCCAATGGTTGGCCAGATTATACGAACAGTGACTCGGCAAGCGCAGGAGGATATGATTCAGCCAGCGCAAGCTCTCTCTCCCCTCCTCAAACAGCCGACCAAACAGGGCAGCAAGCTCTACACGAACGTGCCAGCGTCTCTACTTTAGCTACTACACCAACACGGCCTCAAACCAGCGAAGGACAGCTCTCGGAAGCAGAAGAGGAGGAAGAAACTGCGTCGCCACCACGCCGGTTTCGCAAGGCAAGAGTGGAAGATCTCCAGACAGTCTTCCGTGTTCGATACAGTGGCGATGTGAAGCTATCTCTCACAGCCGAGATTCTTCTCGACTACCCAATGCCAAGTTTTGTTGGGATTCCACTGAAGCTAAATATCACCGGCTTATCGTTTGATGGTGTTGGGGTGCTGGCGTATATTAGAAAACGAGCCCATTTTTGTTTCCTGAGCCCGGAGGATGCATATGCGGCGGTTGGGCCTGATGGGGGGGAGGATGAGGGTAGAGTCGGAGACCCGGACATGAAGATGGGGGACCTGCTGCATGAAATAAGGGTCGAAAGTGAGATTGGACAGAGGGAGGGTGGTAAGCAAGTTCTAAAGAATGTGGGGAAGGTGGAAAAGTTTGTGTTGGAGCAAGTTAGGAGGATTTTTGAGGATGAGTTTGTCTATCCTAGTTTTTGGACATTCCTTGTCTGATCATAAAACTATCAAAGTTCTTAACCAATCTGTCGGGCGTGATAGATCCCGAAACAATATGGGACTTGCAAAGCAATCCCCGAGTAGCTGGCCATTAGGTCCAGCATGGTATAGTCATCGATTGACATCCTTGAGCAATCACCGTGAGCTATACTCGAGCCTGAAAGACGAGAATATGCTCAGAGATTACAGAGCCTGCATCGGCCACAACCCCGAGACATTCAATGCCAACTCCTACTCGAGCCCTTCCAGACTCTCCACGATCAGTGCTAGAGTGCCGCTAGCTCCAGCTCTATGTTGCTATTCCCAAGCTCCTTGCCCTTACTTCAGGGTAGCTTTGAACCCCTGATATGCAGAGTTCATATCCAATTCCAACTCTCTTGCCTGGTCCTCAGACACTTCCTCGGTAGCCTTCATCTGGTTGAGTGTAATCAGCCACTGCACTATCTTTCCTCTCCCCTCGAAATCCCTATCCGTAACCTTGTTCACACTTTGTATAACGTCCGACAGCAGTGGATGCAATTGATCTTTCGCTAATAACCCAAGCTTTAGTGCATCGAGGAAGGTAATAAAATCTTGCGTGGCCTCAAGAATGAGTGTGCCACTTGTGCCATTGTTGGATGTCGCGGATGAATTGTGTGTCGGTGCTGTCACAGTGCTAGGGAGGCCGATTCGTATACGTTCAGTGGCTCGAGGTACTTCCATCTGTACATGTCAGCTTGTAGGTTCGGCCGCCTCAAGCAGAAACCATACATCCCACTTGCTCTTAAAAGTCTCCAGGTCAACAAACTCTCTCGCGACAGCTTCGTCCGTCAAGAGAGCCTTATACTGCTTTAACAACCTGTCACAAATCTCTGTATAATCGCTTTCCGAGATTGCATCTTTCAGATAGGCTTTCTCAAGCTCATCTAGCGTGATTATTATACTGAAGACTTCGGCAAGGGAGTCGTGGAGATCGCGTTCCGCTCTTGATTCTGCGAGTTTGACTTCCTAGGCGGGGTTAATTAGGCTGACTGATTGGAAACGAGGAAGCAGCAATTTACCTCGTCAAGATTTATTGTTGCTGAGAGCGTCGTGTTGGGTATATAGCTATGAGGTGTAGGTGCATATGCTTGGCGATTTGGATACATTTTAAGGCTTTATTACGATTATTGACAGGAGCTGGAGGAGTTCTATAAAGTTGAGGTCCGGTTCACTCTCAATACTGCCGCGCTAATCCGTCTCGACCGCCTTTACCTCGCCAAAATAGGCTTGGCGTCCTTGATTGGCCTTATCGAAAATCACAAAAGTTCGCATTTTTCTGCATCGCCAAATACTAGGACAATTCGGACAAGAATCGATCCACCAGCATTAAAATGGCGAAGAGCACGAAGAAATCAACTCGAAAGTTCGAGAAGAATCATCTCAAGGATACTCTTGAGATACGAAAAGCTGGTGCAAAGATCAAGCAGCGTCAACAGATCAAGACGAAAAAACAAGCTCGAAAAGCGAAAGACGCTGAATTCCTGGGAAAAGGCAAAGATGACAGCGGGAAGCCGGAAACAAATGGCGCTGCAAAGGAAGATCCTTTTGGAAAGATGAATGTGGACGACTTCTTTCAAGGTGGATTCGAGATTCCTGAAAAGCTTGCAAAGAAATCAAAGAAGCCGGTATCCGAGAAACTGGGGAAGAGGAAGAGACCCGATACCGAGGACGAGGACGAAGACGACTCATCAGAAGCTTCTTCCGATGAAGCGCCCGTGTGGAGCGATACTGAAGACGAAGGTGAAGAGGAAGAGGACACTGGTATGAGCAAGGGCGCTATGGAGGCCCTGGCGGAGAAGGACCCTGAGTTCTATAAATACCTGAAGGAGAACGACCCTGAAGCTTTGGAATTCGACGAAGATGCGGACTTAGCAGAAGTGGATGATCTGAGTGGAAGTGAGGATGAATCACCCAAAAAGAAAAAGCAAAAGAAGTCGAAGGACGAGGACGAAGAAGAAGAGAATGACAATTCCGCGGAGGTCACAAAAGCTATGGTCGCAAAATGGAAGAAGGCTATGACAGAACAACACTCTCTGAGAGCCATGCGACAAGTAGTTCTTGCATTCAGAGCAGCCGCTCATGTCAACGAGGATGATGGGAAGGAGTATAAATATTCCATCTCGAGTCCTGAGGTCTATCATGAACTACTCTTGACTACTCTCCAACACGTCCCGGAAGTCCTTGGTCACCATTTGCCGGTAAAGGAGTCTGCCGCTGGCAAGGTCCGAATTTCAACAGATTCGAAGAAGTTTAGAACTCTCACTCCGCTTTTGAAATCTCACTCGGCCTCAGTCCATCACCTTCTTACCGCCTTGTCCGACGCCCCTACTCTCAAACTTACACTTTCGTCAATCACACCGCTATTACCCTATCTTTTATCATTTAAGAAAGTCCTCAAGAATATTGTCAAGACAATTACCGATATCTGGTCAGATGCGTCAAGCACTGAGGCCACCCGAATCACCGCCTTCTTGGTCATTCGGAGGTTGGCGGTGATAGGAGACCCCGGATTGCGAGAGGCTGTTCTAAAGACAGTATACCAGGGTTTGATCAAGGGAAGCCGCAGCACCACCATCCACACGATCCAGGGAATCAACCTGATGAAAAATTCGGCGGCTGAGCTGTGGGGTATTGATCAAACCGTGGGATATACTACTGGATTCACATTCATTCGCCAATTGGCCATCCATCTTCGAAACAGTATCACGAACAATCAAAAGGAATCGTATAAGACGGTCTACAACTGGCAGTATGTCCATTCATTAGACTTCTGGTCTTGCGTATTGTCCGAACACTGCAGCCCTATCAAAGAAGCCAACACTGGTCACGAGTCAGAACTCCGACCTTTGATATATCCCGCTGTGCAAGTCACGCTTGGAGCGATGCGACTCATTCCCACTGCAACATACTTCCCTCTCCGATTTCACCTCATGCGATCACTTCTGCGTCTCTCAAGAGCAACCGGTACATACATCCCTCTGGCTCCTGCTCTGCTTGAGGTCCTTAACTCGGCAGAAATGAAGAAGCCTCCTAAGCCCAGCACGCTCAAAAGTCTCGACTTTGCCTCCAACTACAAAGCGCAGAAATCGTACTTGCGAACACGAGTATACCAAGATGGTGTTGGGGAACAGGTTTCCGAGCTGTTCGCTGAATTTTTCGTCCTGTGGTCGACCAGCATCGCGTTTCCAGAACTTGCATTACCGGTGATCGTTATGATCAAGCGGTGGTTGAAGGATGTTGGGAACAAGAGCACAGGGAACAAAAACAACAAGGTCAACTCGATGTTTGTTCTCCTGGTTCAGAAGTTAGAGGCCAATAGCAAGTTCATTACGGAGAAGCGGGCGAAGGTTGATTTTGCTCCCAACGATCGGGCTGGTGTGGAAGGTTTCTTGAAGGGATTCGAGTGGGAGAAGACACCACTGGGAGCATTTGTTGTTGGGCAGAGGAAGCAGAGAGAAGAGAAGGCGAAGATGCTGGAGCAGGGGCGGAGAGAGGAAGAAAAGAAGAGGGCGCAAGATCGCGAGAAGGAGAAGGCGATGGAGGCCAGTGACAGTGATGAAGACATGAATGATGTCTCTGAGGATGAGAATTCGGAAGCTGGTTTTGAGGAGGATGATGAGTGAGCTGTCGAATAGAGCTAACACTCGAAAGCGATCAACACAAACTTGTGGGAGGTCCTGTCTGGAGTTCCGGAGTGGATGGCATTTTTTTTCTTAGAAAAAAAGGTCTCTGTGTCTGTTTACTAGAAGTTTGTACCACTTTGTATTGGATAGACTTTGAGCTTCTAGCTTCATGCTGATTGACAGCTAGTTGAGGAATAACAATATGTGGGCGAACTTTCTGCAGACCACTGCGGTTCGTCTGGTCATTCCGGCAGTAAATTTCAACCCCCCTTGACTTTAGACTATCACACCACGAATTATAATAATAGATCTCACGGGTTCATTTCATGCAATACTGTAACTGGATAAGTAGCAGACATCCCAATCAATTATAGATGAAAGTCTCGAAATCGCATAGAGCAACAACTGTGACGCTCTGTTCCAGACTTCTAGTCGAGCTTAGATAAGGCGAGGCGTAGCCCCGTACACGGAAAGATTTTCACACTTCACATTTCACGAAACACTCTCTGCGCACTCTCATCACTCCCGGGACTTCAAATCATCGGGGGACATCACGATAAAAGTCTATCAAACATCACGGAGTTGAAGAGCAATATGTGAAAGACTTGGGTTGATCTTATTATTACAAAAACTATTCTTCGTCTTTCCCTGCCAGTGTTTCCGGCACAGACCGCTACTGAGAATGTACAGTATGTGCATTCATTGATTATTTGATTTGTTACCACACATTATCTCTTTCAATTCTGGATTTGGGCAACGGGAGCTTTGTACACTCATCCACTTTGTGGGTGTCTTGTCCGCAACAACGACATGTTTCCTGACAATCATGGTATGCATGACTGGCACCGCAGTTCTTGCAAGGATAGAAAGCGGTGTAATATCCTCCTCTGCCACGAGTGGTTTCTCCTCGAATACTTCCTCCGCGAATGGCTGGTCATCGAGTGCTTACTCCTGAAGCGTTCTTTCTACGAGTGCTTCCTCCTTAAGTAGCATCCCAAGCTTGGTCTTGAGTATATCTGCTTCCGCCCAGAGGATTCGGCCCACCTCGTCCAGCTGCTTTATTCGAAGACGGAGCGTATCCAGAAGTATTCCGGCTCTCTGGGTCCCAGGAGTGCCAAGAGGACCAAAGCCGGTATGGTCATCACGTCTTTGACGGTTGTTTGAGCCATTCTGCTGGATCTCGTTTGAACTGCTTCGAGAACGCTTGGGACGGAGAGGAAGCCCTTGACTATTGACGGGAACTCCGTCTCTAAGAAACGAACGTTTTGGCTATACCTCAACGACTTTTCATCCATCCAGTTGTTGTCCTTCGCAAGCATCCAGTCCTATCTAGGATATCGGTGGTATTTGAGACCCTTCCAATACTCTGGATGCGCTCTTGCGTCATCGATGGCGAACTCTTTGGTCCATGGCATGAGGCCGTGGACTTCTTCACCTGGTCCAGGCATGATATGCTCAACAGGAGGCTTGGTACACTTCAGCGGCACTCGATTCTGTCTGCTCCGCAGCATGACCTTTGCGAGTCTTTTCGCGGCATTAGGGGCGTCAGGGTTATACTTCGGACACTGCTCGTATATGTGATCCAGCTTGTTGCAGGAGGGACATCCAGGCATAAAACCGTGTTCATCTGCTGGACCTTGACACCGAGCGATGGGATGTCCAGGTTTGAGACAGTTGGCACATGTTTGAGCTTCCTGATTTGTTGCCGGAGGCTTTGCTGCCACATTTGTGTTTGCCCCCGACTGCTTTCCATTCTGACCCTGACCTTGAGGTTTCTTTCCTCCGTTGTCTTCTAGCGAAGGAGCGTCAATGTTCATCTGACTTTGTTGAGAACCCGTGCCTGGTATTGCTGGATCTGTGTCCCGCCGGCTCGATGCTTTGTTGATTCGCCGGACCAGATTGTGACGCTTGTGCATTGAAGGATGAAGGCAATACATGTGGTAATATCTCAGCGGAGAAGTTCCACTCTCTCATAGTGATCATTCCTGCCGGATTACTTTGCTGTGTCATTATCCAAGCCTGACCATTCTCTACTCGCAAGTCGCCCTGGGGAATCTCTTCGACTCAGTCATCTTCGTCTTGTCCTTCCCTCGATTTACTTTTCGCATCTTGCTGCTTCTTGTCCTTTTTCGACTTTCCACTCATCGTACGTTGAAAGGTAGTGGTTGTGTAGATGTTGTGGTGGAAGAAGAGTTGCCTTTGCGCGTTGATAGAACTCCAAGTCACGGGGAATTCCACCCTGGCTACGCGAAAGTTCGACTCCTAAAACAAGTCAATCGTTTTATTTTCAGCTTTATATGAGAACATCATCCCTTGCTTTGCTTTTAGTTGATCAGTCGGTCTGATAAATCTCTGAACACCAAGGCAGAACTAGAACTCAAACCTATGGATCGGACCAAGGAGCTTCTTTGCGTAGAATAGGATCAGTGTCTCAAAACCGTTTATGATCCTCCTTGCCTGTTCGAAATATAAGAAATGTCTTAAGACTTATAGTTTTGCCCCGAGACATACAGAAGCTATAGGTACCTCTTGAATAAAGCAACAGATAAATAATATGTTACTGTTTTGCTATTGAAGAGGAAAGACCCTGGCAGGCAACTGCCTTACCTTAGTGAATATATCACTGCACGTGCCTTCCAGTCACGGGGAGGCTGACCCCGAAACCAAGGTCATATATTAAATTAAGGATTTTGATTGTATACACAACAGGCGCCTAGGGTAACTTAGGTCAGGACAACGTTGTGGTTAAGAGGAGGAGAAATCGGGACAACGCCATACCGACTCGACGACAAAAGATGTAGGCACTCGTAGCGGGCCGAACTTTTTTTTTAATTCTGATTATCCTAATTCCTTTTCTTTCTTTTTTTTCTTTTTCTTTTCTGTTTTCGAATTTCTTTGCCTTTTGTCTCGAGGGTTGTTGCTTAGCCACGGCTGGGTCAAACAAGGCAAACACGTACAATGTTTATACCAAGGAGTTGAGCCGCATCAGACCAGCAAAAAGATGTAAACAAGTGCCTCACCATCTCCAACGCAACATTATCCTAGTCACAGAAGGCGAGCATCTTTCATACCAAAGAGATGAGCTGCTCATAAGAAGATTTACCTTACCTACCCATTACACACGAGCAAGCCGCCTTTCCCACCTCTCGGCGCCCTCATAAACAATGACAATGACTCCCTAAACAATCGCGATCGCACTCCGATCAAGCAAAAAATATTGCTCCCGGTAACTTAACTGCAACGTGATTCTTAAGGTCCTACGTAGGTATCTTTCTGTATGTTTTGAGGGTGGGGGAAAGAAAGGGGTTAGGCACGATTTGATCAGGAACCGCTTCCTAAACGGCTCTTGATGGAAAGAAACTGCGATTCGCAACAGAACTCTAATATGGATAAATACTTCTGTCTATTAGGATACGTACCTATGGTGTCTAAGGTAAAGAGGGATGCAGCCAGTCGTATCGTATCGTATGGTACAGTATCAAGATATAAGGTATTACATTATGTACATATTTTACCTTTTTTCATATTTGGTCTGTCTACCTTGCTTATAAGGGGGGAACATGGGATACCAAATACTAGTGACAAAAGACCCGTAACAAAAAAGAATATTATTGATGGACTCCATTTTCGATCATTTTTAAGCACCTTAGGCATTATGATCAGAGATGGCTAAGGTAAGGCGAGGAGGAGTGCCCTGGTTTATAAGTACCTTAGGTAAAGAAGCTGGGTACTATGCGATGCGATTCTGAGATAAAGATAAAGTGGTCGGTCGAGATTAAGCAACCGCCCCCCCCCTCCTCCGGATTAATCTAAAGATACTACTGTATGAGAATAGGAAAGAGCAAAAGCTTAACTAGGTACTACAATACAATTTTCTCCCAAGTACATCCTAGAAGTCGACTACTCAATGAGAGTATTACTCTTCCTGGAGAACCCACGAGGTATTGAAAAAGAAAATGCATAAGTTTCTCGACGTGGGTAGGTCTGCAAAATGCCGAAGTCACAGAAGCAGACACAAACACAAACTCACTCAACACGAGGTAGAATTACGAACAGAGAAGAAGCTTACGAGGAGGATAGATGGATGGTACTTTGAAAAAAACAATATTTCTAAATATGCTCATAGACGAACGAAGAACGACGACGCTGATGGGACTAATTCTTAGATATGCTACTTCCACACGATCACCTCTCTCGCCTTCTTCAACTATCCCCCTCCCTCCCTGCAAGATCTCAGATCTCTAATCTTTCGAGCTCTACTGATCCATTTCGGCTTTCTGTCTTGGGGGTCGAGGGCTCGAGGTTCTCGATTTTTGTGAGTAGCCAGCAGGATGCGTACATATTGACTCTGTATTACTACTTGTCAGAATGCTGGGGGTTCACATAAGGGGAAGAGAGAGGGGGGACTAACCGATCAATACAGGCTCCTGCAATGCGGGCACCAACTCTCTTTGGCTGGAAGCCCAGAGACTCAAAGGTTGAGATGTACCAAGGCGTCAAGGCTGCTGAACGTAACATGACGCGGCCGCCAAGTTTGAGCACGCGGTTCAGTTTTTCGATCTGCAGAGCAGCGGCTTCGGATCCGGGGTCGAACCAATCCATGCTATCCATCACGACGGCGACGGTAAGCGTGCCGGGAGTCAGTCTGGAGACTACCTCATTGATCTCATCAGTGTGGATACGGAGCCCGTCGAATGCTCCCTTGCGGGATAGCTTCTGGTGGGATTTTGGCTTCAGGTAGTCGGGATGGCACCGTTGAGAATAGCATCCTTGGAGGCAGACAAGGTAGTATGGATTATCTTCCCCAATCAGAGTAGTTTCCACGACAGGATCGAGGGTTTGAACCATGTATTCCCAAACAGCTCGTCCTTTGCTTGACTTCAGCTCCTTCTCAGAGTGCTCGAGCGGAGAGGCCGAGGGGGATTTTCCAGGCAAGCTTTCAGAGGCGATATGATCGGCTTCCAGCATGGCGAGCTGGTTATGAGGAACTCCGAGAGCAGCCCACAGGAACTTCTCTTGGCTGACGACCAGATAGGCAAGTAGACGGGACATCATGAAGGGACGGATCTTCTTGGTCCAAATTTCTCGCTGCTCGTTGAGCGTTTTGGCTTCCAGGAGCTTCTTGACTTCGGACTTGAACCCAAGTGCGGTAGACAGAAGACGCACGACTCTAATTGCATGTCGAGACCCGCCAGTCTCGTAAAGACCTTTGGAACGGGTTGCGGTGAAGACATGTGTATTACTGAGCCAGTATTGAAATGCCCTTGAGGACAGATATGGTGAGAGACGGGAGATGAGCAACGAACGGAAATTTGGATGTTTGCCTATGCCGAAGAGCTTCCAGAAGTCAGCGTAGGGCAACGCAGCATAAGATGCCACTTTGAGTTCCAGCAAATGGTTCTGATTTGGATTGAGATCAACGGCATGTATGCGAGCTGGTGAGTTGAGAGCGTATGAGAGAATGTTATCCCCTGCGGAGGTTATGGCCAATACGATGTCTTCGGGACCTAGCTTGAGAAGGCGTTGGTCGACTCTGGAGTCTTCCCAGGTGAATGCGTAGATGTATTCATTCTTGAATTGAGTGTGCTTCTTCAGCTGGTCATCATAATGGATCCGCCAGTGGTTATTCTGGTAAAAGAATGATGGGAGCGGGAGATTTGATGAGAGATTGACGATTGCTGCATCGAAGGCCTTGGAACGGATCTCGGGAGGTGTTGACCTCTCCACGGTACGAGACAGTGCGTTTGTGTGGTTGATAGGGGAGAGGTAAGGAGACTCGGTCACAGCCGCGTCCAGGCGTTCGACGATCTCGTGGGGATAATTGGGAGTGCCGACAGACGAGGGCTTCTTCGGACACCCAAGCCAGATATAGTAAGGGATGTAGCCAAGCAGATAGTTCCGAGAATCAGCACTCAGTACAGTACCAAAACGATACTCGAGGTAATCACGACGACCAGCCTCGAGCCCAACGCGGTCGACGTCGAACCAAGCTCGCCAGAAGAGCCTGCCAAACCAGTTCACGTGGCGATTGATGACTCCACCAGTGTAATTCCTGCAGCTCAGATCAACGATTGACTGAACGTAGAAGTCGACAACTCCGATAATGCCAGTTGGTGCAAGCAGCGAGGTGAGCGAATCGATGACAGAGTAGAAATCGGGCTTGAAAACTTAGCACGGCTCAAGATATCATGTGCCAGGGAGCTTACAATCATCGACAGGCTGTAGGACAAGGTAATGAGATCTGCACCGCCGACACTTGGACGCTCACTGTCGAAGTAGCCCATGCTCGATGAGCGAGTGAGTCCAACAGCACCTGCAGCACCAGGTTCATGATCCTCGAGCCGGAAAGTCCTCGCATCCTGACAGATGACCTTGACATTCTTCCACCCCAATCGTGTAAATCGTTTCCGAGCTACCTCGCAAAGAGATGGAGAGAAGTCGACAAGATAGACGCTGGAGAAAAACTCTGGGACGGAGACAAATTCTGACATCGCTTCAATGTTCCAGCCCGTGCCACCACCGATCTGTAAGGGAATTGATGAGCTTCGTTGATTTAGTGAGGAGAGCCACTACCCACGTCTACCCAGATACGCTTGGTGTCCTGCTTGCTATCACTCCCAGCCTTTTGGACCAGTTGCGCCGCTACCAATCCCAGCATGTCTTCACGACCGCGCAACAGCCTTCCTCTCGTTGCATCGTACACGCCGGCCTGAGCCTTGTAGAAGCTCTCAAGAGCATCTTGCTGGCCATTCCCGGTACCGTCTCCGGTATGGGGTTTCAGAAACGAGGCATAGAAGAATCGCAGAAACGAGGTCAAGGCACTCGGATTCTCCTCGTCTTCTTTCGATGCATATGAATTTATGGCGAAGATAACGCCAATAAGGAGAACTATAGTTACTCCTGCAATGGTAATTTGGTTGTGGGGATCCTTGGGCAGGATGTTAGGGATAAGAGAAGCCATGATACTCTCTCATTGCTGGGAAATGAGTAGCCGGGTGTTGAAGTAGTGGATACGCGTGCAGCTGAGAGTTGATGAAGAGGAAAGAAGAAAAGAAGAAAAGGAAAAGGAAGAGGGAGAAGAGGGAGAAGATATTGGTACTTGTCCGCGGCAATACACCCGTGAGACCTGAGTCTGTGAACCCCTCAGATCCCCCACGAGTGCCCCTCCATACGCTCGACATGCTCTCGATTCCTCGAGCTAAATCGGACAAACATGTCGACTTTGGACCTATCGTAACGGCACATGGCCGCCGCCGTTTAGGGGTCCAGCACAGCTCTGCGTTAGATTGGCGAGTCTAACCCGCGTGCTGGACATTGATAGTCAGGCAGAACGGTCCAGGGGTCCAAGGCCATACTACTGCACAATTGCAGACGACGTTGGACCTTGGTAAGTTGCCGAGTACGGAGGGAGTTGCCGTCGTTGCCAGCAAGCCTCTGTGGATGTTTCCTGTGATCCCCGCCTTTTCTACTCTGTAAGTGAGACTCAAGTGAAGGATCATCATTTGGACACCCGTCCGCACCTCAATAGCTGCTAGCGACCGGCCCTTTGTGATTGGTGATTAGAGGATTTTGCTGGCATGTGGGTGTAAGTACTCGCATTGAGCGTGTCTGAGGCTTCTTCACGTTGGAATATCGTCGAGGTGAAGTCGGCCAATCACCAGGCGCGATATCCGCACGCTTGACGATCATTGGCTCTGCACAACAACATCGTTCTGCCGAGGATGTCTTCAGTCTCAATGCTATCTTCATTCAAGATGGCTATAATTCGAGGCCTGCAATAATAGCTAGATTGAGCTCGTTTAAAGGTTTCCAATGTTGATTATTGGCCAAAGCTATCTACCTTATCTTTCCTTCCCCTGAACCCTCAGATCTTCTGTTTGGTTGAAGGTTTCCTTGCTCAACGGCGTCAATGTCTGTACCTTGCGGAATTGGGAAGCGAAACCCCCTAATGCTACACTTGCCAAGTACTGCACAAAAGCAATGTCATCTATATCTGGGTATCTCTAGCGCCGAACCCCAAAGCCCAAGTAAAACTGCAAGCAAAAGCCCAAGCAGAATCTCAATCCCATCGCTTATTATTCAAGGTCCTTCCGAATATTCATCCTTTGTTTTAGTTCCTGCGCGTTAGGTCTAGCCTCGACTCCTTTATACCTAATGGGATCCTGTCCCTTGATTCTCTTCAACGAAAAGCGAATCATAGCCACCTTTGGATCTAAGATTTCCTTGTCGACGATCTCGTACAGGCCATCATACCGCACACCTTCCTTCGGTGCATATTTGGAGTTCTTGTTTGCAGCCCGGAGCACTCGAAGTGGTTGTTTCTTTCTGTATGATTCTTCTAGTAACATAGTGCCCTTGGTTGGCTTTGAAGTCTCGCTCTTGGTGCCGCAGTATTCAATTGTCTATACTTATTAGCTACGTACGGGGAGACATAAAGGGGCAAAACATACCTCGCCATGGTCCTTGTCGGCATAGCCACCTGCGGAGACGACTACTGAAAACGCACCCTGACCCGTTTGCCCGTGAATACCTGCTTCTTGTTCTCCGTGTGCGCCGTCTCTTAGAGCACAAATCCGCGAAGGCCACCACTGACCATTGATCAGGTTATTTGAGCCGATAACATTCGGAGATCTTCTCTTCATGTAATCTTTATCGAGTTTATGCCACGTACGCTTTGATCCTGACTCTAGGACTCCTCGTGTAGTAGATATCCCTCGAAGTAGATGTCCATCTAGGTCTCCGTCCATCCACCGCTGCCATAAAGCTTCGGCATCTGCTGCTAAATCCCATGGGAATATATCTTTGTCTGGTCCGTCAAATATCTGCGAGAGACCCTCCGGCTCAAGCACCTTCGATTTCTTGACGAGTACTCCGGTCAAGAATGGGTAGAACTCCATTTCATGAAGTCTCGTCCGTAATTCTGAAAACCACCGCTCTGTATCTCCGTTGTTCTTAGCAGCATCTATGCAGTTCTTTATGAGGTTCTTGACATATTCTAGTGTTGCCTTATCGCCTCGAGGAAACTTCTGGTTCGTGTTGACATTTAAATACCATTCGGAGGCTTTCTTCCGCGTGTCCACTGTCTCCTTTCGTTTGTAGATAGTCTTTCCTTTAGCTCGCGATTGCTTAGCTGGGGCAAAACTTAGTGGAGTGTCTGGCTCCTCGTCTTTGATCTTGATATCGGGCTTGACAGGATCGACGACGGGATTGGTGACAGAATTGGTGACGGGGTTGGTGACAGGATTGGTGACAGGACTGGTGACAGGATCGGCGACGGGGTTGGTGAGAGGATTGGTGACGGGATTGGTGCTGGTGTTAGAAGATGGCATGGGTTTCTTTGGCAAGGGTGGTGCGCATGTTGGGTCACCAGATACATCGTTAGGAGAAGGATTGCTTCCCGAGTCTATGTCGACCATTAGTTGTAGCTAGCTAAGTTGTTTCGATATTCACCACTTACTCGATCTCTTCCGCTTTCTCTCTTCTAGTCCATTGGATGGTGGTAGGATAGGCATATATGTTTGCGGTATAATTCTCGGGTTGTTCTCTGTTCGCATGATACGCTGGTGGCCTTCACCAAGTTCAGCTTTCACCCTGGCCGCTTCTTGTCTCTTGCGGCGTTCTGCGTCGGCGGCAGCCTTTACGCGTTCGCTGAAATTCATAGTGAGTGGTGTAATGGGTGAGTGACTCATGATGTGCTTTGACTCTACGGGAGTCGTGAAGTTAAAAGGCACGTCAAGAGTCACGTCAAAAGACGAGGTGTGGAGGTAGATACTGTGGTTGTCGCGAATATATGGAGGTACTGTACAAGGTAGGTCTTGGGTCTAGGTACCTGGACCCTTGGCGGCCAGATTATTTTAGCGAGGATAAGGACGTCCAAGCCCGTGACCCAACACCTCAATTGGCACTAGTACCGACTTGATTATGCCTGAGCCTGGCTTGATTTCGGAGTGAATGATATATATAAATGCTACCTACTGTCAATCGCGGGTGTGAGGACGATAAAGATATATTATCAAGGCGGAGGTCTCTGGGACACAATTATACCCTGGCTTCTGAACGCGTCCTCCGAGACGGGGGTGCGGGGTCGGAGTTGTGGGATTAGCTGCTTTCAAGCTTACAGTTCAAGCAATCATGAGTAAGTACCTACCTACTGTACAAGCAAAATAGATTAGAGGCTGGATCAGAACATTTCTTGAGAGCTGTCCAAATTCCTCAAAACGGCGCTACGGTGGTCAAAGAAAGGCCAGCGCGTCGTCCTCTTCCATAGATATGCATGATTTATTTGGTCTCACTGGAATTCCACGTCAAAATCATGTCAATACTTTGCTTTATGCATTTGCTACTCGTGATCCGATTCAATAAGCAAACCGCAGAACAATCCTTGTGCAATGCATCCTTTGATTCCACCCCAACCCAACTCTATCCCCCAAAAACTTAGTAGAAGGTCGATGGTCGTTTTTCGGCGAAGAGCTTGGCACCGGCAGACTTGGAAACGCGGTGGGGAAGAGGGAATTTGAGGTTCTTGGTAAGGAGTTGCTTGATGTATGGGCGCTTGACGTCGTCGGTCTTCTCGAGCTCGACGACCTTGAGGATCTATTCATTTTGTGAGTAGGTTGTCTTATACCAGCTTGTGATGGACATACGTGAATCGACCGGAAGCGGGATCGATGTCTGGCAGCCATGTCTTGGTACATAGCCTCAACAGCATCTGTTCTTGACATCTCACGGTACTCCTTGTACATGTTGTGGGTGCCGGAGCGGGAGTCGTATCGGATCCAGATACCGAAGTTCTTGACCTTCAATGGGCGCTTCTCGTGGATCTGGCGTGTAATTAGAAGCTGCATCAGATCAAGCACTCAGAGATACGCACCACGTTCAAGCTGACGATCTCTCCGTTCGCCTTCTTGACCTTTCGCAACTTCATCAAGAAGTACCAGAAACGAGACTTGGCAACCACGGTGTTTGGTGCAAAGATTCTCATCCGGTACAACTTGGGAGTTGGGTTTGCCTCAGTTGGCAGATGGCGGCCAATGACCTGGTATTCCGTAAGACGACCTATTAAATCTTGATCAGCTTCCAATCCACCAATGACTGCAGTGATTCTCCATAGATCCTGCGGGATTGCGACGGTCGATTCGAGGATATACAGAGATGCCGCTAAGGTAATTGATACAATGCCGCCCGACAGTTGTCTTCTGTATCATGCAACGGAAATCCAGGAGTCGTTGTGAAGTAGCCAGTCCATCCCGTTGTCACGGAGCCCTCGCACACATTCTGCAACTCTCAAATGCTGCCGAAATGATGCCTATAATCCCTCACCCTTCCTAGGTGGTCCTCTTGGTAGCCATCGTACTCGAATTCCGCCGCAAACAAATTTTCTCGTCGTCTCGAAGTCGTGGAAATCGGATCCGTCCTGGAGGATGAAAGAAATCTAATGCTTACCCATCTTTGGTATATTAGCAAACGATCAGTAATTCTTTGTCAATTCATGCACTCACTTTGAAGTACTGGCCGAGGTCGATGTCGTATGTTGTCGCTGCTGCTTTGAATTGTCCTCTCTTCGATAAATTGTCGCCAAATTCTGAAGATCGCACTAAGGGCAAAACAATTTCGCAGCCCTCATCACTAAGCGATATATGACCTTTCCTTGTTCGGCTAGACTAGCCGCAGAGCCGCAAAGTGCAGTGCTTGCTGAGGAGTAAACAGAGATGAGAAGGACCCCCTTTGAAGACCTATCTATGCGTTCCGAAGGCTCTGTTCGTTGAGATCTCCCTCGTCTCGTCTCTCTCAATTGTCAAAGACTACATGTTCATCAGATAGTTCGGAGAATATGGTCTTTATGAGTGACGCCTGAAATCTTCCCCTCCTCAGCAGCCGGAATCAGGGGATAACTCTATGGAATTCACCGGTTCTAGCGATTTATCACCTGACAAACCACCAATTTATCATACAAGATGGACCAGGTGTTTGATGAGTTCAAGGACGCCTACGAAAGGGGGGATGGCTATGGTCTCGCGATGACCCTCTCTCCTATTAACCCCCCTTCACAACCAGACAGACTCTATACCTTTTTCCGAAGTACGAACGCGGCCAGTGCCATTCAAGACTTCAAGTATCGCATTTTGTACGATAACTCCACTTCATTCAAGCTGTCTCGTGATGAGGGTAACTGCTGGGTTGATATTTACTTTGCGTACTGGAAGACTGTTGGCGAAATATTGAGTGCAGGAAATGCTACAAAGGCGAACTCCAAGGTAAAAAGTCTTCCCTTAGTGTTACTGTATCATTCTAAGAATACTCCAAGTTGAGGTTCTCTGGACTGTTTATCGATCGCGGGAAAGTTAGCTCTTGGTTTTCACGTGGTCCACAACCACAGGATCGATCCTAAACACTCATGGTTCCATTCTGCGATTTGATTGCCCTAGGTCCAGCATTCAGGCGCTAATATATTTCTAGGCAGCATGGACGAAAGTCTATGAAGCATGGAAAGAATTGACAAATCACCTCGTCCGAGGCTACAACAGCGGTTATTTTGAGGCCTGGACAGTGCCTTGTTTGTACGTGGTAGGCAAATATATAAGAATATTCGCCATCAAGGCAGATGAAGGGGCGGTAAATAATACGGGATCAGCCACGAGCTTCCAAGATGATCTCAATCCTGAGGCAGAACAGAACGAGACACTGGAAGATGCGGCAAGGCAACTAAACCGGCTTTTCCAACTATGTCTCGGTGATAGGTGCGATGTCCAAAAAATTGCATGGAATATATGACACTGATTATTATGATTAGAGCACCGCTTGAGGAGTCGAGAAAATGGGGCATTTACAACATCATCAATCTGTTATTCAAGACCTACTTCAAACTGAACTCTGTCAGCTTATCGAAAAACATCCTCAACGCCATTCAAGTATATCGAGGCGATATGCCCAGTTTTGATGCCTTCCCGATGGCTCACAGGGTGACGTACAAATACTATGTCGGCGTCATCTACTTTCTAGAAGAGGAGTATGCGGAGGTGAGCCTGCCCAAGTACCAATCGCTATCTCATCTCTGACTTTGCCTCGTTAGGCCGAGAAGCACCTCACCGAGGCTTGGCAACTCTGTCACAAGGATGCGACACGCAACAGAGAGTCAGTATATGATCAGTCATGCATCACAAAGCCAGACATACTGACCTTCTAGACTCATTCTCACGTACCTCATTCCCTGCCACCTCATAACGACACATACTCTCCCGACAGCCAGTCTTCTAGCACCCTACCCTCGCCTGCAAAATCTTTTCCTGCCACTCAGCCGCTGCATCAAGAGAGGCGATCTCCCCGGCTTCGATGCCGCCTTGGTGGCTGGCGAAGAAGAATTCGTAAAACGCCGTATCTACCTAACCCTCGAGCGCGGCCGAGACATCGCCCTACGCAACCTCCTCCGGAAAGTCTTTATCGCTGGTGGTTTCGAGGAGCCGAAAGAGCCAAACGCCCCACGGGTGCGGCGAACGCGGATTCCCGTGGCTGAATTCGGTGCCGCGCTTAGTATGGGGGCCAAGGAGACGATGGACACTGACGAGGTGGAGTGTTTGCTGGCCAACATGATCTACAAGGTTCGTCTTCCTCCTCATATCTTCGTATTTCGGGGGAGGCATCCATTCTGCTCAGCTTTGCCTTTTTATCAGCTTCCCCCGATCATCGATTGCATTATTCGCCAGCGGATAAGTCGGGATCCAGCTAACGGAACGCAGAACCTGATGAAGGGTTACATAGCCCGCGACCGCGGCATGGTCGTGCTGAGCAAAGCCGGCGCCTTCCCCGGCACGGGCGTTTGAGCACTTCCTAGCTAAGGTAGCAACCCCCCTATTCCAACCCCTGTCCATCAGCCAGCCCGAACCGCATTTCTGGTTCCCGGGAACCCTACCTCCTCATCTCCCTCCCACCCACCTGGAAATACCCCCTATCGATACGATACGCCCCCCGGCCCGGGTCTCGGTGAGCACATCGATCCAGATAGATATTTATGTACGATTAGCTCTGAAAACCCATGAATTCAAAATCTTCATTGAGATCGAACGATAATGGAAATAATACAACGACGCTTGCCTTTCTCGTCTATTCCCCCTTCTTTTGTTTTTTACCCAGTGTCTGTCTCCCTACCTATGTCTGTCCCCCCTTCTCACGTCTTTAAAGCAGCACCACACCCCCCAAAACCCATACTATGCATGAGTCAACGCTAGACCGGCCTTGGTTCCGCTTACTCCACTTATCCCATCATATCACAACACAACATATCCCCTGTCCCCTCTCAAGGCAAAGACACCAACGTAACCCCCCCCCCCCCCCCCCTAAAAAAGAAGTAAAGCGAACGAAAGCAGAAGCTAGGTACTTATGATTCGTCAATTAGAACAAGGCGGGAGCTCCGGGGGATGTGTGTATGTACAGGGAGTGTACAGGTCCTGCAAGTGTTAGTTCCTACTATAGTTCCTATCTATCTATCAGTTCTGAGCCCCTGAGATAGGTAGAGAGTGTTATTCGGTAGGGCTGTTCGACGATCTGCTATTCCATGATTCCCTAAGAACCTTTCTAAAAAGCGCTGCTTTGCGTGTATTTTGGTCCTATCAAGCGATGAATCTCCTGGATTGGGATTTCAAAGCAGAGAAGAAGGATATCAATCATACCATAAATAAATAATACGTATTGAAAAAATGCTTCCTATCTAGATATTCCTGCTTGATAAGGTACTACACTCCCCAAAAGAAACCCATGGATCCTCCAGACAAGTACAAAAATCCTCCCAGTAACAGGAAAACAAGGAGAATGGAATGGAATGGAATAGTACAAGCATTCTGAGGTTGATTCATTTTTTTCCGCTCTGGTTTTCTTCAACTCAACTGTCGGAATATAGGTGACAGGAGGATGATCTTGGTCGCTGATGAAAAGCAAGCAAGTAAGTAAGCAAAAAATTGCGAAATAAAAGTGCAGTCATGGATGACTGAGAAGAGTAGTGATACATGTTCCTATAAACCATTCCCCAACGCCTGGTATCAAATACGAAAAAGAACAAGTCGTTAGATTCCATTGCAGTTTTGTGAAGGAAGAAGTTGTTGAGAAATTGAAGGGGTCGGAGAGGATTAATGATGAGTTCGTAAGCTGCGTGGCGATCCTCTGAATTTGTCGTCAGTGGGTGTGGTCAAGAAGGAGGGCTAGATAGAGGAGAGATTCACGCAATGCTCGTAACATCATCGACATGATTGCACAACGCGACGAAGAGATCAAAGAACAGTTGGCTCCCTCCAGCAAGCATCTCCAGCTGCATAGTCCCGCTGCGCTTGAAGGTCCCACGGCTCCTGATTATGAGAGCCAGGTAATGGGCTCGGAGTTTGGAGTCGGTCTCGGGCGTGTTGGCGTAGGCGTAGCGTGCCGAGGAGAGGATTGTGCTGCACTGGATCCCGGACTCTGTTTTCCATGTTCAGCGATTAGATTCCAAGATACAGAAGATACGACTACTTACGCAAACCTTGCTTCCTCAACGCAACACGCTTCAGTTCATCTAACCCATATTTCTCCGCCGTGCAATAGATCACCGTATCCTTCAACAACTCACCATCAACACCGTGATGGTAAACCGTTGACTCTACATTTCCGGCTGCCCCATCGCTCGTCTCAAATTCCCATGCGTTCTTCCGCTTATTATGAACCAGCCGGGGATAGTAATCTCCTTTGTAAAGATATTCGAGGACGGAGGAGAAGATTTCTGGTTCTTCGTCGGGCAGATAGATTCGCTTGTTCTGTGCTTCCATGAACTGGCCTCTGCAGGCTGCTTGGAAGAATGGCGATATGCACAGGACGTCTTCATGCGCAGCGAAGAGCCGCTGTTCTCGCCCGACGACGAGTGTGATTATCGATGAGGTTAGAGTACTAGACATGATCATCAGCGACCGTGAGATATCTTTGGCCGTTTGGAAATTATTTACCCTCCGAGCTGAAGAGCCTCCTCGGCCGGAGGTTTACGGGTTCGTTCAGGACGGTCCTTCGACACCGCATGCTCTCTGAACGAAGTTTTCGTCCTCGTGGATCGTCGACTTCTTGAAAAGCTCTCTGTCTGTGATCTGCTAAGGCTTCGACTAAACATCCTCGGTCGCTCGGTGGGTGGAAATGAAGACCTCGGTGTGCAAGTCGAGCACAGGGACCATTCGAAGAGCGCTGGGGACGGGCGTTAAAGTCGATGGAGATTGTCGAGGTGATCTTGGTATGGGCGAATGAGGCTTCCAGAGCACAGAGAGCAAAGAAAGAAAAGAAGAGTGGGAGACGCAACAGGTATTTATATCGTGCTGGTGGTAGGCAAAGACAGGGCGGTCCGAACGCGACGAGGCATCCACGGGGAGACGTGTAGTGACCAACCACTTTACGCGAAATCGACGCCAGAGCAGGTGACTCCACAGTCACATGTCTGGCGCGTTCTCGATTGGGACGCTCGCCCCAGCAGCCCGGGATCACTGCTGCAAAGAGACCTTTAAAGCGGCGATGGTGTGTTCCACCGAGGACAAGGGGTTGAGTAAGTTGATATGATGGGAAATATTTTTTGTTTTTTGTTTTATTTATTTTTTCATGAATAATTGACTTGCCTGCGTCGCTTCGTGGGCACTTCCAGAGAACTCTCAAGGATACTTCGTGTAAATCAGGTTGAAATGTGACGGAGTACTTACTCGATGCACTCACCGTAATAATACTGACTGTGGTATGATACCGTCGCCCTCTCCTCTCGAGTCAGGTACGGCTGGCTGTGAAGACATTGGCAGGGATTTGCGGGCACCGGCTGGTATCAGCTTGCTATTCCAGAGGAGCCTGACTTGATCGATAGAAACGGAGAGAAGTATATTTATCTTTCTCTTCTATATTCTGAGCCACGAATCATCAACCCTTGGGCTGAGAGCTAGGAGCTTCTCCTGAAGCCTGCCGAATAGCCTCCACCATAGCAGTACGCCCCCCCGGCCGCACCAGGACTTCATTGTGTAAAGCCGTAGGGATGCTTTGCTTCCTGACTTTGAGCCCCAACTCCAAGCATCTCCTCTCAAGCATATCACCATGCGAAGCTGGAACCAATTCATCCCTTTCGGCTTCTACAATCACGACATTCGGCGGCGTGACCTTGTGTCTAATCGCATTTTCTTGCAGGACACCCAGGGCCTCCCAACTATCAAGATGATTCCGTAAAAAGGGCCACAAGTGCCGATATGGGAGCCACTTCTGTGGGTAGATCGTCTCGAGCATTGCTCGTATGCTGAGAAACGGCGTCTCTAAGATCAACATCTTCAGTGCAAGTCTCTCCGAGAAGAGAGCCTGTTGCGCAGCCAGGTTTGTAGCAACTCCTGCCCCGATACTCTGACCCCAGATAATCACTGAGACGGGCTGTTTGTCTCCCTCGTCAGAGGAGGTCTCTTCGACCTCGCGGATCCAGTTCAGGGCCGCAGCGGCATCTTGAAGTATCCCCTTCTCCGACGGACGACCTTTCGAGGTCCAGTATCCTCTATAGCTGCAACAAACCATGATATACTGTACTGGAAGAGGGGGCTGCTTGTCTCGGAGCATGCGAAGCACGGGTGATAGGAACGGGAGCCGTGGAGGCAATGAAGACGCATTACCTAGTATATATAAGCTACTGATACAATTGAAGAAGCAAAGGAGAAATGACCCTGGAAATATAAAATATACACTTTCCGCAGTACAGGGGCCGAACTGCTCTCGACACTTGCCACACATAGACTGATCCGTGTCCCATCCCCAGACCTGATCCTCTCCTCCCTCCATGATATCCCACTGCATTGGCTCTGATAGTTCGCTATCGTCTCCCATCGAGCATTCGGGGGCAGGCTAGGCATGTATATGATCTTGTTCTGGAACAGAACCATCATGCAGCACTTCCACGTCCATAGCGCGATGAACAACCCACCAAAGACCGCAGGAGGAACCAATACCGTAGGGAGATCCGCAAAGGCTCGGCGCTGGCGGTCATGTTGAAATAATCCATTTCTTCCCATTCGAGGCGGGACGGGGCTTCGGCCGTGGGCGCATTGCTGATGGCGAGCTGCACGACGCAGAACACGAAGCATTACAGAGAAGGCTCCTCACACCCCGATATCCCAGAAGAGGCCGCTCTCTATACACGTTCCCCGGTCGGTTCTGCTCTTGATTGCATGTCGATTGATGTCGTAGAATTCAATTGCTTTCGATGAACCCGGCCGACGACAGCGACAGCGACGCCGCGCCTTCGCTAGAATCTGCTGCCCCGCCAAAGCACTTCTGTAAGCATCCTCTTGGGATGTTTCGCGACTTCAACAACAAGATATACATCCTCAGACCTCCATCATGCCGTCAGAGAAAGAAAGCACATCTTCGCATATCTCCATCAGCGACGATGCCGAGGCACACGACAATTCCAAGAGCGGGGAGACGCCCCGAAGCAGCCGTGGCTGGGACGGCAAACTGCGCGTCGAGAAGAAGCTTGAGCTTGCCAACCCAGAAGCACTCTCCGACCCCGAGTATTCAGACGAGGAGCAGGTTCTCCCCGGCGAGGAGATTGATGCTGATGAAGGTTTGTCTTTTCGAGCACGCAGATGGTCCGCTTCTTACTGACCCGCTTCAGACCTCTTGGACGATTACCCCTCCGATACAGAGGAGATCGACTGCGTGCATTCCCGCGTCTCCTCGATCCCCTCTCTCCGGCTCGACCGATTCAAAGCTGTGACCCGGCTCTGCCTCCGCCAGAACACCATTACCGAGATTGAAGGGCTATCGTGCGTGGCCGCCACGCTGCAGGACCTCGACCTGTACGACAACCTGATCGCGCACATCCGGGGTCTGGAGAGTCTGACGCAGCTGACGAACCTCGACCTGTCCTTCAACAAGATCAAGCACATCAAGAAGATCGACCACCTGGTGCACCTGACGGACCTCTACTTCGTGCAGAACAAGATCCAGACGATCGAGAACCTCGACGGGCTCACGCGCCTGCGCAACCTCGAGCTGGCCGCCAACCGCATCCGCGAGATCCAGAACCTCGAGCATCTGACGGCCCTGGAGGAGCTGTGGCTCGGCAAGAACAAGATCACGCATCTCAAGGGCTTGGATACCCTGCAGAACCTCAAGATCTTGAGCATCCAGTCGAACCGCATCCGTACCATCTCGGGCCTCGACAACCTCCCGAACCTCGAGGAGTTATACATCTCGCACAATGCGCTTACGTCTTTGAAGGGCCTGGAGAACGTGCATAGTCTGCGGGTCCTCGATATTAGTAACAATCAGGTCGAGAGCGTGCAGGGCGTGAAGCATATGCAGAATTTGGAAGAGTTATGGGCCAGCTATAATCAGATAGCCGATTGGCATGAGGTTGAGGGAGAGTTGCGACCCCTGACCAAGTTGAATACTGTATATTTTGAGGGCAATCCGTTGCAGCTGAAGGCTCCGGGTTCGTATCGCAACAAGGTGCGGTTGATGCTACCGCAGCTTCTGCAGATTGATGCTAGTGAGTACATCTTTATTGCTCGACCTTTTTGGAGATATACTAATGGTAATCTAGCCTTTGTGAGGGTTTCATAGGATGGCGATAATATGATGATACATGGCAACGGAGTTTTATGGTTGGGACATCAGGATCAAGCTTCCAAGATGGCTTTTATAGATCAGGCGCATTTCATGAGATAATGGAAGGGATATTAATTCTTTTGCCTTAAACAACGTGCTGCGGCCAGCTTCTAGGTATCCAAGTGCTACAGGAAGAAAAGTCTAGCAGACAACACACAACGCTGCTACCTCTAACTTAAGCAAAGATGTGCAGGGTTCCGAGGTACTATAGCCATTAGTAAACCGTCGAGTGAAGGGTGGTGGGAAGCTTACATCTGTGGGGTTGTTGAATCTGAGGTTGCGGTCCAGACCACTGATGGCGTCCAGGTCGGCCTGAGCGATATCGAAATCGGTGATGGCCAAGTTCTGCTTCAGACGCTCCGGGTTGTTGCTCTTGGGGATGACGGCCAGTCCTCGTTGGGTGGCCCATCTCAGGAGGACCTGCGCGGGGGTCTTGTTGTGCTTCTTGGCGACCTCCACGATCGTGGGGTGGTCGAAGAGGAGCGGGGCGTCCTCGGCCGACTTGAACTTCAGCTCCAGGAAGGACTGGGGTCCAAAGGACGAGTATGCGGTGACGGCGATGCCCTCGGCTTCCGCAAGCTTCAGGAGAGTGGGCTGCACGAGGTATGGGTGGTGCTCGATCTGGAGAGTGGCAGGGCGGATCTTGGCATATCGGAGCAGGTCGATGATCAAAGAACCTTGGAAGTTGGAAATACCAATGGACTTCGCGTATCCCTTGTTGACCAAGCTCTCCATAGCAGTCCAGGTCTCCTGGATCGAAGCACTGCTCTGCTGCACATCGTTCTTTCCATCAACAGTCCATCCGGGAGGGTATCGCACGGAAGGGTCGACGTATTTGAGAGCGACGGGGAAGTGCACGATGTACAGGTCGAAGTAGTCAATGCCCCAGTCCGCCAATTGCCTCTTGCAGATCGGCTCGACTCGCTCGCCATCGTGGAAGGAGTTCCACAGCTTGCTCACTAGGAAGAGATCCTCACGCTTGACGAGACCGTCCTTGATGGCTCGCGCAACTCCCTCTCCGGCCTCCTTCTCGTTGCCGTAATCTGTAACGTAGTCAGCGCCTCTGTCTTGTTTGTGCTGTGCCTTGCCTGCTAGGTAGGCTTACCGCAAGCTCCGTCGAATAATCTGTAGCCGGCCTTGATGGCATTGTACACGGTATCGGCGCAGGTAGCGTTGTCAACCTTCCAGAGCCCAAAGCCAATCTGGGGCATGGCATGTCCGCTGTTGAGCTTGATCGTTGGTTGAGCCATATTTGAGGATGTATTATGTGTTGATCAAAGGAAGTGGGGGCAGAGTCGAGAGGGGTAATGTGGAACTGAACGGATCACAATGGTCAGTGACAACTTCGCCCTCAATACCGCAGAATAGGGGATTCTTACCGTAGGACGTGAATTGGGTTCAGAAGAAGTATTTTTGTATATTCTCAACAGTAGATTGGGGGGGTGGTGGGGGAGAAAGGTTTCTAATAAATACCCAAATCCTGAAGTACCTAGCGAGAGTTGCCCCGCGATCCCTTTGGCTTCGGCGAATAAATAGCAACGATAGCCTCGTACGGATTCCCACTTTTGCAACTCCTTCCGCCATGGCGCATCATCGCTCGTGACCGCTGGGGCTATTCGTCATGGAGGCTGTGGAGAAGTCGCTGTACCCGTCCCAATAACAATGTGTCGTTGCGGCCATGCTGGTGGAGTTCTGTTCTCCTCCGTTACCACTCTGCTGGTTAAATAGGCTGAAGTTGTGGCGGCTAAATACCTTTACCCGCTCCAATCATGCTCCAACAGCCGTTTGATGTCCCTATGTGGGGTGTCCTTCGTACGCCTTCTACAGCGATCTACAGAACCCAAGTTCAAAGTCAAGGAATGCTTGAAAGATCACTTCTTTCTTCAAACTCATGATGGAGAGAGGAGTCCATGTCAGATCTTTTAGCTATTGCTTCTAAAGCCATCTCCCGTACTTTCGCCCTTTGCAATTACAGAAACGCCTTTGTTCCTTCAATAAAAAAGCAATTAAGAAGCCCTGATTCCCTCCCTGGTCCTAACATACACCTGCAAAAGCTGAAGAAAACAAACCCTCAACCTTGCACCGCAGCAATCGCCTCATCACCTAAATCAGTGGTACGTCTGGACAAACTCACAATAGCCGCGCTCAGCTCCATGTTTGCCTTACGTGCAGCGGTAATAGCGACAAGAGCTTCTCCGTAAGCAGTAATGGCTTGAATGGCCCCCTCCCTCCTCTCCTCTTCGTGGATTCCCCGACTAGCTTGGACAAGGCGATCAAGCTGGTCACGTGACATAGAGAGGAATTCGTCAACGGGAGCCGGAGCCTCAGCATCATCCGGAGGGCTGAAAAGCGGGCTCTCCACCATGCTCTCCTGGCTGGCAACTGGGCTCAGTCCCTGTGCGGATCTGGGAGCTTGGTAGACAGGTGTAGTCTGGCGACGTTGGGCAATCATTGCCGAGAGGCGGTTCTTGAGTCCTTTACCGGCAGTCTTGAAACTGGACATAGTTCCAGATTGGGGCATTGAAACACTAGTCGTAGAGGCACCGGTAGCTTTTGAAGTAGCTTTGGAGGTGGTCTTGGGGGTGTCCTTGGGGGTGTCCTTGGGGGTGATTTTGGAGGTGTCTTTGAGGGTGGTCTTGGGGGATGCTTTGGGTGTAACTTTGGGGGCAACCTTGGTGGCACTGACGGCTCTGGCAGCACTGGCGGCAGTAGGGCGAGAAAGTCTGGATACGACATCTGGCGAGGGTACCTTCGGCGGGTTGGCAGCGGAGGATGGAGAGTCTGCGAGAGAGGACGAGCGTTGAGGGAAGGCAGGGCGCTCTCCCATGATCAACTCATAGGCATCCCGAGAAGTACGAACAGTAGGTCCAACCCCCATTCTGAGAACTGGAGAAGATCTGCGACCCACAGGCTTCCGCTCAAGGGGGCTACCATTCTGACCAACAGAGGTCTGGCGACGGGCGCGCTGGGAATTGACCTATGGAACCCAAATCAGTTCGAATTATCTCAATTGTAGAAGGATCGCTGAGACAGGGAGAAAGCCCGAGCTTCTCCCTCAAGTATCTCGAATTCGAGGGTGAACGTACCATCGACACGGCTCCTTGCTGAAAACTCCTGATTGGGACTGCAACAGCAACACCCTGGGACTGTAAGATCGAAGGGTTAGCATATGATGCTTCTCAAGATGTATATAAATCACTCAAATGAAGCTGAAGACTGTATAGAGTCTAGACTTACCCGAGGAGTAGAGATCGTAGAACTCGAGACCGTGCTCTCAGTTGTAGAACGACGTCTGCCCACATTTGGTGTGGTGCTGCTCGAGGCAGCGATCATGTCCATTCTGCGACGCGTACGATTGACCGCGAGGGTGGCTTCTGCAGAAGGAAGCGGTGGAAGAGGTTTCAGAGTGGTCATAGTAGGGCTGGATGCATCGTAAGTGCACTGGATGGTGGTAGAAACAAAGCGGACTCTGTTGGTTGATTTGGATTGAGAGAGGTTGCCTCGAGCTGAAGTCACATCCTTTAAAATACTGCCCTTCCTGCGCCGAGAAGTGGTTCGGGAAAGCATGATGTCGCCACGAACAGGTTCGGAGTATGTGGTTTGCTGAGATTCGTGGGAGGTTAACTAAGACGTGTAGTAGTAGGGACGGACAAAGCTTCGCGATCAGATCAGACGAAGTCGAAGTTACAAGAGTGAATTCTACTGTGATTTTCGAATACTCTGTAAATCGAAGTAAGAAAAGGATGTACGAAACTTGTCTGTCATCAACTACAATAGTGGTTCGAAAAGTCGGCGTTGAAAAAGGAACAGAGACTGAGATAAGAGTGTGTTGAAGTTCAATAGAGTTTCCCCTCTCCTGGTATCTTGCACGAGGCTGGAATTCCTACTAGCTTCTCGATTAAACTCGCTACTATGTTTGGTGCGTCGCAGTATACAGTTGTAAACTTGTTGGCTGACTTAAAAGTGAAGTGAATATTCTCCCTAAGGGACCAGACGGATATTCGGCAGTAGCCTATCCCTCCTATACAGTGAAAGGGAGAAATTGCTAGTTGATATTCTCACACTACAGAACACCAACAGGTAAAATGAAGGAAGCTGTAATGTCTTAAATAGACAAAGGCGAGATATAGGCAGACGAGGACGTATAGTAGTGTAGAACTTTTGGAGATATTCTAACATATTCTCTGAATTCCATTCATATTCATATACAAAAGTATACACATATCAACTTTGAATTCAACTACTCTATCAGAGAATAGTAGCTTCTCAAACTAGGTATACAAGAACCGGGTGCCTTGGTCGGTTGTGCGGTTGTTGGTGCATTTTTGTCTGATAGAAGTTCAAATGCTCTCTACACAACAAGAACTTAACGCAACCCCTAACAACTTATGTAGTAGAGAAGAGAATACAGAGCACAAATGCCTAGACTACTAAACACAACCATATTCAAAACATTATCAGCAGCCAGGGCTTCAGAACTTTTGGTAGAGCAAATTTCTTGAATATCTGGAGGGAGATCGTGAGGCCTGCCACTTGCACTATCGCCAATGATCATTTGTGATATACATTTTCATGGTTACAATTTCCTAAACACTGAGTTAGGAGCATAGCTTGATGCATTAGGGAGGAGAATATCAGATGTCGTTGGAATGCTTGTATTATACATTCTTATGTCAGCCACAACGCCTTTCCTAAACGGGAACATCCCAAGGGGCTGGTCCATGGAGGAAGGATATTTGTTGTACAATACTTGGGACAGTCGAGTTTTAGTTCAAACAGTTGCTTTATTATAACATATACAGCAGACTTCATTATTTATAATTAAAGGTCCATCCCCAAGTTCTGGGTACATGTAAATCGTTGCTTCGGCAAAGCCTATTATATCTTGCAGGAGATTTTGGTTATAAGAGGATGGGTGTACGTCAATTTCCTCCATCCCCCTTCCTGATCTCCTAGCTGTTTATTATTAGCAGGGAGTGTTGAATTCACGTGCTGTCAGCGGCTGTGGGAAAACTCCATTTTCCAACAACACAAACGCGTCCCACTCATGAGCTGCCTCCGTCTTGAAATTCCAAAAGACCCATCCTTGGCTATACCTTTCAAAGGCCGAAAGCTGTGTTTCAATGTACTCGCGCACATTTGCTTTCATGGTGGCATCCCAATGAGCAATGTTGCTCTTCCCTGCACAAGAGCCAATATAGCTGGAGCCAGGGTAGCTCCCATCGTATCTTGCACCAATATTATACCCATTAAGAGCTGGTGCACAATCTGTCAGGGCTGCAGTCCATTCACCAACAACTAGCCACTTATCCGTCCCAGAAGTATAATTCTGTGCATTACTGCAGACTAACTGAATATGTTCTGAAGGCTGTAAAGCTATCAACTCGTTTGTAAACACCTGGTATTCATGGTGATCAACGATGACTAAAACATTTGTTAGCTCCGGGGCTGTATGGATTAACGGATTAACATAGCACATACCATTCTGTGCATTGTTGTCTGCTGGACAGAGGAAACCGTTCCAAGTACTCGGTGAAACAAATCCATCGTGTAGCATGACAGGAGTATTACTGACAGCGCGGACTTGATCAAAACCGTCTCGATAGAATTGTTTCAACTCATCAAAGTTGAGATCAAAACTCAATGGTTCATTCAAGAGTTCAATGGCGACCACAACATCCTGATACTCAGGTTTAGCATATTTCTGAGTAATCGTTTCAAGAACTGCAAGTGTCTGCGCGACAGTGTTTCCTTGCTGCCAGGTTGGCGTTGTCATTCTTTGTCCGCTGTTATCAAACCCATTCTGAGATCCAGGAGCGCCGTGCAAGTCGATCCAGACCTTCAGCCCCGTCTTTCTTGCCCAAGAAATAGCAGAATCAATGTAAGGCGCAGCACCCTGAGTGTAGCTTTCTCCAGGTGCGATTGAGTATGCCCAATATCCAACTGGAATCCTGACTGTGTTAAATCCCGCGGCTGCAATCTTTTCGAAGTCTTCTAATGTGCACCAAGTATCCCACTGACAAAATGTTAGAATTCTTCAACTCCTCAGTCCACAATAACTTACATGAGGCTTGAGGATATCAAGTGCTGCCTTTGAGCCCAGTTTTTCAGTGAGCGTAAACTCATCGACAATTCCTAGAGATTGATCGAGTTTCTGGAAAATTGATGGTGTGATCCATGGCTCTAGTACTAGCCAGCCTCTTACATGCCAAGTCAGCGCAGTGAACACGAGGGGTTGTCGTTCATAAAGGAAAGCGGGAAAGCAGAGAAGAAAAGTAAGGAGGGAACAATTACCCAATGTTCAGACCCCGAACCTTCTCATGACCCCACCCAAAACTGACTGAGCGCTCTGATAAGGATGGTCTGCAAAAGCTATCAGCATATATTGATGCGGAGAGCCCAAGAGACTCACCTATTTGGTAGAGCTGTGGTGACAGCAGCTACCAGAAGGGAAGCAAGAATATTTTTGGGCAACATAATTAAGAAATTAATTCCATAAAGGACTGAAGTAAGAGATGGAAATGAGAAATCATGAGGGGACTTGGTCGACTATATCAAGTCCCGGAGTCGTACGACTCGCACAGAGTCCGAAGAGAAACAAGACCCCTTTTCTTGCGATCACATTCACGGATACACCTGCCGACCAAAGAAAGAACACCGGCCATACTACAATAGTAGGCATGTTCAGGCCATGCAAGGAAGGGAGCCATCACGCTGGGAGGTCCCGAGCTGGAGTATACAGCGAGGGACGAATTTAGTCTGCACCAGGAACGAACATAGAGCCTTGTGGGGGTTATACGAGGCCGTCCGACCACTCAAAAGAGATTCCTTTGCGCGATAGAGAGCCGACAACTTGATTGAAAGGGGTTCATTGTTGATAGAAGTCGACGCGATCCCGCGATGGTACGGAGTAAGTATAAACTCTCCCTGGCTTTGCCTTAGCCGAGCTATCAAGTACTGACTAGCAAGGAACCTCTTCTCACTACAACGTATTCTGTTGCGGGGTTCGATAGTGGCCGCCGATAGACAGGCGATGATGTCGGCTTCTATTCGATATCGCAATTCGACTTATTTATTAAGGATCAAAAGAGTTAAATTGTTCCTATACTCCAGTCTTAGCTACGAGCTAGGACGCCGCATGTTCCACAACTCTGCGCGCAAATCGACTCAGGTGGGAAGTCCAGAAACCCAAATATAGGTCGAGATACCCTCGAAAACAAGTTTATGTTATAATAGGTATATATTGTCTTGCATTGATAGTTGAGATTCCCGTCTCCCGCTTCTTGCTACTATACGAAGTACGGAGCCCCCTGAGTCAGGTCCATCATGACATACTCCGTAAATACAAGCCGACCACAATCAAGTGCAAATATCGTTCAGTCATGCGCGTCCGTAAATACCTACAACGCCTGGTTTTTGAAGACCTACTATTTCGTCGTGTTCTTCTCGACGATTCCCCTCGCAAACTCTCCAAAGGTAATGCCTTGATCTGCATCGACAGTCTCCCCCAAGTTAGGCTGCGTGAAAACAGCAAGAGTATTCCGCGCTATGCTCCCTCCATTCTCACCATCAGAAAAGCCAGGTCGAACACCCCTCACAAAATGTGGAACAGCCTTGAATTTCCCCTTCGTGATCCTCTGTAATGCTTCACCGGTCTGGAAGGCAATGCAATCTTTTGGGATCTTGACCTGCACTACCTTACCACTTCGAGACTGGATGTATAAGCCAGCCGTTGGATCTGGCGACGATGGAAGTTCCTCGAGAGCAGGAAGATATCGTGGAGTGTGTCCATTACTAGTAGGTATTTCAGGTGATTGTTTGGTCTCGTTGATGAACATTGCCGAGGTCAAGCCGGTTAGACAGCCATGATCGAGATGGGTTGCACACCAGTCATCATCCATCTCCTCCGCCTGCGGTTTTGAATCTTCTGGTTCTGCTGGGAAGTAATGGAGGAGACGAGCTTTTGTGGTCGTGGACGTCTTGACAACATGTTCTAGATATCCTGGCGTATACGCCGGAATCTCTTTTTCGGCATACTTATCGCAAGCTCGGGCAACGAGGACTGCTGTGTCAATAATAATCCGACACAAATTCTCGAACGTCTCTTGAAAACCTGGAATTGCGGTATCAGCGGGCCACAGATTGGGACTCAGGTATTCTGGAAAGTTCTCGGCGGAGAACTCTGCAGTGGGTTTGGCGCAGGAGAGAGAGGGATCGACATAGAAGGCACAATTCGCATAGAATGAGCCTTTGAGAGTATCGACCTGGCCATTCTTGAGGGTCTCTTTGCCACGCGACCAGCCAGTCAAGTATTTTGCTGCTGGATTTTCAATCTTCTCTGCGCCACGTTAGACCTTTCCAGAGAGGAGGGTAGGCGGGGATTGGAGTACCAAGTTCAGCCGGAGGGAGATTTCCCAGGTAAGATGAGTATGATAGTAGACGATGCCGTAACTCAACGAATTCAGAGGGTACATTCTTAACTATGATTATGCCTAAAGAGTCGGGTCCAAAAGCCTCCTCTAAGGTTGAAAAGGAAACGTCGCCTAGCTCTGATCAGCAGATATCCCCTTAGACTCAGGGAGAACCATACCATTCTTCAAATCTTCCAAATTAACCGTAACTGCAGCTGAGGACATCTTGATCTAAAAGCTTTGCTTTCTTCCAGAGAATTCCAAAGATCGCTCTCAATAAAAAATCAGTTCGTTTAAGTTGTTCAATTATATCCAATTATCCCTACGCAACAAGGGTGGGGGGGTTGTGTTATCTGTGAGGGTTTGAGCCTTGAGGGGGTAAATTGCCGCTTCACACCGCTCCAAGTATCGCTGTATCTATACCTAGTGCAAGCCCTCTTCCTGCCTACGGAAGTACCGTAGGGCCGTAGGGGAGACTCGACCACTGTCTTCATAACAAGCACTCTTCGACAAACCTCAACCATGGTCAAGCCACTAACATTCAAAGGCGACAAGAAGACGAAAAAGAGGAAGAGGGTCGATACAGAAGATAAATTCGGCCCCGAGGGGTCAACGCCAAAGGAACTTGTCAAACGAGAAGAAGAAAGTCAAGCTGTGGACGATGACAGCTGGGTTACCGCAGAAGCTACAGGAGATGTTGTAGGGCCTATCATTTTTGTTCTGCCATCAGAACCGCCGACATGTATAGCTTGTGATACGAATGGGAAAGTCTTTGCCAGTGCCCTGGAGAACATCATCAACGATGATCCTGCGACGGCGGAACCACACGACGTGAGGCAAGTTTGGGTCGCAAATAGAGTAGTTGGCACAGAGACCTTCAGTTTCAAAGGCCATCATGGAAAGTATGATTGGATCTCCCGATCGCAACATATTAACTGACTTGTGCTAGATACCTGAGTTGCGATAAATATGGAATATTATCCGCCAACACAGAAGCCGTATCACCCCTCGAATCTTTCCTCATAATCCCAACAGCAGACACTCCAGGCACATTCCAAATTCAAACATTAAGAGATACGTTTGTGACGATCAAGTCCTCGACGTCCTCCAAATCGAGCGCTCTTCCAGAAATACGTGGAGATGCAGATGCTATAACTTTCAACACCACTCTTCGAATAAGAATGCAAGCACGGTTCAAGCCGAAATTAAAGGCTTCAAAAGAAGAGAAGGCAAAGGAAAAGATCAGTAGGAAGGAACTTGAAGAAGCTGTGGGAAGAAAATTAGATGATGATGAAGTTAAGAGATTGAAGAGGGCGAGGAGGGAGGGTGATTATCATGAGGCACTATTGCTCCTTAAGGTTAAGAATAAGCATGATAAGTACTCTTGAAGTATTCGGAGTAGATATCGGATTCTCATTATCCGTCACTACGGCAGATTGTCTCCTTTCAGGGCTGTCGAGTTGTCAAAATTTCGGGTGTAGATTGGTACAAGGAGGGAATGATACCCGGATATCGCTTTGGCCAGGAATGTAATAATAAGTTAGTAGCATATCAACGAACTCAGCTTGCACGGCGACAATTCCATCTGTACCTGACAAGGTAGTCGACCTTACACATGATCACGTGAACTATATATTCTCGGTCCTTAAAGGTACCTTACCTACCTACCTAGGTACCTAAGTAATAATGTGAGAATATAAGGAGCAATAACATCCTGAATGCCTCCTAACAGTTATAAGAAATGAAGTAAAGCCCATATTCAACGGTGCTGAGATTCAAGATCGGGGTCCACTCACTACAATTTCTTCGAGAGCGAATCGAGTTTTGCAAAAAAATCTTCCTCCCTTCCCACGAAAACCACAAATATTCAAACCTACCTGAAAATGTATACACTCGACGCCGTAGATTCATTCCATATCTCCGAACCGGCAGATACCTATATTTACGATATAGTACCCGTGGCAGCTGGACTCGCAGCCATCTCCTCTGATGATAGTCTTCGATTACTTGATCCTCTGGCTCTGAACGGGCCGCCTATAAATTCCATCCGGAGGATTAATACCGATGTCACATGCCTGAAAGCTATTGAATCGAGTACAGGAGAAGGTGGGGGAGTTGTTTGTACAGCGGGGAGAGATGGGACAGTTTGCTTGGTGGATCCGAGGACTGGTGCGAAGGTTGCAGAGACGAGAACTGGTGAGTTGTGATCTGTGTACCCCCTTTTCTCAAGAACGATGTCATTATTATCACTTATTGAGAATGTGTGGTTCCGAAGAACTATAGATATTTGGATTCCGTCCTGGCTGCGCTTCCATGATCAGTGCCATATTTCCTCTGGTCCTTCTATAAGTTTGGAGGGACTATTTTCTCAATAGCTCTGTGATTGAAGCAGTAACTTATAGAAATTAACGTATGTGTAGATCAGAATGCTCCTGTTCTGTCACTTGCCTGTTCATATCCCTACGGTCTCGCAGCTGGGACAGAGTTGACAAACCAACAAGCATCAGTGTTGATTTGGTAGGCTTCACTTTATCTTCCCTTCAGACCTGTGCTGACTTGTCAAGGGATACCAGATCTTTTGTGAATCCAGTAGTCCAGTATATTGAAAGTCACAGCGATGATGTTACAGAGGTATGTCTTAGAGCGATTATCATTTCCGTACTATGCTAATGATCCCCAGCTACACTTTCATCCTTCTCAACCCCAGATCTTATTGTCAGGCTCTACAGATGGTCTGGTCAACATATATAATACCACTATCTCAGATGAGGAAGATGCATTGCATCAAACGATCAATCATGGGCATTCGATACACCATGCCAATTTTCTAAGTGATGTGGACATATTTGCTCTGTCACATGATGAGAAGTTCTCAATGTATACCCTGGTGACGAATCCAGAGGAAGGAGTGGAAGAGGCCCCTCCAGTACACTATGGGGATATGAGAGAGCAACTAGGAGGCGAGTATGTTGCAAATCTAGTCAGGAGACCGGATGGAAGTGCTGTGCTAGGTATAGGAACTCATAGGTATGTTTCATTGACATATATGGCACCCTAGGCCATGTCATCCCAGAGGAAACCAAGAAGCAAATCTAATTTCATCATAGCCGGGAGAGTTTTGATCTCGTTCAGTTCCAGAACAATCGTCCTTGGACTTTTGCGCCGGAGACAAAGGTCAACTTGACAGGGGCTCACGGATCCGAGATCGTAAGATCTTTCTGCTTTTTGGATTCGGTATGCATCCTTTCTCCATGTCTAGGACTAATACTGACAGAACTATAGCATAAGACGGTGTTGACAGCTGGAGAGGATGGTCAGATAAAAGCATGGAGAGGGGAATGACAAAGGCTCTTGGAAGACAAAGCTAGAGAATTGGCATTGTAACCCTTTTAGAGAAATAGTGTAGATATGAAAAGTTATCTCTGAACTGCATCAACAATCAAACCAATTCTCCAAGCATTTTGGGGTTTTGGCTCGAACTGTACTTATTTATTTGGAGCTGTTTGCACAAGAAAGCCTGTTGGCCTCTGAAGGAGCTGTCGCGTGTCGCTTACCAAATCCGAAATGGCGAAGAGGACAGCTTGAGCAACGTTGACTGTTATAAATACTTTCCCCTCAACGCCCCTCTCGTGGTGATCGCTGCTGGATATATGGGACCATGAGCTATTTATCTAGTATTGCTTCTACAACGAAGTAATCGATATTGCGCCGGGTTCAACAGCATGAAGGATCCGAGCAAGCGGCTGCTGCCGTTACTGCTTTGTAAGTTGTTATCACCAGCTTGATGTCCAGAGCTTACTTGTGCAGTATTTCTGCAGTTCATTCTTCCGATAAGTTGTGCGCAAGCGCAAGAGACTAATAAGCCAACGCCTGCTGCTGAAGAAAGCCCGAAATCGTCGATCACAGCACAATCCGCAGTTACCCAGAGACCCTTTCGAGGACAAGACAATAGGAGGACTACTGATGGTGAGAGCTTGTGGCATGCTATTTATGAAAGATTCTTACAGTATTACAGGGGCAGAATTGGTAGACAAAGCTCTCTTCTCCCTCCGCCTTTACGAGCGACAGAATCCACCTCAATCTCGGAGACCTTCTGGAATATTTGGTGCAGTAGGCCAATATCTCTTGTCTTTGCTGCCGCGCCTCTCTATCCAAGGACCCGACTCGGACGGCGGGAAAAATGGACAGAAGGTGGTGCCAGGGCCTATATCTGAGGCCGTGCGACACTTGGAGGAGGCTGCCCAGATGAACAATTCCGATGCGATCTACCTTTTGGCGCAGATGAGCTTCTACGGTAATTTTACATATCCAAAGGATTATTCGGAGGCTTTCTTCAGATATAGTCAATTGGCAGAGACAGGCAATAGCTCAGCGCAACACATGATTGGATTCATGTATGCTACCGGCATTGGAGGGGCCGTTGAACGTGATCAAGCAAAGGCTTTGCTATACCATACATTTGCAGCCCGGGGTGGAAATACAAGATCCGAGATGACCCTTGCGTTTCGATATCACAGCGGCATCGGAACGGCACGGGACTGCGAGGTGGCAGTCAAACACTACAAAAAGGCGGCAGATAAGGCAATTGAGTGGTATCGGTCGGGGCCTCCGGGAGGCATGGCATGGGTACCTGATTCATATCGACTTGCGGACGAGGAAGGCGGTGTCTACGGCGAAGGAGCTAGCTTTTCGAGTGCTGGCAACAACGCGAATAAGGGTGGGCCAAACACGGATGCTCACGCAGCTTTGGACGACGTCCTGGAGTATCTGGATCTGATGTCAAGAAAGGGTGACTTCAAAGCAACGTTTAGTTTGGGACGAATCCATTACGATGGCCAGAAAGGGCTTCCACGAAACATGAAGAGTGCCAAATGGTATTTCATGAAGGTTGCAAAGCTATACTGGCAGAGGGACGGCCGGATTATTGGAGGTGATAAGCCAAATCTGGAAAAAATTGCCACCAGAGCTGCTGGGTTCCTTGGAAGGATGTTCCTAAGAGGGGAAGGTGTTGAGCAAAGCTACGAGAAGGCCCTGATATGGTTCAATCGTGGTGTCAAAAGCGGAGATGCTGGTTCTCAATACGGACTGGGATTGATGTATCTGGATGGTCTTGGGGTCCCGAAGAATCCAGCCAAAGCGCAAGAATATTTCAAGGCATCCGCAGACCAGGACTATTCACCTGCGCAGGTCAGCTTAGGAGCTCTTTATCTGGATCAAGGTACATCCAAGGACATAACAGTCGCCAGCCGGTACTTCGAATTCGCCGCACGATATGGCCATATTGAAGCATACTATTATCTTGCCGAGCTAATTGATCAGGGAATTGGACGAGATCGAAGTTGCGGACTGGCCACGGCATACTACAAGAATGTCGCGGAGAAAGCCGAGCCCCTTCTCTCGTCTTTTGCCGAAGCAAATCAAGCCTATGAGGATGGAGATTACGAACTGGCATTTATTGATTATTTGCTGGCAGCGGAGCAAGGATACGAGAAGGCGCAGGCTAATGTGGCATATATGCTTGACCAACAGAAGTCGAAATTGCCCCTGCCTTCGTGGTTATCTTCCGCTCCACCTCGCCCATCTCTGCTACAGAATGCGGCGCTTGCTCTGATATACTGGACGAGATCCGCAAAGCAGACAAATGTCGACTCAATGGTCAAGATGGGGGACTACTATCTTAATGGCATTGGCACTAAAGCCGACATGGAGAAGGCAGCCTTATGTTACACAGCTGCTTCTGAGTTCCAACAGAGTGCACAAGCTCTGTTCAATCTTGGGTGGATGCATGAGAATGGTGTGGGTCTCAACCAGGACTTTCATCTTGCGAAGAGGTATTATGATCAAGCCTTGGAGACCAACGAGGAGGCATATCTGCCCGTGACTTTGAGCTTGTTCAAGTTGCGGCTTAGAAGTGCTTGGAACACGTTGACCCATGGCAGAATCAACTCCATTCAAGATGAGCCAGGTGAGTTTCTTACAGAAAATGAATGCAGATTGAAAACTAACGTATTACAGCACCTAAGAAGCAATGGTCACTTGGGGAGTGGATCAGCAACTTCCTCAGAGACGATCAGCCATATTATGGTGACCTCGGCTACGATGACAACTACCTTCCAGAGAACGATCCAATGCCAGGAGGGCAGGCCGATGGCATGTATGACGATATCATTGATGATGGCATCTTAGAAAGCCTTATCATTATTACGCTGGCTGGTGCCTTGGTGTTCCTGATATATTATCGGCAACAACGACAGTTGGCAGCGCACGCAGCAAATCAACAAGCTGGAGGGAACCAGCAAGTGCCCCAAGGACAGCAGCCCCAAGAGCGAGGTTTCTTCCCACAACCTGGCGACCCGGAATTTGGGCAATGGGTAGCGGGCGGCGTAGGACATTAAAAGCTGTATTTAACATGTACAAAAATGGAATGAATAATTTAAACATCCTGATCTATGTCTATATATGTATTGTGATAATCCTTTGCTGTAGTGTCTTAGTACATACATACCTTGCATTTAGATAACGCCCCGCCAAGGTAAGTACCTATTTAAGTACATGGCTCGCGAACCTCGTCTGCCAGCAACTCCAACATCAATCAACGCAATACTCACAACTACATTGATCCATGACTTACATCCAACAGCACTAACACACAATCAAGATGTCCACCCCAGCAGCCAAGAGGCGCAGACTAGACGCCGCCGCGAGCACGCTCTCGAAGCCCTTCCGCTCACCCTTCAAATCACCCCTCAAAGCGCAACCATCCAGCGACAGCCCACCCAGCATCTCCACACCCCTCAAGACCTCCTCCCCCGCCATCCTATCATCATCCCGAACGCCCAACCTCTCCCACACAAGCCCGCAGCGCACACCGGTGGCGAAAAAGCGGTTCTCCGCGTCGCCCCTCTCGGCGTCAGCGCTGAACGCGGATCCCGAGATCGCGCAGCTGCTCCGCACACAACGGGAGCTCGAGAAGCAATTGCGGGAAGCGAGGGAACAGCTCGAGACTGCGGAGCAGGCGAGGAAGATTGAGAGGGAGAGTAGGGCTAGGAATGAAGGGGGCGAGGTCGATGACGAGTTGGTAAAGCTGATTGGCAAGTGGAGGGGTGCGAGTCGACAGGCGGCGGAGGAGCTGTTTGGGAAGGTTAGGGATAGGGTTAATAGGTATGTGTGTGTGTGTGTGTGTCAAGATTGGGTTGTGGGGGAAAGTTGGGGGAATGCCAGAGAAGAAGCTGATGTATCATGGATGTTCTAGGATGGGTGGGCCGAGAGCGTGGAAGGAGATGCAGAAGAAGCAGCAGGAGTTCCAGGGAGGATGGGATCAAGAGGAACAAACCAATAATCATGGCTCCGATGAGGAAGACGGGGAGGCTGGGAATGTCGAGAAGAGGGATATTTATGCTGAGTATGATATTGATGAGGAGACTGAGAATGAGAAGTCTCAACGTGCAAGGGGCGCTGGTGATACGGGAGAGCTGCCTGGACAAGAGGATGTAAGTCTGCGTGAGAGGCGTCCGTCGTGTAATTGTGAGATTGGCTAATGGACGCTTCAAGGAATTTACAATGGCCATGATGCTAAGAACCTTGAACGTTGACCTACATGTTATTGGCTACGACAAAGAGCAGCAGAGATGGACTGATTAACTAATATGCCTGCCCATATATATGTACTTGCATTTCTATGCTCGGGAAGTTGATCTGGCTGTGTATATGGTAGCTTTTACTACTTGCATCTCTGAGAGTTGGTTGATATGCTCTAGCTTGTCTGTACTACCTACCGCTTGCACATAGTGCTTATACATCAACATATGAATGAATGAATCTATGTAGCTCCAGTACGTCCGTCGTCTTGCTTCCGTGCTTCTGGTCATACTGCTCAACTACCGCAATGCGTGAACGAGGCCAATCCTTCATGCTAACTGTCTATCGATCTGCGAATCACCACTCCTCGAAATCATGCAGATCTCCCTTTTCCTCTTATTAAAGAAGCGATCCTCCTCTCCTCATCCTCTTCTCAACCATCCATAGGGGAAGATGAGATGAGGGAGAGAGAAAAAAAGGTGGTTGGGGTGGGGGGGGGGGGGGTTAATTAAAATCAGAATCCGTCAAAACACTAGCAATACGTCCCCGCTCTAGAGAAAGCCTCATAACGCAGATATATATATACCACTGAGCTGTGCGAGTTCTCCATCGTGAGATACTGACGGCAGGGAGCTTCCAGATAGGGAGCTACATAGACTTTTAGTGGGTGTACCAAACGTGGCTTTGCTGGTATTTGATTTTCCTATGCTTCGAAGAAAGGACATACTCCCATATTGAGTTTCATTCTCATCATTCATGCATTTTGAAATCATGAAGAGGAATACTCGTTATGACTAGAAAGATACTGGGTCACAGAACCAGGGCGGATGTCCACTCTGGCTCAATTAGCCAATGGAAAGAGGATATGATCATAGATTCATAAAAATAGAGTAACAGTAAATCTCGGATATCAAACAGGTATTCATTCCCCTTCCAACTCCCCCATTTTTCCAATCAGTAAACATACGCAACCTGGGTGAGCGGGAGACTGGTCGCCGCCTCACACGTAGCATGGACGCCATCAGCCTCGACCCTATAATTCTCCGGGTCGACCTTCATCTTCGGCATCACGTCGTTGAATTTCATATCCTTCTTGCCGATCTTCCGGCAGTTCTTGACGGCTGCGACTCGCTTCTTCAGACCGTAGGAGGCAATCGCGCCGCTGGTGATGGAGGCTTCGGAGACGAAGAGGACGGAGGTTGAGGGGACCAGAGGCGCGAACATGGGGCGTGAGATGATGGGTTCGATGGTGGGGATGGAGCCGTTGGGGTCGCCCTGCTGATTGTTAGATGTGGGCAGGAGACAGAAGGGGAGGAGAGATGTACCATTTGGGCATACGAGATCAAACCGCTCTTGATCACGGTCATGGGCTTGGTTCCAAACCATGCTGGATCCCATATCACCAAGTCCGCTAACTTGCCTACCTCCACGCTTCCAATCACATGGCTCATGCCTTGTGCAATCGCTGGGTTGATAGTGTATTTGCTTACATACCTCTTCACTCTGAAGTTATCCGCTCCGGTACCTTCATCTTCCTTCAGGGGTCCGCGCTGGACCTTATTCTTATGTGCCGTGTTCCATGTCCGGAGGATTACTTCGCCGCAACGGCCCATAGCCTGTGAATCTGAGGACATCATGCTAATAGCTCCAAGGTCGTGCAAGACATCTTCGGCGGCGATGGTCTCTGCGCGAATACGAGATTCGGCGAATGCTACATCTTCAGGGATGTTCTTGGAGAGATGGTGACACACCATCAGCATATCGAGATGCTCGTCTAGGGTGTTTCGGGTATATGGTCTTGTTGGATTTGTAGAGGAGGGGAGGACATTGGGATGCTCAACCACGCTGATGATATCTGGGGCATGGCCACCTCCAGCGCCTTCGGTGTGGTAGGTGTGGATTGCCCGGTCCTTGAAAGCAGCGATAGTGGATTCAACGAAGCCGGACTCGTTGAGGGTATCAGTATGAATGAGGACTTGGACGTCCAATTCATCGCAGACAGTAAGACAGGTATCGATAGCGGATGGTGTAGATCCCCAATCTTCGTGAAGCTTCATACCACAGGCCCCAGCCATGATCTGCTCACGAAGGCCTGTAGGAGAACTGTCGTTTCCTTTACCCGTTATCCCAACGTTCACTGGTAGGCTATCGCAGGCTTGAAGCATTTGCCGCATATAGTTCTTGCCTGGAGTACAAGTGGTTGCATTCGTGCCGGCACTGTCTGCTGTTAGCCTACCCCCGATGTAGGATGATCAATACTTACCTAGGACCTGTACCGCCTCCAAGGAGTGTAGTGATGCCAGAAGAAATCGCCTCGTTCGCTTGCTGAGGACAGATGAAGTGGATATGGGTATCAAAGCCTCCTGCAGTAATGATCTTGCCCTCCCCAGCGATAACATCCGTACACGATCCGATGATCATGTTTGGACTGACACCATCCATCACGTCCGGGTTTCCGGCTTTCCCAATACCAACAATAACGCCATTCTTGACCCCAATATCAGCCTTGTAGATACCGCTCCAATCCACAATCAACGCATTTACGATCGCTAAGTCCAAAGAAACCTCATCTGAAACCCCGGAAGCTTGACCCATTCCCTCTCTTAAAGTCTTTCCACCGCCAAATTTGCATTCATCTCCATACGAGGTCAGGTCTTTCTCGACCTTGATCCAGAGATCTGTAAATCCCAACCTGACCTTATCACCAACCGTAGGACCAAACATCACTGAATACGCAGTTCTGTCTATCTCAAACATGCTGATATGTCCCGCATCTCCCAGCGGTTCTGGAGTATGCGCAAACCCTGCTTGCTGAAGCTTAGCCACGAGCTCATCCGCACGAGACAGATCCACCTTTCCAGTAGCTAGATTATTGCCGCCGTGGATAACCTTATTCCCGCCAATTTCAACCAACGTGACTGTCTTTGTATCTCCTGGCTCGAAACGAACCGACGTGCCCGCTGGGATATCAAGACGATAGCCATACGCCTTGATACGATCGAATTCGAGCTGGGGATTTGTTTCGATAAAATGGTAATGTGAACCAATCTACCATCATCAGCACCAGTTTCCTTCTCTTTTTCAAAAGAACCAACCTGGATTGGCCGATCCCCCTTGCTAGTAACCCTCAGCCTTATCCTCTTCCTCCCCTTATTCAAGGTTACCTTCCCCTTCACGCAGACGACCGCTCCGGGCATTTTGGTTGCCTCATATTCCTCCTCTTTTGGCAGGGGGAAAAGGCTCTGGTCGGGAATCGGGAGGAAGCTGCCATACAGGGCTTTCGCGAGATCGCCATCGTCGGTGCTGATGGGATGGTGGACCGTGACGAGGTATGTGCCGGTTGGGAATGTGCCTTCGACCATGAGTTCAGTGAAGGTTGAGCAGACGGAAGGGAGGACGTGTCGCCGGCCGAGCATCGTCGCCCCGATCGACATCAGGTCTGCAACTGTGTGGTTGCCATCGCGGATCAGCTGGGCGGCGTTAGTGGGGGTTTGCCAATGGAGTGGACGAAGACAAGACGCACCTCTTGGAGATTGTTGGCGATAAGAGCCTGGAGCGCACATTAGGTTCCGTTATGGGATTCACGGTGGAGAAGACGTACAACTGCCTCCGAATGATTGAGCTTCACGCCTCGAGCAAGCCGTCTCTGGGCAAGGAGCCCCAGCTGCGAGATAACGAGCTTGTCCAGCTGTTTGCGATGGTCAGTCAGTTACTTGTTCGGTGTTCTAAGACGATGATGGTCCGATTGAACTGACCTCCTTGGGTACGAGATGCATCTTGAGTGAAATGCAAGCTTTTTCAGCTTCCGCCTGCTCTGGTGCAAGTCAATTGGAGTTGTTGTTGTCTTCGCCGACCCCGCTAATTCGCATTGGACTGGGGGTTGGCGATAAGCTTTGGCAGATCTGTGATAGGTAGGCGAACGGCCGAAAGGGGTCAATCATCACACGAGAGCTGGCAGTTGAAGAACATATTCCGATTTCCCTGTTAAATCACATTTGAGGCTACAAAAATCTGAACATGCATGTTTGTACTCTATATGATTATCCGTTCATGTCCTAGATCCCAGCATTGTAGACAGAAACAAATCCCTTGGGTATATAACGTGCTCTCCTGCCTTCCCATCCCATTCCCATCCCGTCCTGTCCCGTTCCATCCAGCTATGCACCGTACACCATTATATATACCTTGGAAACTTCCTCCAATATATGACTCCCAACATTTCTCATTATTCGGGGTAAGACGCCAAATACGAAACCCCAGCTATGCAACGCTGATATGCTAACCCAAACGTTCTTCATCTCGTACAGAACTTATGTAAAACCTGGAAATAGTGTTCTCAATGCGTTCCGCCCTGTTGGAATCGTTAGCTGTGAGTTTGAAGTGAATGGATAATACAGTACATTTTGATTGTCGGCGTTCATCAGACACATCTGAATCCTCTACGAACGACTGTCCAGCGAGCTCTCGAATCCGTTGACGAGCGATCTGCTGTCGGCCGAGCCGGTCTTGACTCGGGGGCAGACGAGCGCCTATAGCGCTCGTCATAAGTGCCCGTCGAGGTTGCAGTGGCATAGGAGGCGACGGCTGAATTTCCCCAGCTGTAGAAGGGTGAAAGATCATCCTCCTGATGTCAGACCCAAAATTCCGGATCCGGCCTCTGGGGTTCGCTACGTGACCCTCTTCACTGACCGTCACTCTCGAGCGCAGCCTTCGAAGGTTTCGTTCTCGGCGGACCATGGAATTGGTGATCTTCGTTGGACAACTGCCTTTTGGTAGAACACTCGTTTTGCACATAGGACACAATGAGCTGTTGTTATATAGGAAGGCGTCAATACATTCAGGGTGAAAAATATGACCACAAGGAAGCTCTCGAATTGGTGTGATACCTGACTCGAAATCGTCCAGGCAGATAGGGCAAGTTGGCTGAGAGTAAGGTAGGAATTTGTGAACGAGGAAGGAATCATTTGAAGTGGTGTCTTCGATGACTGATGAGCTTAGTTCGTGTGTTTGAGGTAGGTTTTGGTGTTCTAAGATCTCCTTAGCACTGGAGGACCCTTCACTCGAGTCGTCCTGCTCAATTTCAACAGTGTGGTTATCCTTTTTAGAACCCGAGGAAGGCGCGGGCAATTTTTCATCTTCGCAATTGTATGTGAACAGGGGGAATTTGTTGATGATGTCCTGAGGGACTGTGAGACGCTTGATACCTAGCGCCTCCAGATTGACTTCTCCGCTGATGACTCGTCGACGTAAAGCATTTCGGCGCGATCGTTGGATTAGATGCATCGTAACAGATGTAATTGCTAGCATGACCACAATGATTCCGACAATAATCAACAGAAACACCCATATGCCGGGTAGAGACGGGCCAGTTTTGACACTCAGTCTTGTGTACATCCGGACATAATCTCTCGGATCGATACTAGGTAATTCTGAAATGACATGCCCATAAGGAACATCCGTCAAATTGCCAGAGTAAAGGCTCAATTCTTGCATCAGCTGATCCCCAACGTCTGAGGGAATAGCGTAGACCGGAAAAGGATTCTTTCTCTTCCACGCGCCGCCATCATCCAGTGACCATACTGGCGAGCTGATAGGAGGGGGTTGAGCACTTCCAGTAGATGCTCCGTTGCCGACAAGGTAGAACAGGAAAGCCCGTGCTGGATCTGAACGTGCAGCACCTAGATATGCCAGCGAGCATTCGACATTGATCCAGGGAGCGATGGCTACCAATGTAAAGTCCGTGGGAGGAAGGTTTGCCTGTCGGGTAACGTTGTGTGGGACGTACGGCTCTGATATATTAACGCATGGGTCGTCGCGTTTCAGATCGGGGACGTAGAGAAAGCCACTTATGGAACCGCCCGAAGCCGCATTATGGGTCGATAGGGTTTGGAGGGAGCTTTGGTCGAGATGTTGAGAGAAGGAAATGTTTGGCTGCAAGCACGGGTCAGTCAATCAATGCGCCCCCGCTGCGATGACGATGACATCAACACATACCCGCAATTGTGCCACGACATCTTCGAGGTCTGCAGCGGACGAGGGCTGACTCCATTCTTGGTTCGGGAAGAGGAGTCTGGAGAAAGGTCACAGTCAGTCAGTGTTTGCGCTCTGGAGTGCAGCGACCCGCTCCGTGTAGCACTCGGCAGCGACGGGGGGAGGGGCGTCAGGAGAAGATGTGGACTGGAGAGCCGAAGAGATTGGGCATACACGACGGTATCGATATCATTTACAGCTGTGCGCAGGGAGGGTCAGCATGTATCTAGTACGATGGGTATGATAGGTATGCTCCGCTGTGATCTGGGGAAGAAGGGCGAATGGGAAAAGGGGGTGAAGATTGCCAAGATGGGGAGAGGGCCACTGGGCATCCTTGGCAGGGTCTCTTGGGAAAGATATATAAGGTATAAATGGACATATAGATACATAACTCGGGGCAGCAATGGACTTACACATAGCAGCGACTGGAGGTGCGCGGGTTGGGCGGCTACTGCTCCTGGCAATAATCCATCCAGGCCCCGATTATGGATTAACATAGGTACGGCGTCCTTGGGCAGGGCGGTTCGAGGTTCACGATGGTCGATGAAGGGAGAGAAGATGCCGTGTGCCAAGAGTTGAGGATCGCCCGGTGTGTGGGTACACGGTACGAAGGGCAGAATGTGACGGGAGCGGCCTCCCGTGCGGCCAGATCTCTTGGGCGTGGGTTTGGATGCAAAAGCAAATACAGATAAACGGCAGTCGATAAGGATTTGCTTCTTTTCGTTTTTATATGAACAAACATTATTAGAATTACATCGAGAATTCATCATGAATCATGAATGCCGCCCTCCCAGCCTCAGCGCCAATTATGTAACATCACAGGATTCGGGAGCCTCAGGCCACAATACGCAGATGGTTCTGATTGGCTCTGTCGGAGCCCGTCGTGCCGTGCCCACGCAAGAAGGTTTCCCCGAGCCGGGCAAAGCCAAGCATCTCTACGCGACCGCGGCGACAGTCTATCGCGACGTCGATCTACCTGGCGGGCGATTATAACACAGTCCGACGGAGTTTATATGTACCTCGTGCGTACCTGATACCGATTGTATTGCATCCAGAACAACCACAACTACCAGGGCCCTTTGCATTCCCACAATGCCTCCAGCGCCGAGCCAGAAAGGCACGGGCAAGAAGGGGAGAGACATCCGCCAGTCGCGGAGCCGCAATACAACTCCCAGCCTTACTGGCACCGCCCTCCCACCATCCGACCTGGGCGAGTCCCCCTACCTCGGGCTCCCCCTGCAGTCCTTTCGAACCTCGGATGATATTGTTGAATCATATGGCTCGGCAATTCCAAGCTCGAAGGACCTGGAGGCCCTCTTGGAGCGTTTGCGACGACTTGTGGCTGTCGTCGAAGCTCGAGGAGCCGTGTGCGACAGGGGCATGAGGATGCTGGCGCAGGCGAGAAAGGATAGACTGGAAGAGATCGAGAACGAGAGAAGAGATGAGGAGCGCAACGAAAGACTTAAGAAGGAGGTTGCAGACGAAGAGGAAAGGGGCAGAAACAAGGCTGCCAAAATAAAGAAGAAGAAGGACGTTGGTGGTGTCCGAGAGGAAAAGCCAGCACTTGGTGCTCATGGGTTGGCGCCTCAAGACGGATCGCAATTGGGTACGTCTCCATTTGTCTGGAATGCCTTTGCCTCAAGACGGCGCTCCTTCAAAATCAGTCCAAAGTTATAGTCGCTAACAGCTCGTGTCAAGACCATTCACCAGTTCGCGATTCCTCAGCCCGCAAGAATGCAGACAGGTTATCGAGAGACATTGATTCTGCCAGCTCATCTCTCTCGCCAGTTGCGCCGGCGACTCCTGCTGCAACCGGCTTGGATCTCGAGGCAAAGGAACTAAACGTCGACGACTCCAGCTCTGATGAACATCTGGCTAAACCAACACCTGCTATGCCTCACCATCAAACATTTGGAGATGATCCCTCCACCTTTCCGGATCCAACGATCTACGAGATAAGGCAAGTCACCGACGACATGACCGACGAGCAGAAGAAGGAGATCTACTCCGTAGCGGTCTTCCCTCAGGATAATTTGGCGGATCTTATCCCTGGATCACCACCCGATAAGGACTTCAGCAATGCAAAGCCCACGAATCAAGTCCAGGCAAACACGTTTGCTACGTATATAGAGCCTTATTTCAGACCTTTCACAGAAGAAGATCTTGCTTTCCTTCGAGAGAGAGGCGATCGTGTAGTCTGCATGCGTATTCCGAAACGTGGTAAGAGGCATTACACAGAGATATGGGCGGAAGAGGATGGGGCGATGTCTGTCGACATCCCACAACAAGGCCGTGACAAGCTTCCCCCAAATCAAGCTCGAGGTAGTATCGAGGACCTGGATGATGCTGCAGCAGAGACCGACCAGGTTTCAACGGGACCTCTCCTGTCACGACTTCTGGCAACACTAAGACCGGAACGCCGCGCACCACCATCCGAAGAGAAGCCGGCCACAAACGGACTCACGAACGGAGACACAAATGCCAATGGCGAAGCAAATGGAGACTCTGGTGAACTTAGTCAACCTCTCAACGATGGCCCGGCCCCAGTTCCCCCAGCGACCCAGATGGCTGACTCTAACTCCGAGGCATGGAAGAAAGCTACACACCCGAAACTTGACCAAGCGCAAGTTGCTGAGCGACTCAAGCAAGAGCTCCGCCATATCGGTTTCCTCTCTCCGGACGCAGAGCCGGACTATGACGGCCATTTCGATGATGAGATCGCTGCCCGTCTCCGTTTTCTTCAGAGCCGGCTTAAGGAACGAATGATTATCAACGGGTCCCGCAAAGCTCGTCTCATGGACCTAGTCAAGGAACGTATGGCCTTCCAAGAGTACAACACCATTCTAGAAGATCTCGATAGCCAAGTTGTCGGCGCTTATTCGAAGCGTACCCGTACAATGGGCAAGAACAAAAAGACAAAGCGTCCTGGTGGCGCTGGCGGAGGAAGTCACTTTGCAGGTGGTAGTGGCGCGGGGATGGCCAAGCCAGGCATTGGTGATATGACAAAGACAATAATGGAGAGAAGAAAGAAGTGGAAGGATAGCATTGGCACGGTCTTTGATAGCGAGTTCAAGGTTCCAAGAGCCAACAATCCAAAGGGAGAGAACACCTCGATTTTCAAACCGGAGGACATGGCTGAGTTCGTGAGGAAGGAGAGAGAGGCTTGGGATGAGGATGCAGAGGATGAATAGATGCACAACGGGTGTCTTCCAAGTGGACAGGCGTTGGCAGTTATATAAATTGGGTTAGGTGTTCTCCTTTGGTACTACAAGGTGTGATGGCCATTTCAAGGAGTTGACGGGTTTCGGTTGTATCTCTATCCGGGTTGGACCTTATAGTTCAGAGGGCTGCTTTCCATGATACTCCCCAAGATGCGCAATGTTGATTTTAAACAGTAGCCGCTTGACGTGAACTTTACGTCCGGGTAATGTGACAATTTCTCTCGTTTGGCTACGCGAGTGTATATAAACACGCTCGACTACAACAACGACCTGCCAACCAGGTGATTCAAAATTTCACACCTTGATCAAGTCGATCAAGGTCCAACCCAGACATTGAATCTAGAGATCTTTGGTCTAATTGATCGTCAATTTCTATATCGTGTCCCGATTACCGCCCTTTGTCTCCTGAGTTTAACTCCCCCGTTCGTCCCTTCCTGCTACAGCTACATCGCAGGTAAGTATCTCGTCATGGACCTTTAAAGCGAGATCAATAACTTCGATCTATACGGTAGTTCGACGCGTTATCAAAGAGAAGTACATCTCCTGAACGCGCTTTGTATCGCGCAGAGCAAAAGCCTACCGTATCTAGGGACGCGATCTAGGCATTTTGATTCAAAGATCGAGAAGTCAGTGTCAACTATCAGAACCACTCACCACCTTAGAACCTGGGTCGCGTCGAGGACATGGTCAACAAGTATCTTCGTAAGTCTAGCTGCGCGGATGTCACAATTGTATGGGACCAAAGACTGATGTTCACACTTATAGTTCCTGACCCGTCCTTTCGCGGCAATATGCAGACGGATACAAATGATCATCAGGGGGCCAGTACAGAGCAATTCGACGCGGCACAGACCATGGCAAACTCTGCGACGATGGACAACAGGCAGAGAGTTAAGAGCGAGGCTACCACAGAATACGAGTTCTCGGATATTTACTGTAGGCTCCCCGGACGATTTCGAACAGGGTAACTGATTATCTCTAGCTGTCCCAGAAGCATTTCCTAGAAAGGAACCTAGCCCCAAAGCTCCTGATTCTTCAACCTATATGGGGGCGTCAGAGGAAAAGACTCTTCCCCCTCCTCCGAACAATGCTAAAGCTCGAGTCCGGGTTGACGAAACCAATGGGGCCACATCAGTTGACGCTGACATATCCTCTGGATTATCTTACTCCTCTCAGGAACCGATTCTGAGAACCATGGCTTCCTCTCTGGGCCTTGATATGACTGAATTCAGTGCGATCCTTGTCGACAAGTATCAGATAGCCCAAAGTAGGTTCCCATTAGAAAACGTGGGATGGCAAAAGTGGTGGGCCGAGTCCCTGATGTGGGAGATCTATTGTACGTTAATCTATCTCTCCGAGACATTCATGAAAGACTGATTATGTGCAGTCAAGGATAGTCCATTCCCTGGGAAGGAGCCTCAACGGCTATATCCCCTTCGATCATCTACCCCTCCTGCAGGGTCAAGAGGTCTTAGTAGTTCTGGAAATAGATGGACTGAGATTTCAAACCCTTCAAATAACTTCCATCCTTGGGCGGCAAGAAAGGCGGTAAGAAAGGTGGCAACATCTGCTAACGCGGTCCCATTAAGTTACGGTGGCCTGCCACAGTCAATTTCATCGAATCAACAAAACAATATCAGAAATGCCCAAGTCCTCAGACCACTTTCTCAAGGATACCGTACCGTGGAGAGACTTATGGAAAAGATGGCAATATCGCGTGACATCCGACGATCGTTCTTTCAGTTCTTGCAAAAGCAGAGAGACATGGCAAAGTCTCAACATGGAGAGTGCAGTAGCCAGTATAGGCATTGGCTAGCAGATTCATTAACTTGGAAACAATTCTGTGAGAATACATTGTTGGATTCTTCCAAACTGGATGGCTGATTCTTCTCTAGTTAGCAAGGACCCGTTTCCCGGAGAGGAGCCAGTTGGGCCTGGCATACACTCAAATCGTTGCCGTAATAAAGTCGTTACTGCTGCTAAACCTGATCCAGAGATTCCTCAGGGTCAATTGCAGATGCTGAGTAGCAATGATTTTTGCATCACAGTCAACAATCATATGGAACTCTACTCGGCCGAGGTTGGCAAATCGCTCTTTGACGCATTTTCAAAAATGCAACCATGGACGAAGGACAGGCTTGAGAAAGAGTTAGGGTGCAAGCTCTTGTCTCGTCGAATTGAGACAGAGGTTTCACGATTCACAGGAAACGTTGTCTTACAGAGTGTGCCATATATCCTGGGCGATCAAGCCTCAGAGGAGCGTGGCAACCAGTTCTTAAGAAAATGGCTCAGGGAAGCATATATTGCGGAAACTAACGGATGTCAACTTTCCTTAATGAATCTGTGGAAAGAATCTACTGATCCTGCTTGCAAAACAGATAGCAAACCCGCAAATAGGGTTACGTTCAATGGGAAGTGTGTGCACTTGGCGTCCGACAGACTTGAGCGCATTTGCGATTCCTTTTCAAAGGACATAATTGGTAGAGGCAAAGTTGAAAAGCTGCTGGACTGTTACTTCACCACCACTTCATCAGAGAGGGATCACAGTGATATAACATTGACAGTCAAAACTCCAAGACTGATCAAATCCTCGGGAGATATAGCAGCGGTAGAGCGCAGGGCATATGACTTCCTCGACGCTTGGATCCAGAGGGTGAAATCAATTTCTAATCAGGAGACCCAGACTCCTTCAATCTACCAATACTGGGAGGAATACAATGACCTTGTCGGAACTGATTCGCCACCCCGGCTTGGTCTCGTGATTCACGAGACCTACTTTTTCGACAAGCACTGTTCCCTTTCCACTTTAAAGAATCTGTCTTATTCATTTACGATAGATGACCGAAAGCCAACAATCGAGCAGTTGTTCCAGTGTCAAATTGCTCTATCTGAGAGAGATGTCAAGGAAGGAACCGGACTAAAACTGAAGCTGATCCCTTTTCCAGGCGCAGATACGGTGATCCTGAAGAAAGCGGGTAGGTTCTTGTACTCTTGGGCCCTAAAAGCTCTCCAAGAGAATCCAATCAAGATTTCCGCATACTGGGAGAGTTTGAATGGCGCTAAGCTCGAAGATGGAAATCAACATGTCCTGCCTATTCCTCACTTAGATCAGCCAATTCATCCAGTGAAACAAGCAATCAGTGAAGACGGCGAGCCAGACTCTCACATCACCGAGGGTTTAGCCAGGGAAATTGTTGGAGGTCCTTTCAGTCCCATACTTCTTCCCAAGTCTGAATTTCCACTCGGCAATCCTGAAGACTGTTGGGAGAAGTATGCAAAGGTCCATAATGCCACAGATACGGATCGGCTTCTTATCGAAGAGCAAGCCAAGGTAAGCTACCATCCTCTTTAGCAGCCAGATACAATAGGAGATCGACTAACGATACCAACAGCTGGAGGGCCCACTACGTGTAGTTTACGACGAAACCACGGCTCAGGTGGTGAGCTTGGAGGAATTTGCCGAAAGAACCAGACTGAGAATCATCAAGTCTATCAAGTTAGATACCCCAAAGGTTAAACCCGCTGGCCCTGTGGTGGATCAAGTCCAACGTTCAGAAGATGTTGCACCTTCGGAAGTCGAAATTCATACCATGGGACTAAAGCGCAAGTCTGAGGATAGTGAAGGAGAGGATGGCGTGGAGAAGAAACCCCGTTTGCAAATGTAGGGATTCTAGAATTTAGGAGTGGAATCTGGGGATTTGGGGGTTTAAGGGTTTGGGGATTTGGGTATGGGCTGGGTGGGGACTGGTGGGTGCCGAAATGACAATGGCAATGGCAATGATACATATCAAGTGTTATGTGGGAGTAGATGCTCGAGCGTGTAAATACATCTTGTCAAAGTACACTTGCGCCAATTTACAGAACCTGGGCTTTTTAAATTCTTGCCTTGCAGAAAAGCAACTAGACAGTAATCTCACATATTATCGTCCTGGGTCTCCTCATTTTCATACTCATCCTCATCCTGGGTCTCCTCTTCCTCCCCTTCATCATCATCCTCCTCCTCCTCTTCCCGCAAGAATGGCACGAATCTAAAATCCACAAAGCTGACACCGCCTCCTTCCACCTCGACCATGAACTGTAAACTCAAGACCCCCTGCTCATCACCGCGAACACTGACTTTACTCGCGAGCCGCATAGCCTCGCCGGCCGCCCGGACCATCTCGAACTTATAGCTCTGGGACCACTTCTCGGCCACGGCGAACGTCTCGAGCAGCTCGCGGCCCTTCCCGAAATCGACGCTCGCGCTGCCCAGGTGCCCGACCGCCGCGAGGCTGAGATAGGGGGCCGTGGGGGAGGCGGTGATGTCGAGACGGGTGGGCGACGTGGAGGAGAGCTCCGAGACGGCGTCGAAGAGCCAGCGCGCTTGCATGATGATCTTGACTTGCATGGCGTCGCGCTGGAAGGGGATCTCCTCGGGGCCTTCGGGCTCGTAGGTATTGAGGTTGCAGGTCGTGGTCACGCCGGCTTCTTCAAGGAGGATGCTGAAGGGGGAGCCGAGGCCGGCGTACGAGAGGCGGCAGATGCCTGGCATGCCGAGGGCCTGGTTGCTGAAGGCGTTGGGACGATCCCGGCGGAGGCTGGAGCCGTAGCCGTCATTGTCGGGCTTGGAGAAGCGGGAATTAGGGGTGTCGGCTGCGCCGAAGATCTGGAGCGTTTCGAGAAGGGCTACGAGGGAGATCTGGAAGTGGGGGAGGTCGTTGCCAGAATCCGGATTGTCATCGGTGGGCTCGGGGAGAGAGCAGTTAAAAGTGGTGAAGAGAGCTTTGTCGAGAAAGACGATTCCTGGGATTGTTACTATGAAGCCGCAGAAAAGATTGTATATTAGAACCAACCTTGCATGACTCTTGACTCCTCTACCGCAAACCGTAACCCCTCATGGCTAATCTGGATTTGGCATTTGGGAGCAAAACGAATGCAATTGAGTAATTGAAAGAGTTGCCTTGCGGAGCTTGACACTGCCTTGAAGATTGGGACTCCCTGCTCCAAATCGCGAGTTGCCGACATGGTGATGGATGGGGAGCGGAGAGTATATGGGACTTCGAATGATGTTCAATTACTTGGTCTGATTGTGTTCTCAACTCCTTTGCTTTTATATGCTCCAACTATTGTACAGTTTTATGCGAACGGTAGGAAATTCGTCTCGAATGGATGATTGAGGGGTATCTTATACATAAACGCCGACAGCACAGATCATATAGACCGCTCCAAACCTGGGAGATGTCAGCTATTGCTCGCCCAATCCGGCCGCCGATGGGTTTAACTAACGCAATGGCTAATGACGCCGGAACTCCAATGAGTGGTATGCTCAGGAAAGATCGGTCTGTATTTCTGTTAGATAAACCTCCAAGACGAGAGGGTTTGCATACTGAGGCCGAAAAGACCGCTGAGAAGAATTCCCGCAATCAATAAGCTGATGCCCACGGAGAACTGGCTATCTTTTCCGATCAATGGGACGAAGGGATTGCCAACGGCACTCTCCCAGACTTGGTGCAATGACGACTCCATATGCCTCAGATCTGACTAGGTGCAATGCAGTTGTCTCGTAGCAATGGATTGATGGATTATAGTGGATTATATGTAGATAATTGTCGTCGTCGTTTGGATTGGAAGTCCATTGATGATGTTCAAAGCGACGCGTCGGGAAGATCTGGCCTTGTTCCGAAAGAAGGCTAGTTCCGGGGGAACGTTCTAGCGAGATTTAAGCTCAACGCTAACGGGTGGCATCGCGATTCGCCGCATCGCATTCCCTCACTTCCTACTACGACGAGACGAAACTTTGACATTCGTCCAAAGTTCAGAACAAAGTCTTTGCAAAGAACGAAAGAGCTGTACAGTTTAGCGAAGGAGTCACAATTGTCTAGCGCCATTCGCTACGCCAACTTTTTGGTAAGTCTGTAAACAACTTCATATCCGCCGCGTTCGTCGAGCAGATCGCAAAGTGGATCGTGGAACACATTGCAGAACAGATTGCTAACATGGACCCGCCTAGGAACCTCAGGTTTGAGGGCGCAGGGAATTACTGGTACGTTTCACCAGGTAAACGCAGGAATTCCAGATATCGAGAGCCGTCCATTTGGGAAGAAGCAGAGGCTGGAGAGACCGCGTATCCCGCACTGGGAGACCCGGACCAGGTCAATTCCAATCGGTCTACCCCCGAACCACCGTCACCACCCGAATCGCAGGGAGGGTCACCGGCATTCAGTAGCCGAAGCCGATCTAGCAGTATGGGGCCTATCAAGGAGAATGGTATGGCTCTGGAACGCGCTGGAGGCGATTCCACATTGACTCTCGACCCAGGCTCCAAGCGAAAAGCAACCGAAGAGCCAAACACCCCCTCAGACAATAAGAGAATCAAGAGCTCTCACAGCGAAGAACCAGAAACCGATAACATCCCCAAGATGGCCAACGTCATTCCTTTCCCAGAGAAGGCAAGTCAACCCAGCAAATTATGGACCAGCGTATTAACTTCTTGAAGCCAGCAGTGATTGAGGAGCGAAACGGAGAGATCGAATTCCGAGTCGTCAACAATGACAACAAGCGCGAAAGTCTCATCGTTCTCACGGGCCTCAAATGCATCTTCCAAAAGCAACTCCCCAAGATGCCCAAAGACTACATAGCTCGCCTTGTCTACGACCGAACCCATCTGTCCATAGCCATTGTCAAGAAGCCTCTCGAGGTAGTTGGAGGGATCACGTACCGACCTTTCGAAAGACGAAGGTTCGCTGAGATCGTGTTCTGCGCTATCTCCTCCGATCAACAAGTCAAAGGTTACGGCGCTCATCTCATGTCTCATCTCAAAGACTACGTCAAAGCTACTACGCCTATCATGCACTTCCTAACCTACGCCGATAACTATGCTATTGGTTATTTCAAAAAGCAAGGCTTCACCAAGGAGATCACCCTGGACAAGCAGATCTGGATGGGTTATATCAAGGACTACGAAGGCGGCACCATCATGCAATGTTCGATGCTCCCTCGCGTTCGGTATCTTGAAATGGGTCGCATGTTGCTGAAGCAGAAGGAAGCCGTGCACGCCAAGATCCGCGCCTTCAGCAAGAGCCACGAGGTCCACCAGCCCCCCAAGCAGTGGAAGAACGGCGTCTGCAAGATCGACCCGCTCTCGATCCCGGCGATCCGCGCGTCTGGCTGGTCGGCCGACATGGACGAGCTCGCGCGCCAGCCCCGCCACGGGCCCAACTACAACCAGCTCCTGCACCTGCTGAACGACATGCAGAACCACGCGTCGGCATGGCCCTTCCTGAACCCCGTGTCGCGCGACGACGTCGCCGACTACTACGACGTCATCAAGGAGCCCATGGACCTCAGCACCATGGAGGCCAAGCTCGAGGCCGACAACTACGCCACCCCCGAGGACTTCATCAAGGACGCCAAGCTGATCTTCGATAACTGCCGCAAGTACAATAACGAGACCACGCCGTACGCCAAGAGCGCGAACAAGCTCGAGAAGTTCATGTGGGCCCAGATCAAGGCTATCCCTGAGTGGAGCCATCTGGAGCCGTAAGTCGGTCGGTGGAAAGCAAAGGTTGTTCATTCATATGGCGGCTTTTCTTTTTCCCCCTTGTTCATTCGTTGGTTGGTGCGGTCAGCGAGCGTCTTCGACTTCTTTTCTGTTCTTTTCTGTTCTGTTCTGTTCTGTTAGCAGGCAAAGGGAGGCTGGCTAGCATGATGAATGATGACATGGGATCTGGGATGGGAATCAGGATGGGAAGGGGGGAGTTTAGGCGTTTGAGCCCATAACTCCATGTCATGTCATTGCGTTTGATTGATTGATTCATTGGTTGATTTGTACATTTTCGATGGCGAATACCATACATCGTAATACCGTACAATACAATCCAGAGTTCAGATACCCCATGTATGCACGTATCACCGCTTCAGGAATCTCAGTCGCAGTATCAATGTATCATCGCTCGTGATTTGTTAACTAACATGCTGCTAACTTGCTGACTTAGGTCCTCTCTCTCTATCTCTCTCTCTCCCTCTCTCTCTCTCTCTATGGGGAAGAGAGAACCAGGAGACTCAAGCCAAGTCAAGCCGTGACCAGACAAAAATGGACGCCATGCCAATAAGCTCCCTCCATTCCTCCTTTCCTTCCTTCAGTTATAAAAAACAACGCCTGTGGTGCGGTATCCGCGCCGAGATGAAATTGAGAGGTCATGTAATGTGTTGATGTGATGTTATAGACAGTGCAGTGCAGCAGAAGAGAGAAAAAAAAAATTGTTTGAAGCAAGTAAGAAGCAATTGGTATATGGCCCAGCCAGTAGTCCCGTGGCCTCTTTTAGACAGCTATGATGGGAAAATAAAAGGAAAGCGTGCCTTAACGGGACTCAGGAACCGCCATCGCCTTGTGTATTTCGAGGGAGGCGGCCGCGAGTGGAAGAGTTGAGGATGGAGGAAACGTCGGGGATGGCGGTTGACGGTTGGGTGGGGACGGGACGCCGGGAGAAGAGGTCCGTGAAGTGTGTGTTTAGCGTTCGCTGGAAGGAAGAGCCTGATATGGCAGAGGATGCGGGGACTGCTCTCGCGCGGGGGCTCAGACTTGGTCTTGACAGGGAGGGTGAAGATGTGTTGTTGGCGGATAGGGACGTGGGAGCCGCATTCGAGGATGAGCCGTTACTGCTGGCTTCCAGATTTTGCCTCACCATGCTCTGGAGGAAATCTGGGATCCGGTTCCACTGTCCTATTCTTGCGGCGTTCATGAGTCTGGTATTCGATGCTGCACTTTCGCTCTCGGGTCTGGTCCCGGGGATATTTGCATTGGGCGATAAATCGGAAGAGAGGAACGGGATGCCGCCTGCTTCCACAGCGTCTTTGAGCCACTGCTCCCACTCCTCATCCATGACCGTAGCTGTATTGCCTGCCTCTCTCTGCGCAACCGCTGCTCGTAACCGCTCGTTCAGCTCAATCCCCACACTTTGGAGCTCCATATCGCTATCCTCGTCCATATCCTCATCAATCTCGTTCTCTTCCATCTCTCGCCCGTCCTCTTGTTGTATATCCTCCATATCGTCCACGCCTGCCCTCTGTGCTTGAGGTGCGCTCGGAGTGCGTAACTCGGGCTCGACCCAATCTTCAATCTCATCCGCCGTTGTGTCCCTGATTATGATGCCTTGCTCCCTCTCGAACCGCTCCTTCGCCCACCGCGTGCCCTCCCATTTCGTCAGGCTCGCAATTTCGCTCTCCGTCAGGCGCAGGTTATCGAAGGCGCGGAACAGGCGTCTGTGCCAGGGGTACCGAGACAGTCGGTTGCGATGCGGTTGGTAGGAGTAATCCAGGCCCGGGTATTTGGCTTCTTGAGAAGAGAGATGTCCGTAGAATGCCTGCGTTTCAAGACGGACCTCTGGCACGAGTTGACGCTGGAGGAGCCCCTGAAAGTTGACCGGATCAGTCGATTTGGGCCTGGGGAACATGCACTCGTAGACGAGCTCGTCGATGGGGCGTCCCTTCATCTTGAGGGCAGAGATGCCGAGAAATGAAGGATTGTCGAGGCCTCAGAAGGAGGTTCCGAGGCGGCGCAGAGCGTGGTAGAGTTGTGGCAGACGATTGCGCGTCGAGGTTTTGTGGGAAGGTCTTGATGTCCTGACCTCGAAGTCCGCGGGTCTCGTAGTTGGGAAAGTAGAGATGGGTTGTGACTCTGCGACGTGGTCGAGACAGCGGTGGATTATCTGGCAGAAAAATTCTATAATATGTGGAACTCGTGCCGGCGAAACCTCCTCCTCTTGAAGACGACTTGGCAGGCGAATACCCAGAAAGCAGCGAGTCGCGCCACGAAAGATTGGCGGAAAGGCCGGGAGAGAGGGGGAGGTGGATGAGGACGTTGAATGGTGAATGGTGAATGGTGAATGGTGAATGGTAAGTAAGTAGTGAGTGGACGCTGCGAAGAGATTCGAATCCCGTATGGTGTCGTCGCCGAGGTCCTCGCAACTTCGCTCGTCACGCTGGTGCTGGTAGGGACCGTCGTCGCCTCTGACCGCAAGTTGGTGGGAGGGGGAAAGGACAGGAGGGGGTCAGAAAGAAGAACGAAGAATGGAGAATGAAGAATGGAGAAATCCTCGTTGTATTCAAATGAAAGAGATACAAGAGTCTTTCTCTGGCACGGGGGGCAAGAGGAACCGCGGCGGGGGACGGGCGAGGTGGACGGTGCGGTGAGGGAAAATGGGAAAATGGGAAAATAGAAATGGGAGGCAAAAAAGTATATAAATATCCAAGTCAATATAAATAAAGATCTTTCCGCCAGAGCAAGAAAGCAGCTCGTGCATTCCATTCGCCAGAGCACAGGGCGAGATGTTGGTCAAGCCATCACGAACTATAATAGTCTGCCAGGAGGGAACGACCCGTGAGAGGGCAGGTTTGACCTTTGGCTTCGGGGACTCTTTGTCCTTTTGTCTTGCTGCGCGGGAAGCCTCAGTATGGGCCTAATAGAGAGCTAATGATTCTTCAATGCAAGTTGGGGACTTCAAATGCTGCTTGCTGTCTTCTGATGCTTCAATGCAGATGCCAACGACAATCAAGACTTCAGTCCAGGCGGGGCACCGAGCATCAACCGGGTGCGAATGGCATCAACATTCTTCATTTCTGATAGCTTTTATATCCCTCCACAGCCAATCCTCTTGCTCTCCAACCCCCATCCCCATCGACACGTCGGTGACCCCGTCCGTGTCCCTCTTCCTGCGCTGTCGATGGCCCTCCCCCTCCTCCGCAAGCAGCAGCAAAGCCATTCCAGCTGACTCGTCTTGACCTTCGAACAATTGGCTCCTCTGCCTCCGCTGCATCCCTCTGCATCCCTCTGCATCCCTCCGCTTCCATTGGCTCTCCTGGGTCTGGCATTCGAGAGCCGTGCCCGACGCTGGCTTACTCCCTGCTGCTGCAGCGCGCATCTTGGGATGGCCGCACTGATTGGCTACCGTTTCGCGGCGGGAATTCCTCCTTCGGCACTGCTGCGTAAGTCTTTCCTCCTGCTACCCGCTTTCTGGGAAGCCTATAGCAGGAATACACCATGAACACACCATGAAGCCGAACGACTTGGATGATAGCCATTGTTTTATTGTAAACACAACTACGAGCCAGTAAGCTGACAACAAATCCCCGAGGGTATCTTCCATCCATGTCCCAAAACTCCCTGACAATAGCATAACGTGCGACTCTGAGCAAACCACCGGTGGATATATACCTTGCTGCAAAAATCAGTCCATCGTTCCATATGCCCCATCAATGTATGACTGAATAAGACCCTGAGAGCCCCCTTCAATGCAAATGCCACGCAAGTTTCCCTCTTACAGCTCAACCTCCTCTCGGCTGTGATTACCATTAGTCGAGACCATCGAGATATCATGCCAGCGTCCGTCGACGGCAGCCTCAAAAGCCTCAGCCCTAGCTTTAGCTCGCCCAGCTGATACCTCGGATTCTTGTGAATGTCCCTTTGCCCCTAGGTGAACAAGCTCTTCCACTAATGAATCAGGTGCCTCGGATGCCCGAGATGCATCCTGAGAGCCGTTCTGAGATTCTGTATCTGTTTGCGAGAGAACGAGCTCGGCCAGGACTGGGTCGGGTGGAGAGACATCGACTATTACCATGCCCTCTTCTTCGACCTCGCCCATATCTTCGAAGCCGTCATAATCAGATCCTAATACGTCCTGCTTCAATTCTTCGTGCTCATCGATAAGATTAGCGTAATCTTCAATGAGGGTTTGATGCGTTGCCTGGAGCCGCCGGAACTTTTCTTTGTAGTCCGTCTCTCCATCACTGGATGAACTATCATTTCCGTCTTCCGAGTTTTGAGGGCTATCGTCATCGATGAAGCTGTTGATCTCATACTCGTCTTCATGACAATTCCTCTCATCTTGAGAATCGTATGCCGACGAATCAAAGTCAAGGCAAGAGCCTAACAGATCAGCTCTTTCCTCAAAAGTGACGTTGTCGGCCAATTCATATTCGCTGAGAGCTATTGTTGGTCTTGGACCAAGCTCAGGGTCCATAACTTCGCAATATGGGACTTCTTCTCCAGCGGAACATCCGGTACATTGTCCTCTAGAGCTCCAGAGTTCATGGCCGCAAGATTTGCAACGGTAGATCTCATCTACAGAATCCCAGTATCCTTCAAAATCCTGTTCTCCTTCCGAGTCCTCAGGGTGCGAAATGGGCGGAGATCCCTGAGGCGAAGAGTGCGCGGTGGGGACCAGCAGTTCTGAAGTGTTTTGATCGGCATCTTCGTGACCTTTGAATAGGTTCAACGCTCTATCATCCGCTGAAATTTGAGAAGACTCAAGGCTGTTAAATTCGAGCCGCATACGCTTTACCCGAGCTTCTCCAAGGCCGTCCAGTATAGCTTTACGTCGAAGATTCTGCGACTCGGATCCTGGTGACATCGCTAGGATTTTACGAGGAGGGGTTGATACATCTTCTCCTGCCACAGCGGGGGAACGAGGTTCGTTTACTTGGGCATCAAAAGCTCGAAGCTCGCCATGGGAATCTCTATTCGTGACGATGGAAGTTCGCGATGGGGTTACTGCGTTTCCCTGTACTGGACTAGAGGGTAAGGACTGAGTCGAATTGACCATCTGTGACTGCTCGCTGGAACGCTGAGATTGACGTTCTGCCAGAAGCTCTCGCATCTCAGTATCGTGGCGAAATGTCTTAGCAGTGCAATGTGGCCCAAATAGGTGGCTCATACTAACTCCTATATTCCAAGTTAGCGATAGATAACACGAGAAAAGCTCTCAAGTGGATGACAATTATCGAAATATTTCGCTAGTTGGACTTGTACAACAGTAAGGTAAGAAATTCCGAAGAGTGTCACCCTACCTTCATGCCAATTCTTTTCGTCAACTGTACAAGGATAAACATCCATTGGGTTAAAAACCCTCACGAGATGACAAAGTTCGAAGTATGATGAGTGGCGTGAATATGGAAAGGTGATAACCCGGGGGAGATCCTTTTCATTCGTTTTGTAAGCAACCTCCTCGTCAAACGTTTTCTTTTTTTTCTTGTAAATGGATTCAGCAAGAAAAACGACTAAGTCTTTCAACTTCAACTCGGTTTGATCATCCCCGTGGAGTCCCATATCATCTAGCGAAATGGCATTTCGACTTGATCGACGACTGTGGTAAAGCATTTGTTTGATTTCAGACAAACGGCTCTCTCCCAGTTCTCCAAATCTAGAGTGCCATTAGATATGTATGCATAAGATAAAGAACCATACTGACAAGCCTAAAAATTGATCAATCATCAACTCACTGTCGAATTCCACTTCCGGACGTTGGCTTAGGTCACCCCCGCCTCCACCAACTCCAACTTCTGCTATCTCTGCACCAACTTTTGTACGCGTAATAATCGGCCGAATCTGTACCGTGTTTAGATTGTTCGTAGCCTCACAGTTCATATACCTTTCGCAGCTGTGGAATCGGACGCGTCTATCACTAGTAAGGCATCCGGCTTGAGGAGCATTGCCACATTGATAACCTGCCAATACTGGGCCTTCGCGTACATGGAATAGCCCAGAGGTGCTGCTCTTATCATTATTATCCCCTTTCAGGGATTGATAAAGCTTCAGTTTGTAATCATCAACATGGATCTCAGTTATAGTTAGCGACGTAAAGCAAGCCTGCGGAGAAGGGGGGAAGGAGAAAACTACTTACGGGTGATTGAAATGCTTTAGATAGTGCCATCCAAACTTCTTCATAGCCAAAGGTCCATGCCGAAAAATGAAATACTGTGTCTGGGGGGTACTGCGAGACCTTTTGGATAAGTTCCCTAAGCCCATCGGCCTTAGTTGGAAACTCCACCGGATCCGTGTTGCTAGTGTCTAAGTAAATACAGTCTAGTCTCTTGATACCGGAAGTATATTCGACCAAGAATGGATTCTTAGTCAAGTTATTGACAAACCAAGGCTCCGACCTGATGTCTCCGGTGTAGAGGACTGCTTTACCGTTGCCTTCGATTACTGACTCGAGGTTAGCGACCACACGGTACAGACATACCAAATCAAATCTCACAGAACATTACAGCGCCAGGGCAATGATTGGCATCAAACAAAGTAACTTGAATATCATTTCCAGGTTCTAGTTCAATACGAGTAGGAGTCTCTAATGGGATTGGTTTCTGGAAGCAATGTTAGTCACACATCAAGGTCTTGGAGTGAAGCCTGTCCTACGAGTAGATTCTTGAGGTGCTTATATTGCACTCTTCTTGACTCCAAGATGCCAGATGCAAAGTTTAACCTATGAGGATATCTTTCAAGTCGAAGAAGAAGCTCTTTCGTGGCCGGAGAGCAGTACACGCTGCATCCAAATCAGCATTGAGAGCTCAGAATAGCGAGGAGCACCAACAAAGGAGATTTAAAACTATCAAGGCCAACAAGATGATCGCTGTGGACATGGCTCAAGAAACAGGCTCGCGGTGGGCGGCGACCTGGAATCTGGCGGAAGTAGTCGACTGTGCTGATCAGCAAACTGCCTGCTACTCGCTACGTGGAATGAGGGACGCACCACGAATGTCGGGAAACTCGTGCACTACCCCGCCAAATGTTGACATCGTGGCAACTTCAAGGTCATGGAGTCGATATTCCCAAATAGATCAGTCATTGAACTGCGATGAGGAGGGTTGGTATAACCATGCCAAGTACAAGGTACAGATAAGAATACGCGACTGGGCTCTCGCGCTAGTACCCGTTCTCACGTGATGTAACCTATTACCTAAGGTAGTTAGTCATATATCTCACTTTCTTCGCTGCAACCGTTTAACCTTTTTTCATAGGGAACCTTTTGAATCTTCTTCGGAAATTCCCTCCATCTTCAATTGTCGAGAGATATATTGACAATGACAGGGCCAGCTGTATAAGCCGAGACTTGAATGGAGAAGACCGTTTCCCAAAACCAGGTGCGCTTCAGTGAAGTCTGCTCAAGGTTAAGCGACCAAGCCCCTGAACATTTAGCGAGCTATTCAGGGGAAAGCATATTCCTGGTTACGTCTGGTCTACCTTGGATGCTGCCTATACGTATAGCTAGGCATATATATAGCCTGCTTATAGGTGGCTATACACACATCTTATACTCATAACCTCAACAGATAGGAGTCCTTGACTGCAGAGCGAATCGAAGATTTGGATTTTTCTTATCCGCCCTTATTACCCTGTGTAGCAATGTTTGTGTCCACACTCTGGAAATATCTTACATTTTGTCACCTACCTCCTGTTCCCCACAATGCCTTTTAGCATTAAAAAAATACTCTGAATATACCCAGGCAAAGCATGTATGATATGTATTCATTCTCACCTGGGACAGGCTTATATCAATCAAAAACTGAGACTTTGGCCAAGGACAATACGTGGAGACCTTAGAGTTGTTATCAGAATATTGGAAGCTTTCTGGATGTTATATGTTTCAAACTCTCACAAGCTTTGTTCAGAATATTTTATTGTCCAAAAGCCTCAATATCAAAGACAAATGGTGCAAAGTCGAAGAAAGAAGACTTCCATCCATCCTTCTGTACGTGGGCCATAAAAGCCATCTGCAATATCTTGCAGAAGAACATCTCTCCTCTGCTCGGTCTTCAATTTCCATTTCTCGCCCTGCTGCTTGCATCGTTTGCTTAATTAGTCTCGCAGTTGTTGTTGTCCTTTGCCTTTTATCGACCTTGGAACCTTTACTGATAGCAGATACAGCATCACTGCTACTATCCATCTTTAATTCGATAAGCGCATCTGGGTAAACAACTGTAGATGAGGGCTCCAACTATCTTGGCACTCCTAGATCCATCAAAAATTCTAAATTCTAAAGATACGTGACCAGAAGTACGCATATATATTGTAAAAACCAAAGACACCCATAAACTTTTGACCCAGAGCCTAGATATGTTCTTCGGATACGAGATCCAACTATGGACCCTTCGAATCATGAGAAGGGACCCATCTACACATCCCCATATTCATCTTCTTCGTCAACATCCTCTTGATTCAACACCGCCTTCTCTATCAACGCCAATGTTGTCCTTAGCGGGAGCCCTATAACATTATCCGCCGCGCCCTCGATCCGCTCAATCAGCAAACTGCCCATGCCCTGTAACCCATAACCGCCCGCCTTGTCCACGCCCTCTCTCGTCTTCACGTATGCTTCGATCAGCTCATCGGTTGTGTCTGGCGAAAACACGACCTTGGTCTCCTCAACTGAGGTTTCTGTGTTGTAGCCCGGGTAGCGGGCATCTTCCCGCGGCGCGAGCACCGCCACCGCCGTATAGCATTTATGTGACTTCTGATCACGCAGCATCTTGAGCATATGAATATGATCCCTCTCATTGCGAGGCTTCTCCAGGATGCGGCCAGCGTTAGTGACAATCACGGTATCGGCGGAGATCACGACGGCGGGGTCGGGGATCGAGGCCAGCGAGTTATCGAGGCAGGTGGTGTATACATCGAGGCATTTCTGCATCGCGGTCTGGAGGACATATTCGAAAGGCCCGAGCTGTTCTTTGGACAGGTTCTCGGGTTTTGTGGAGGGGATGATTTCGAGGTTCGGGAGCCCGAGCTTTGTGGGGTTAGCTAGGGGTTGGGGTGGGGCCAGGGGAGAGGGGAGGCGGTACAGTGGAGAGGATTTGCTTGCGGCGAGGGGAGGCCGATGCAAGGACTATTCTCTTTCCTCGCAATTGGTTGAGGACGGGTATATCGAGGGGGAAGGGGGCGCGAGGCATAGGCTTGCCGCTTGTTGTCGCCGATGGAGGAGGCCCTGGTCTTGTGGGAAGAGCGCCATGTTCGATTGCAGCCGCCTCATACGATGGAGGCGGTCCCTTGGGCTCATCGGCCATAGCTGATTCCTCTCTTGTGCGTCTATGGACGTGTCTGAAAAACTCGAATCTCGAATATCAAAACGAAAGTTCTCCTGAATGCTGACGCCCGTGGCCGAGGTCTGTCGACGTTCCTGCAAGGCTGCATCACGCTTGTCCCAAAACGGCATGGTTCATAGCGGCCCCAAGCCTTGCGCAGCGGGCACGCATGTGACAGCCGCGAATGTGATCCGGGCATTCGGCCATCCTCGACGACAAAGAGCCAGACCTCTGGAGGTCATGTAAAGTTCCCACGAGCCACTTCGAATGACCCGCTCCTGATCTTGAGCCTGTCGCCCATCATGTCTACGTCACCTGCCCGCGAAGGCTCTGCGAATGCGGGCTCGTCGAATGGCAACTCGGACGAGAAACCGAGATTGAGCGAACATGAGAAGAAGGCTAACCATATTGCCTCTGGTAAGCTATTCTACTCTGTTCCTTCTACGTCCTCATAGTTTTGCCTTTGCATCTTGTGGGGTAGAGCTAAAGAGCTAACCATCCTTCAATAGAACAAAAGCGTAGACAGGCAATTCGGGAAGGCTTCGATCGTCTCACAGAGTTGGTCCCTGGTTTAGAGGGACAGGGGAGGAGTGAGAGCGTGGTGCTGAAGAAAACGGTCGATTACATAAAGGGGCAGTTGGAAGAGAGGAGAAGGTTGATCCAGAAGATTGAAGAATTGGGTGGTCAGGTTGAGGAAGGGATGAGGCGGACTTGAGGGCTGGCATGTTTAAATTACGACTTGATGTGGGCTATGATGCGGCAGTGACATATTTTTACGGTGTTCTGGGTCTGTGGATGTGCAACAGGTGGCATCGGACGTTGCATGCCTTGGGAGTCAGAGGAGTCTTGATTTGCTCGTGAGGTACATAGTCAGCATCGAACAGTCGACATGGAAAAGTGGCAATGGGTTTCCCTGAAGCATGCAGCTCGGATGGAATACATATATTTTACAGATCTATAGTCCACAACAAGTATTTGTACATTCAGAGAAAGGACTCCTCTAGGCTGGCCAGCACCTGCCTCAACTTTAAGGGGGATATCGTAAGCTTTTTGAGATCCGCCGCCTCCAGGGGTGGTGAAGGGCCCCTCTTCTCCTCCACCTCCACCTTCTTGCGCGTCTTCTCCCGTTCCACCTCTGTCCGAAGAATTTCATTATTGCGAATAAGATCGCGACGATCCGAAATTCCAGTCATGTCAACAGTGACGTTCAGCATGTTAAGGTTGTCTTTGCCAACGATTGCAATGACACCATATCGTTTTCTCTTTGCCTCGGATAGCTTTTTACCCAGCGATCGAGCACTATCATCAACATCAACTGAGATCGAGGACCCGTGGAAATGGCTGGCCTTGATTTCGGCTTCGGAGAAATCTTCCTGCGTGTATTGGGTATCGTATCCGCTGATGACCCGCGCAGCATGGCGAGCCCACTTGACAATTTTTTCATCATCGTTAATGGTGAGTATGATAACCTGACGCGGATTTAACCAGAAAGGCCATCTTGAATGGTAATTCTCAATCAAGAGCGCCATGATTCTTTCGACGGAGCCCAAAACAGCTCGATGTATGAGAACTGGTGTGGCTGAACCTTGCGAATGATCCGGGTCCGCCGATGTCAGTCCCTTTTTCTCGAGTTCTGGGGCTGGCGCTTGATACTCAAGTTCAAAGCGCTTTGGGAGCTGAAAGTCGAGCTGTATCGTAGCAGTCTGGTGCTCCTTCCCGTCTGAATCTTGTAAAATTATATCAATCTTTGGACCATAGAAAGCACCATCGCCCTCATTCAGAGTCCATTTCAGGTTACTCGCATCTAATGACTGCTTCAGAGCCTCTTCCGCGTTGTCCCACTCCTCGAGCGTCCCAATGAATTGGTCCTTCGGACGCGTAGACAAAGCCAATCTATATGGACCAAGGCCGAGTACATCGTATGTTAACTTCACAAAATCCAAAGTCCTTGATATCTCCTCACGAATCTGCGAAGGCCGACAAAATATATGCCCGTCATCCTGGTGAAACCTCCTGACCCTCGTCAACCCACTCAAAGCGCCGGATATTTCGTTCCGATGCAATGGACTGAAATCGGCATACCGTATAGGTAACTCTCGATAACTTCGTTGCTTCGATGCAAAAAGAAGACAATGACCTGGGCAATTCATGGGTTTCAACCCGTACTCCTCGTCCTCACCGGCCTGCCGCCCTTCTTTTTCGCCTGCTGCTCCCCGGCCTGTGACAGAATACATATCGTCGGCATAGTTCTCCCAGTGTCCTGATTTCTCCCATAATGACTTCTTGTAGATCGTAGGCGTAATAACTTCCTGAAATCCGAAATGTTCGTATTGTGCTCGCAGAAAATTGGTCAACTTATTGAACATCCGAGCGCCTTTTGGCAGAAAAAGAGGCGACCCAGGGCTGTATACGGAAGTCGTGAAGAGTTCCTGCTCGACGCCCAGGTGTCGATGGTCAGTTAGGGGATTGCTGGTGGGTTTGGCCTTGCTGTCGGCCGCAGCTGGCGTCTCGCACGAGGTACAATAGCCATGTCGAATGACCTGCGGCCTTGGTGCCCCGCGACAAAAGCCGTGTGATGTCGTTGGACGGGCTCGCAATAATCGTAGAGCTCTCGAGGAGCGCATCACTGCTGTTGCACCTGTTGGAGGTGGGAAAATCAAAGCTGTTTTCCCGAAGTGGTTCGCGCCCTCTCGCATCAGCAGTCGCCTCGGATCCCTGCAATTTCTGGAGCTCTGGGCCCCAACGCGATCATCTGCCAACGTCAGTCCAACCGCACGGCTGACAGGTATTTGGCCTTTTCTATTGTATAACTCTCCTCCCCTCCTGATCCATCTCTCTCCTATGGTCCTCTATTGCTGTCTATTGAATCCTGGGTGCCATTATTCTTTTCCCCAACAGTCCTTTTACCGTCTGTTGTGTTTCTGTCCCATTTCCATCCAAATTGCAATAGGCAAATACTTGCGCGCCAGCCGTCCTTTGCTTCAAAACTAATCACCCGACTGAGTATTTGATGCAGCGCGATGCCTTCAGGTATGCCGAAGTCACAGCTCGATGGATCTTGGGTCGTGGAAGGAGAAGATGAGAGTCTAGAGTACTCACCAGAGGAAGGATCCCCGCTGCCAAGGGCAACTCCTCGAAGATCAACAAGAAGCAGCAATAGGTCCCCTGAACCGGAGCTGATAATGCCATCGTTGGATCCTGAGACCTTGGAGGCTTCTTGGGCAGATACGACCAGTAGCAGCACAAGACCCAGAAGAGGAATACGCTCAACAGAAAAGGAGAGTCGCAGAAGGATATCTCATCGCGTGGAGAGTATTGGAAGTCCAGAGAAACGTCTTAGGACAAAGACATTCATGGACAAAACACCCTCAGTTTCTTCAGACTCGGCATCTACATTACGACCAATCCCGAGAGAAGCCAACAGCTTGCAGGACATTATTGACGTCTGCATCGACTATTCTGGCATCATGGCGTCCTGGCTATTCGAGGTCGTGGGCGGTTCGCTTCAGGTTCTCAAGAGGCCCATCTCCTATCTGCTTGCTGTCTGGCTTCTATTTGGGATGGGTGTCATGCTCAGGAACCTCGTCACTAACTCTGTCTACGCATCATTATCACCCATTTGCCGAGTGCCCGGCATATCCTTTCTCAATCTACCGTTTTGTCCTACCTATCAAGGCGACGCCGGTAATGGGCCTCCACCGGTCGAGTTTGACCAGTTGATGACGATGCAATCTAAGTTTGAGGAGGTGATGGAGGAGAGTGCTAGCAGTGTTTCGCTACCAATGGATATGAAGCACGGAGAGGCGTCTATACGTGATCTACGTCAACTTGTGCGCTATAGCCAGCTCAGCTCCAAGTAAGTTAGAACTTCAGATCACTTGGCCGCATACCTTATATCTCCTTTCTGCTGTGGCACGTGACTTCTTTTGGCTTAGTGCTATCAGACAGACCTATCTACATCATTTACCCGTCAGAGGCGGCCGACTAACTACTTCTATAGGAACGAGCTCGTTCTTGAATTCGACGGATTCATTGAGACTGCTCGAGTCGCATCATATGATCTCCAAAAATTCAACAGCCACGTCGGTCGAGCTGTCGACCAGGTCATTTCGATCACGCGTTGGACGAGTCGAGTTCTAGATGGAATTCAAGAACGCGATGTCGCTCGCGGGGCAATCAATGCATTCATCAGCGACAAATTGTTAGCTCCATTCCAACCGGTAAAGTTCACTGAGAGTATCCTCCTCGACCAGTATATCCAGCATACTCGCCTAGTAGAAGAAGAAATCTACAAATTGATCAGTGAAGCCCAGGCTCTACTGTCAGTACTCAATAACCTCGAAGATAGACTAGAGGTCATCCATGGAATCTCAACTCGGGATGGAATTCATACTCAAGCCATGAAAGACGAGGTCCTATCAAGCCTCTGGGCTATGGTGGGGGGAAACCGCTACAAGCTAAAGAACATGGATCGCCAACTCAACTTATTACAACAAGTCGGTGTTTATCGCAAAAGTGCAATGGCCCATGTCTCGGGAACTATCCTCCGTCTTCAAGCGATCGGCGCTGGATTAGAAGATTTGCGCGAGCGCGTAGGGTCTCCAGAGCTACTGCGGGATAGGGCTGATATTCCCCTTTCTGTCCACATCGAGAATATTGAACGTGGTGTGGAAAGATTAGAAGAAGGAAGAAGAGCTGCACGCAAAGTGGAGGACGAGCAAATCCGAAAAACGTTGGAGCGTGGGCAATTAGAAGGGTCACTTATAGATTGACACAGGGCGATATGAATTATAACATGGATCAAGCGCTCCATATATTCCCTAGCGTACCCTGCGGGTAAGGCCGTTAGTTTGGTTTGGCGTTGAGGCTTTTAAGTATGCTATGACATGCCGGACCGGTGTCTGGTGCAGGAACTGGCTTGTTGTCATGATTTGTCTTTCTGCTTGCCTACTTAAAACTAGAGAGGTTGAATAGGACATTTCCCTTTTTTTTGGCAACATCGTTACTCCCGTGCTTCAGAACGGAGCATTTTTTTCGTTATTTCATTGACTCATTTTCTCACATATGCACCACCTTGGAGCCCCTGGCCATCTTTGCTCATGATATAAGTATACAGAGCATCGAGCGTCATAGCTTATCAGCCACTGTATCAACAATATCTCAAGACAAAGCTGCGTGATAACGAGCACTCCATACACAGCCAAACCATATCAAGTGTGTTTATGAAACAACCGAATTATATCCGCAATGCTCCCTATCGATGGGTCAAACCATCTGCTACACCTAACACTGGAGAGTTGTCTGTGCGTTTTCCCACCGTCATAGGACGCAATACCGAGAGGACAGTTGTCAACCCCAAGGACTTGCTCCAAGTGTCCACATTCTTGAATCGTCTTCGTCTCAACTAGTTCCCGTTTTCGATCTCTTATCATAACCTTGGAACGTTTGCCCGCAATTGATTGAACCGAAGGGCCATTAACAGTCTGTCTCGTCTGCCTATAGGAGCCACATTGCCTCCAACCAAGTCATCGTTTCCCAAGTCATCTTCAAGCCGTGTTGGCATACTTCGAACACAAAGTTTGCGATCCTTATAAATGGCTGAGATTGGCTTCAGTCATCTACCTTCGATGTATGGAGACTCTGCTGCCACTTCCAGATCGTCATCACCCATGCCTTCAATGGATGGGACATTAGGGCTGCGATCCTCAACAACCCATAACAGACTTGAAGCATTGATTGAGAAGTCTAGAGATGTTGCGGAAGAGGAGGCAAGGTCACAAATGCCTCGGATATTTGGTAGCAATACGATATCAGATTATTCTACCAGGCCAGTCGTGGAGCACGAAGAGCAAACTGAAGAGCCCATCATCGATAAGAAAGCAGGCACTCGGGAAAGCTGGACTGTGCAAAAGAAGATGTGGGAATTCGTCAAGAATCCAGCTACCGAATTGCAGAAGTGGACGAAGGGTAGAGCAAAGAAGATGGAGAACAAGGGAGATTATGCCGCAGTGGAAGAATACGATTGCGCAGCATTCTCAAAAAGGGACCAACGGGATAGCTTCAGCAGTTGCGCGCCCCCAAATTGCTCCCGAACCTACAAGGAGATAAAAAATGTCAAGGAAGCTGAGCACGCTAAAGCCATGATAATAAAAGAGGGTGGTAATTCTTCATATATCCGTCAAATGGTCTCTGCTTTAAAAGAGTCACAACGCGTAGCTGACCAAAGGTCGCTAAGGAAAGGCAAAGAGAAGGAAGTAGCCAGCAGGGACAATACCCAGGAGACCGTCTCAAAGCGTCAACAGCACCGGAACGAAGCCCGAGACAAGTCTTCTCCGCCGGCTGCGGTCATCTGGTATCCCGAGTTTCAGTTTCAACCACCTCCAAACTGCAACTACCTTCTGTTATCTCAAGCGCACGGATTTTCGGATAGTGAAATACAAGAGATGCTCTGGTTCATTGGGGAAGTGATGCTGGGCCTTACTTCCCCTATAGATTGGTTGATAGATAATACCCACGCCACTCGGAGGAGAGAAGCATTTCAATGGAGTGCCTCGCACCCTCTCGGACTTCCAGAAGACTATCCACATACTTTTTCTTCCCCCCAGTCTCCACCCTTTCGTCGTGCATCTTGGATTCCTAAGAGTTTGAATAGGGATTGGATGGTCATTCCCCTGCCGTACCTTGCACCTGACTTACCAAAGCTCCCACGACATCGAGTTCCTAGCGCATCTTCACCTCGCGGCGCTATATTCCCCTCTCCTTTCGTATCACCGTCTGCATCGCCGACAATCGCTGGCGCCTGTACCTCAAGCGCTCCCAAGCCTCCTCCAAAGATGGAGACATGTGCATCTGATGCCGTGTCAGTGTACAGAGCACCTCTGGAAACACCTAATCCCGAGCTGCCCCCTCTCCGGCCAATCGTGCACCTCAACGCCTCAGCTTCCCGATCGACACCTGAGTTGAGCCACCTTCCTCGACTCCGCCTCGACACATCAGCACCCTCCCGCATTGGGCCCGGGCCGCATGTACCCAACAACACGCCCCAAACCGCCGACAGCTCCACGTCAGCTGGCATGACACGCCCAAATAGTGAGGACGGTACCCGAACGTCCATATTTCTGAACTTTGCGCAAGAATCTGAGCATACCAAGCGCGGGACGCTGGTTGATGATTCAGAAAGCACTGCTGTCGATTCGCAAGGACGAAAGGATTCGGGATATGGATTATTCTCTTCTGAGTCCCGTATGGCCGAGAGGCGAAAACTAGGAGGACTTCGGAATGCCTCTCCTGGTGGGGAGTAGGAGTTAGCTGCGAATTGGCGAAGTCGATATAGTATCCTTCAAATTGAGTTACGAGTATCTCTTCTTGTATTATATCTGCCATTTTTTGGAACGTAAAACTGTCTTAGATATAATAATAATATTCGTCTTCCTTTCTTTGCTGGTCGTATAGTAGGTATCATGTCGGAAGCTCTGCGAGCATAGGGGGCTGATTTCTCGTAGTATACTACGCTCGCTTCAGTTGTTCTACAAGCTCTGAACCGTGACTAAGTAATCTTTGGGAAGTTGTCTTAGGTGGGTGGATATAGGATTTATAGATCTTAATTGTATTATTAGGAGAAAGTTTAATACCCCAGTCTTCCTTGTTGAGCCAAGTTTGTTATCTTCTCCTTTATAATTAGCAACCCTCGACATCAAGTTTTGGTTCGGTCGAATACAAGCACCAGAAAGAGAACCGACGGGGATCGGGTTGTCCATCATTGCAGCTCCCTTATGATATCGTAACATATCGTAACAATAAATCCCATCGTCGGAGAGAATACTTTTTTTTTGGTATTACCTGTCAATTTATCCATATCCAATTACAATTCATAGTAGTACTTTTTCAAATTGCTCAGACGCCGAACCAAAAGGGATATCATTTTTAGCCCCAAAACGCACCCTTCCCAAACGCCAACCCCAAGCCATAGCCCATCACCGATAGATAATCTCCACATCTCCCTTGGGGAATTTTCTCAGGCGCTCCATGATCTTAGAATCTGCCATGTTCTTCTCCGTTATGATCTGATCAAAGCAATGACAGCCATCCGTGTACTTCTGCAGGACATCTCCGCCCTCGACCGGCATGCTCTGTCCACTTACCAACGAAGCTATATACTGAGACGAGACTGCATATTTATGAACTCGGTATATCAGCCCCTTGATTACCCCGAACTGGATGAAGCGCCGGACATCGATGTAATTGAAGACCGGGAAGCCTTGATCCATATGCATCTTAAGCCATTCCTTGATGGTACGGCTAGTGCAGAGGGAGGTGAAGAGACGGCAGAGGTAGAAATTGGGAAGGCGGGGCCCGTTGATGTACACGTAATTGGCGCACTCATTTTGCAGGCCATCTTTATCGGCGATGAAATCGTTGATTTCCGGAGTCGGGGCGTAGATGTTGCCGAAGAGGAAGAGATCGAGCATTAGGATCGAGTCGTAGTATAAGAGGTGTTGGAGGGCGATCTTGGTCAGGCTGAGAGCAACGTCCGCGTCGTGCGCAATGCGCCGCACGTCTTTGATCCCGTCGATGTGGTGGATGACTTTTCTCATGGTGAGATCCCAGGTGTCGTCCATGATGTCGGTGAATTTGATCTTGGAGATTGGAACATGCCATGACTTGACAGGGGGCGGGTGCTTGTGGACTGGAAAGAGCTTCATATTTATAGTATTGGCATCGTCTGCATTGGATCAGCCCCAGGCCTTGATTTCACGTGATGGCTGATACACACCAACAGGAATCATGCACTCATTGTAGTTATTGAGATCCTCCTTGATGATCTCAATCAGCGCGGCAATTGAGCGACGATCCTGAGAATTCGAGATGCCTTCCTCACTCAAGAACTGATTCTGAATCTCCATCTCGGTGAAAGTACTCGCCAAGCGTCGGACCACCGCTTCGTACGGGATCTTGTCAACCTCGGTGCCGATGACGATACAAAAGTTGAACATGAACTCATTACGCTTGTACTTCTCGTTGTCGATGCAGACCGGGTGTCCAAGGATGCGGTATTTGTTTTCGGGCTCACAGATTGTGACATAGCGGTTGCAAAACGCCTGTCGCGGGATGATGTACTCGGATATTGTCTCGAAGTCAAACAGGCGAGGCTTGTCAATATCTGGCTCTGGAACAATGCATCCTGGTGGGCTTTGGTGAACGACTCTTGTTCCTGCGGGAAGTTAGAGCGGGAACATAAACGTCTCCTGATGATTTATACAGACCTTCCTCGGGCAGAAACCGGGCGTAGAAAATACCCTGTATCATGATGAGGCCCAGTGGAGGTCAACAATTCAAGTCTTATATAAAGCTGCCTCCTTAGGTCAGATTCTCAATCTTGGAAGCCATTTGATTCCTACAATACCTAATCAGTCGTGTACATTGGAGATAGGGGAGGCAAGTGATGTCGAATATAGCTCGCTAATCGGCAAAATATCCGGCATCCCGATTGGCCCGACAGATTAATAACCGAGCGATGAAAATCTTCCCCATTTCTGAACGGGTTTTTATCTTCTCTACGGATTATTCGTCAAGATTCATGGATTCATGATCCACGAGTATCTGTTTTGCTTTGGGAGCGATTTGGATAAAAAATTGTTCATTATGAGTGTTTGAAGGTCTACAGGCGCGCGTCAAGTGTTGCAAGCGCTCTCGAGGCTTCCCCTTATTGTCACGTGATTGTATCATTTCCGCCCCCTTTCTTGTATATCCCACCCCTTGGAGAGACAGCGTCGAGAAGAGGTGTCTTAGCGGACAGCAAAGTATAGACTAGAACCATTTCTTTTAGAGTTGACAGCTATAATATCCGAGATCTCGCATCTCTACCAAGGTCATCCCAGCGGCAAAATGACCGTTATCCAATCCCCCTTGGCAGCCCAAGACGGTACTTACTAACTGATCTTCCTCGTACCCCCTTAGACCTTACTGATATGCATTCTAGCTTCCCTCCCCAGTCTTCGGAGTAAGCCCTCCTTCAAAACCCTCCGCAACGCTCTCGAAAGCCTAGCCATTCAACCCAATTCCTGGACCGGAGCTTCCGATAGCCAAGATATCAAAGCCCAGGACCCCAAAAAAGTAAACCGGTATCTGCTTTCCGTGGTCTCCAGTGATCTGAGCTGGCTTGAAGATGGCGGTGCAGAAGAAGCCGTGGTCTCGGAACAGCGAGAGAAGATCTGGGAGCTAGCGAGCAAGAGGATGGCTGAGCGCTGTGGCAGAACTGGTACGTTCCATCTTCCCCGACGTCTCTGTCTCCTTTCTTCTCATAGTCCTGACCATTTCCACCAAAGCAATGCCAGAAATGACACGCACCTGGCTCATCCCCTCCTCGCCCACAGATCTCCAATTCTCGATCCGCGAGCCGCCTCTCACGGGCGATAACCTAGGTTTCAAAACCTGGGGCACCGCTTTCACCATCGCAAAGCTCCTGGACTCCCTCGGCACCTCCTATTTCTCTCATTTACTCTCCAAATCCCCCTCCTTGCCACAGCCCCAAATCCTAGAGTTAGGCGCCGGTACTGGCCTAGTCGGTATAGCCGCCGCCGCAATATGGCGTGCTTCCGTACTCCTGACGGATCTACCTGCTATTTATGGGAACCTGACGCATAATGCAGGGTTGAATGAGGAGATTGTGCGGGAGAGGGGAGGGAGATTGGAATGCGAGGTGTTGGATTGGAATACGCCTGTACTCACTTCTGACCCGGATCGGAAATTCGACGTGCGTTCTCCCCCCCACCAGTCCATCATCCATAACACGAGCTGGAAAGTCTAACAACCCAGCAGATCGTCATAGCCGCAGACCCACTCTACGACGAGGAGCACCCGTCGCTCGTCTCGCAGACGATCACCCAGTTTCTGAAGCGGGACGGCGGGGCGCGCGCTCTGGTCGCCGTCCCGTTGAGGGATGCCAAGACCGAGGAGATGGCTGTGAGCTTGGGAGCGCTGATGGCGAGGCTTGGTCTGGGGTTGGTGGGGCAGGGAAAGGAGGTGTTTTGGGACGATTGGGGCGAGGGGGGCGAGGGGGGGGATAGGGAGGGCGTTAGGTGTTGGTGGGGAGTTTGGAGGTGGGGCGTTGTGGAGTAAGGGGGTTAGTTGTACATATAGATAGAGATGTATATACCTCTCGACTAACATCAAGGACCGGACAAAGCCATATAGGTACCTATCTTCACTCGCCGTCCATCTATTGCGCTTCGCTCGCAGTCTCGCCCTCCATATACTCCGGTGGATTCAACACCTCTCCCTCGACCCAAACCTTCGCCAACTCCTGCTCAATCTCCGCCTTTCTATTCTTCCACTCGTCAACCTTCGTCAGCTTCTCTCTCAGCTCCATCAATTCTCTCTCGACGCCCATCTTCTCCTTGTCCGTGCCGATTCTTTCAAATTCCCACCCCGTGCCATCCTCACCTAGTCCCAGGGTTAGGTTAAAGGTATGATACCGCTTCAGACTAGCTCTGGTACTGATCGTGATGAGCGTGATGCCTTTATCCTTACAGCGCTCATATAACAAGCCCTCGACATCGGAGGAGACAGCTGAGGTTCCCTCGTCGATAAATGCATAGCGGGGCTCGTGATACAGAAGACGCGCGATGCACATCCGTTGTTTTTCGCCGCCCGACAATACATCTTTCCACTCCTTCCTCGTGTCCCAGCCGCCTTCGCGGTCTGGAAGGTACCCGAGACGCGCTTCTTCCAGCACGCGCTTGAGCTCGATGTCGCGGCGGCCCCGCTCGCGCATCTCAGGCTCGCCATCTGGGTAGATAACTTGATCGCGCAGTGTGCCGACAGAGAGGTAGGGGCGTTGAGAGAGGAACATGATGCCGTCGGTGCCGGTGGAGCGGGGGCGGGAGACGAGGCCGCGGTAGACGGGCCAGAGGCCTGCAACGATGCGGGCTACGGCTGACTTGCCTACGCCGTTGGCGCCGGAGATCTATCTTCATTAGCATTGAGAAATAACGGTGATGAGGGGACGTACGAGGAGATGTTCGCCGGAATGCACGATTACGGAGAGGGAGTTGATGAGTTCTTCGCCACCGCGAGGGAAGAGTGAGGGGGCTACGATAGGGACGTTTTCTAAACGGACGCCGTCGAATCCCTTTTGAATTGTGCCTTGCACATCGGAAAGGGAATAGAGTTCAGGATTTGTGCCTCTTTGGGGAGGATAGGCATTTGCGTGAACGCGGTGGAGAGTCGAGATGAGAGTGTAGACTCTGCTGGTATATCCGGCGAGCTCGGAGAGATCTTTGATGGAGTACATCATTCTTCCACCGGCATCAGCAAGGGAGAGCATGAGCCGCTTGTTTGTGATAAATGCTTTCATTCGGCCTCGCTCTCTGCCCCCGCTCGCCGCGGCGTCGGCCAGTTCTTGGATACCACCCAGACCGCCCCATGCGGGCAAGAAGACCGGCAAGGCGCTCAATAAGTAGCCGTATGCACTCCAGCTATATTTGAGAACGAAGTCTTCAAGAATGTTGTAGCGGATCTTTAGCGTGTAGATTCCCTCCATCCACTTCCTCAAACTTCGAAATTCCCTATCTAGGAAATTCTTCTCCATACTCGCCCCCCCATAGAATGCCACTTCCTCAGCATTTGCAATCAGACGAGCATGAAGGCCTCTAAAGTCACCCTCTTTACGCCCTTCGACAGCTTTTAGCTTGCCAAAAGGAGGAGAGAGTCGTCGTAGAATGGTGGCTGTAAGGAAATAGTTGCTCACGATTCCGGTCAAGGCAAGAGGTCCGAGAGCTCGATATAATTGGAAGTTGAAAACCAAGAGATCTATGAATGGCTTCCCCAATGATGAGTATAGACTAGCGGCCGCCGCACAGAACTGTGTTAGATCCTGGGTGATAAACTGGTCTGCTCCTTGACCAATACCGCCGTCCAGATTTGATAGTTTGTAGTAGTTCAGGTTGTCGTTGAGGTAAAGGTCATGGATGTATCTCGTGAGACGTGTTCGGAAGGCGATTGAGACCTTCGACTGCAGGAACTTGATCATGGCATTTGTGTAGGAAGCAAAACTGCCGATTCCACACCACTGCAAGATATTAGCTTAGTTCTAGGCCTATGTGTAGTATCCAGAAAGCTCCTTTATTTCTCAAAGTCGCTCAGCCACTATAACTAAGCTAAGGTAGTAGTTGAAGAAGGGCGCTACTCAATCTCTCTGTGCACATACGGCGGAGGCTTTCGGGGGTTATCAATATATGAAATGCAATAACCTACCTTGATGATTCCCCAGATGAACGATCTTCCACGTCCGGCTACAAGATCCCGCACAATCTCACCATCCAGTCTAGCTACAACCAGAGATAGATACGTCCGGAGCATAAGGAACATGCCGTGACTTAGCAATAACCCAGTCTCCTTGCTCGTCCATCTTGGTATCATTATGCTCAGCAGACTAAGGAACTGGTGTAGAAAAGCCAGGTTGAGACCTGGCTTTGTTTGTGGAGGCGGGATCTGAGCAGCATATGGGCCACCCGCAAGGCCCGAGGCTCTGGGTGGATTAAGGAAAAGCCTGCGATGCGCATCAAAGGTCAGGGGCTTTGTAGGATGTATCGTGACTTTTGAAATCGAGTCTTTGTATGGGACAAATATCACCCGAGAGCCATCTTTATTCTTCAGCCCGGAATTCCTTCGGTGTAATCGCTGCCCCTGCTCCTTTTCTGCTGTGCGTTTGCTCCACCATCGTTTGCCTCCAGCCCAGCCGGCTATGATAGAGAGCGCAAGCAAGCATGCTCCGAGCAGTCTTGTTGCTTTCGAGGTCCGCTTCAGACGTTGGCGCAGGAGGTTGGTATACTGATGGTAAAGCGCAGCCAGCGGGTCGGCAGAGCCTCGCAGAGTAGATTGAACCGCCATCGCCCCCTTAATCGTGGTCTTTCCAGGTGTCGTGGATGGTCCTTATGCGTGCATTGTTATGGCCTCATTGGCCCGATTGCCTCGTCCGGCGAGCTCCAGTCGCGGGTTCGACTGGTTGGTTATCGTCTCGGTGTAGAGCGTTGATCCTATACAGCAGATTCCCAATAGCCAATCTGTTCTTTAGCTGGCTGAAAGAGAAACGTATAGACCATGGCCATATACCTCTCTGGATGGAGGATTGTTGATGCTCGTGGTGCTCGTCGATGCTCGTTGATGCAATGCAGACCTCAGCCGAGGCATGTGAAAGCGCATCACGTGAGCCGTTGAACGCCGGGCCCCATTCTTTACCTCCAGCGCTGGATTATGATAGGATCATGCTGCTGCTTACCCCACGTTCTCCATCCACGAATTCCATGGTCCGACCCGCCGGCCCAGATAAAGAAAGGCAGCGTCTTTATCGGATTCACGAGCTTCAGAAGTTGAAGGAGGGGACATGGTCAAGGATGTTGTGATGCGACAGGGCACAAGTGCTCCCCATACGGAGTACAGGACCCTTCTTCCTCTCGAGCCTCTCCGGCTTCAATCCAAATTATTGTACAGTAACTCCTCTACAGGCTGCACCCGTTCTCCGGTAGGAAGCTTCTCCGCAAACACGCGATTCATTCAGTGCGTGCGGCGGAATTGGATAAACGGGTCCGCGTTGACGCCCCTTACATCGCGGGCCGTCAGAACAAGACGAATCATAATACTCTCTTCTCGCAACCTGGTTAGCAATACGGTACGGCTTCAGAAAGCGGAAAACGTCATGCCAGCTAACAGGTACAATGTACAAATGCTCTGTACTTTGTCCTCCCCACGTCGGGCAGGGCAGCGAGCCGATAGGCCACACGATAGCCGCCCGCCATCCGGAGCTTTGATCTCAATAGTTTCTGCAAATCCATGGACCCTGAAGTTTGAACGCGAGTCTGGGACGCCGGGCAGATCTAAAAAGCATGACAATAGTGGACTGGGGACACTACTGGCATCGTGAGCACGGTACGAACTTCGAAGTATATCCGGATTTCTATTCCTGGAGAACGGCGATCCAAGCTGGTGTGCTGCCCCAGCGTTTATATCAACTCCATACAAAGTTCAAACCGAGGAGCGGACTGGGCAGTGTGGGCTGGACCAGCATCGACCACAGTATTGAGTAATCCACGGCAGTTGCGATTCTTGCAAATGGAAGAGCCGGTGGCATATCCCAGACTCCTCCCAGAGAGACATCTTTTGAAGCAGGGTGGGGGAATGGCTCTGATAGGCTGGATCCTCTCCTGTTCTTGAAGGGAGGGCGTTTAATATGGCATCCTATTGGGTTGTGGGTGAGTCAATTGGTGATGGGCTGTGAATGGCCGACGCAACTCTACGACTGCACGCAACGGTCAAGAGGTCTCGGGATTCAAGAGTGAGTTGAAGCTTCAGGATTTCCGGGATTCCTGGATTCCTGGATTCCTGGACTACTCCTAGTCGCACCAAGGATCCGCTGGAACTGTGTGCATCCTCCGTAGCTTGGTCTGATCGTCTGGGTGTGCGCGTGCCCGACGAGTTCGAAGAAGCGCCCACGACTGAATCCTGCATACCTCGACTTACATAATCCTGGTGGAGGTGGTGTTAGACTGTTAGACTGTTAGTGGTCCTCAGTGCAGTTATCCGATATCCAGGGATGCTCCTAGTCCTGGTCTCAGAGACAAATCCCGCTGGCTGCTGTGACTGCGACAGCGACTCTATCTGGTGCGGTCGTAGAAGAAGCACCCTGCGTACTGTGCATTGTGCATTGTGTGTTGCGTTGTTGTAGATATCCGTTCTGTACACTGCTGCACCACGGACAGTATCGACGACTACTAACTGGAGCCGGTTTTTGGGTCAATCTCGCTTAGTCCTCCCTCTTCCCGCCATCCCCCATCTAGAACCTCAGCCTTTCTCCCGCTCGTTGAACTTCGGTCTCCCTCCCTCTCTCTTTCAGAGACCAAGAGCCCTTTCGAAAGAATCGATCTACGGTCGGAGCTTCACTGTACGCCCTACATCAGTCGTCGCACAACTCCCTCGGTGACAGCTCCCCCTGATTCTTGAATCGCATCGCCCGCGCTGCTCCCCCCCCGTCATTCAACGCCTCACGGGTCGTGGAAGCGGTTCGAGATCCCCATTTTGAAGCTGCTGCGCTCCATCACCGCGCGGAATCGATAGCGCGTGGAGAAGGCACAGAGTATCAGATACCCTGCTGGATTCTGCTGGCCGATCGTGGTCGTGGATTGCCCTCGATGAGTAATGAGGTTGCTCCTCCGACTGAGCAGGATCTTAGCCGCTCAGCTTCATTAGCTGGCACGAAGGGGAACAAACCACCCGCGCTCGATACCTCGAACTGTATGTACTTGCCCCCAAACATGCGGATCTATTGTTAGCGGCATCTCGGGACGAGATGTGCCTGTGATAGAAGTGCGAAGATCTATGCGTAACAGAAAGCTAACTATCAGATGCAGCCACAGACGCTCCCCACCCTCCGAGTTCATCGACACAAGCGACTTCGATCGCCCAGAACACCATCGCTACCGAAGAGTCCGGGAGAACAGCGGTGACGGCGTCGCAGAACGAGAAGGACTTCTTGAGCGGAGCGGGCGACGTGCAGGAAGTCTCCCAGAAGAACAGGGGGCTCCTTCATGTTCCATCTCGATCCTCTTCTAACAAGATACAACCATCGCCGACATCAACCGGCCTTAGTGGAGCGACTGCTAGTGATCCGAGGGAGAGCATAGACGGCAGATCGAGGGAGTCGAAGAGGAGCATTCTTGGCAGGCGGCGGAATGGTAGTGCCACAAGCAGCAGGATGTCGATACCACCACGAGGCACCCCAATAGGTGTTTCTGGGAACGTGAGTACCACAACTACCAAGGTCACTGCACCTCGATTGTCCAAGAAAAAGGGCATCTTATCCTTTCTTTGCTGTGGCGTTCCGGATCATGAGAGTGTGGTGGAGTCAAACGAGCCTGCCGCACCAGCCAACAGAGTTGCGAAGGTCCCTGCCAGACGTCCTACCGTAGCCAGCAGGTCAGAGAAGGCTGGGGCAGAGCAACAGAACGATATCGTGGCTCAATCAAAGACGGAAAAGGAGGCTATTGAACAAACCGAAACGGGCAATGATCGAGATGATGTAACGGGTCTAGATTCAGGCAGAACCGTACAGTCTGAAGCGGATCAGCCAGCAGGGCCTAATAGGGAACTGAACCTTCCTGGTGATGCACGTGATCAACCATTGCCTGAATTACCCAAAGAATCGGGACCAAGCACGAGCTCGGTTGGCCCATCAGTGGTTATTCAAGCACCTGCAAGGACATCGTCGACACGAGCGACTGCGGCACCCGAATCAAGTGAGGGGCCGAAGGACGAAGAATGTGATGTCGCCGTCCAAGATTCAGAACCTCTGCCAAGCGACACAGAAACAGTCCCAGATGATGCCGTTCCTCGGGGAGACGAGGTCGTCCGAGCTGACCTATCTCTACCACCTGCACCCCAAGCAGATGGAAGTGAAGAGGCTGTACCAGAGACAGCCGAGGCAAAGCAGCAGTGGTTACTTCCCCCAGTTGCACCGCGGTTTAAGGGGAAGAAGTGTTTGGTTCTCGATCTCGATGAGACCTTGGTCCACAGCAGTTTTAAGGCATGTTATCCTCCCCCTGTTATAAGTCACTAGCTCACAGTAAATGCAGATTTTACACCAGGCGGACTTCACAATCCCCGTTGAGATAGAAGGACAGTACCACAATGTCTATGTTATCAAGCGACCTGGTGTCGATCAATTCATGAAACGGGTGGGCGAGCTTTATGAAGTTGTTGTCTTTACCGCTTCAGTCTCCAAGGTAGGCAATACTTCCCCTTTATCCGATTTTGACACTAACCCTCTCAAGTATGGGGACCCTCTCCTTGATCAACTTGATATTCATCATGTCGTACACCATCGCCTCTTCCGCGAGAGTTGCTACAATCATCAGGGCAACTATGTCAAAGATCTGTCACAGGTTGGGCGTGATCTGAAAGAGACAATCATCATCGACAACTCTCCTACATCATACATCTTCCACCCTCAACATGCTGTCCCGATCAGCAGTTGGTTTTCGGATGCGCACGACAACGAGCTGCTGGATTTGATTCCGGTTCTTGAAGACTTAGCTGGCGCGCAGGTGCGAGATGTCAGCTTAGTCCTCGATGTCGCCCTCTGAAACACAAGAGCGACCCTGCATGCAATACCCTTGCTATCATAGCGGCTGGCGTTTGGTTGATACCTTTGGTTTCATTGTAGACTGTACTGTTTTATCTATTTAATGGGCATGGCCGGCCAGCCAGGTCACTCAGAAAGGAGCGGGAATTGAAGGGGTTAAAAATTGTGGAAGAGCTGGTGCCTTCGAAGCGGTGGTTTTCTTATTCAACAAGCAGCAGACCGAGTCTTGAGTCTCAAAAAAAAACGGTACCCAGAGCGGTCCGATACTTCTTCACCCGAGCAGGACGGGCGAGCGTGGATATACTGACAGCGACACCAACAGACGAGTTTTCCTTTGTTTTACCTTCCCTTCAGCATGCGCATGGTGGCGCACAAGATCTTCCTGTATCAAAGCATAGTACCTAGTCGAGGAGGTGGTGATGCATAGAGCGAGAATAAATAGCCCTGATGGCCAAGGCATCTTGATAGTTTGACCGCAGACACCTCTCTCCATAGAGTGCCTTGGAAATGTCGGAATTGTGGAATTATAGCCCTTTTTTTTATTGTCATTATTATTACTATTACTATAATTGAGAGTATTCCATAGACACAGCACATGAATGAATACCTCTTATCACATGAAGCGTTCTCCCCGGATTCCACTATTTCTAAGTCTCACGGCGTGCTCCGCCCATGATTAGTCGCGGGTCTAGAGCCAATTGATCCTTGCCACAGCCGAGAGCCTCCTTAGAGGATCGTGTCCTCAATTATTTCGCGATTCCCAAACCACGACCACCCATACACAATTCTATTTATCGTCTTCCAACACCCAACTAATCTCCCTCTCTTTACTTCCCATTTCTTTCACTTCAGTCACAATGGTATATGTCTTCTCTCCCCTGCCCCTCTCCCCAGGACTCCTATTTCTTGCGCACATCACTCAACCGCTCACCCACTCTCCCAATCCCATTCACAGTTCCAATTCCAATACCAATTTCCAGTTACGCAGTGTAGCTAACGAACTTACAGTCATCCCCCCGCGCTTCCTCCCCCGTCAACAGCCCGGGCAGCGCCCGCCCATCGAGCCCAACACCTCCCGGTGGCCCCAAGACAGCGATTAGACGCCGCGCGGCAGCGGACCAGAAGGAGAAGCTTGCGAGTGCGCGGCCGAGCTCGACCAGAGCGGCGGGTGCGGGCGGGAGTAGCAGTACGATGTTGAGTATGTCTCTCCCTTTGCCTATCTATGTTGGAGCGGGACGGCGGGTGATTTTTCCCGTGGGGGGCTGAGTGGTGGTGTGAAGGGGATGAAGGGGAAGGAGCTGGAGTGGGATATGTGCTAATGTGAATATCCAGGACTCTACACCGACGAAAGCCCGGGATTGAAAGTCGACCCCGTGGTGGTATTGGTTCTCTCTCTGGTTTTCATCTTCAGCGTTGTGGCTCTGCATAGTATGTCCCCTCCCCCTTCATTTCCCGGGCTGGTTAGCTGACCAAGACATAGTCATTGCGAAGATCACACGCAAGTTCTCCAGCTAGATTCGTTCCTTCGATGAGAGAGGCTGAAAGTTGCGGATGCGCTGTTGCCTGGGGTGGCAGATATCTGAGGACGAGGGTAAAGAGTGCGAGAGCCCTGGCGGGAATGCAAATAAAAGGGCTAATTAAAAGGCTGGCTGTAAAAGCTACAGGGGGATCGCGAGGCGGAAGATCATACACGTATACATGTTGGGCGACTGCGCTCTTGTACTATAGCGATTAGTTCTTTTGTTGGTTATTGAAAGATGAGGTTTGGCGGGCTCTTCTCGGTTCCTCCTGGGTTGCTTCGTTCTTTGCATCTATCTGGTGATGACGGCGCTGGAGAATGACGCCCCGTCCCCCGGATGTGAACCAGTCCCACCCTCTGGACGAATCGGGTAAATGGGATTTGATTTGATTATACACAGAGTTAGAGGCACCTAGTCCAACCCTCTTTTCTCGGGAGCTAGAATGACAGAGGCTGGGTGTATGGGCTCATCTATGCATTCATCCGTCTATTGTGTGGTTTGTGGGCTCAGCACCATGATATCGATGGAACAGCGTGTGAGCCGAGAGATCGATATGAATACCAGACTGTCTGTAAAACGGTAGATGTACATATGGAGGTGCCCTCTCTCAGGCCAGGAATCATGTGCACGAAGAGAGATTTTCACCGGTTCCTTGAACCATACCAGAACAGAAAAAGATAGCCAAAAAACCAGGAAAAGAGAAGAAAGATTAATAATCCACTGCCGGCTTTCAAATCAGATCAGATGTCATCCATCTCCCAATCTGTGACTCCTTTGCTTGAAAAGATAAGAATAAAGACACAAAACACAAGACCCCTTTTCCTTGTCGCGCGCAGAGACAAAGAGGAGAGCATGTGAAAACATACCTGTTATATGCCCGCGCCCTGTGTTCACTAAGAATCGACCGTCGCTGGGGCCCCCTGACCCGTTTCGTCACAGGACAGGGATCAGTTGGATATTCCCCGCTTTATAAACAGACCGTTCTCTGCCTTGATCGTGGACGCTGGGAGGGAGTTTTGCTGAACTCTTATCTTCGACGACGATATTGAATTCCAAAGACGGGAGAGACAGAGAAAAGAAAGCATATTATTCTGACATTGGATCCTCGAGATACAGGCTGTACAAAGTGCGGCTGGGAAGAGCCTTTCACTACGAGGAAGCAGCACGGCGAGGGGTTCAGACCTAGCTCTTGAGATCCAGAGAGTCGAGGGAGGGATATGCCAAGGACGAGCGGAGGACAAAGGCAAGGCACATATGGGAATATAGCAAGAGGCCATTCGAGACTGGGCTTGTGCCTGTGAGAGGCGAGGAGGCTGCGAGTCACGACGGACCTCAGCCTTGCGCCTTCAGAAGAGCAGCCAGTTCTCCAAGGACCCAACCTCGATCCCAACAACAGGATGGCTTCTATACCCAGCGAAGAGCCTCCCCAGGCGGCAGAGGAGGGCCTACCGCCTGCGCTCATTGCGCAGGCCGAGGCAGCGATTGCAGGGAATATCCAGCAGAATGGAAGAACGCTAGCGGTGAGGTCGAAATCATATACGAGGCTGGGCCGTTCGCAAGATCAGGATACCAACTCAGCATCTGGCAATGTGAGAGCTCCTCTTACGAGGTAAGTGAGGTTTACGGTTTACACGCAGTATATAGCTGATTTCCTCCTTCCACAGAACTAGAACCCATCTCGGTGTCCCCAATATCCTCACTGTAGATGGTCCCGAAGCACCGCCCGCATTTGGAGATAAGCATGATAGCCTAGAGCTGAGCCAGGATGGGTTTGATACCAAGGCACGCGTCACAGATGATGGGCGGGTCAATATCAGCATCAACCAGAAGACTCGAAAATTATCTGATCTTCTGGTGCCTGCGCTGCGAAACCAGCTCTCTCTCGTTGCACAGGAAGAGGAGAAGCCGCTCCCGCCAGGATATATTCCACCTGCGCTAGGGGGACTTCCCGGCCAGACACCACCACCGAAGCTGAACGTTGTTATTCATGTGGTGGGATCTAGGGGAGACGTGCAGCCGTTCGTGGCGTTGGGGAAGTGCCTGAAAGCTACATATGGTCATCGAGTGCGTCTAGCGACCCACCCCACGTTCCAAAGCTTCGTCGAGGAAAACGGCCTCGAATTCTTCAGTATCGGCGGTGACCCTTCCGAACTGATGGCATTTATGGTCAAGAACCCAGGACTTATGCCCGGATTCGACTCCTTGAAGTCCGGTGATGTTGGGAAGCGCCGGAAGGGAATGGAGGAGATCGTCCTCGGCTGCTGGAGATCATGCGTTGAGGCTGGCGATGGCCTAGGTCCACCGCCGCGGAACAGCGGTGATAGCATCTCGGGGCTTTCTGGCGGCATCAATATGGATACAAATCCCACGGAGCGGCCTTTTATCGCTGACGCTATCATTGCGAACCCGCCTAGCTTCGCTCACATCCATATTGCGGAGAAGATGGGCATTCCTCTCCACATGATGTTCACGTATGTCAACCTCTGCATTGTTTCTTGTGTAAAACTGACTGTTCCTACAGAATGCCGTGGTCACCTACGCAATCCTTTCCCCACCCCCTCGCAAACATCCAGTCTTCGAACTGCGATGTCAATATGACGAATTTCGTATCGTACGCATTGGTCGAAATGATGACTTGGCAAGGTCTTGGAGACGTTATCAACCGCTTCCGGGAACGAGCACTCGGACTTGACCCAATCAGTTTGATATGGGCCCCAGGGATGCTAAGCCGTCTTCGGATACCATATACATATTGTTGGTCGCCAGCATTGATTCCTAAGCCTAAGGATTGGGGGCAGCATATCTCAATCTCGGGCTTCTACTTCTTGTCCCTAGCTTCTTCCTATTCACCCCCTCCAGACCTTGCTGAGTTTCTCGCTGCTGGCGCACCACCGGTCTATATTGGCTTTGGTTCAATCGTGGTTGATGATCCGGATGCAATGACCAAATTGATATTTGAAGCCGTCAAGAAGGCTGGTGTCCGAGCCTTGGTTTCGAAGGGCTGGGGAGGACTTGGGGCTGATGATATGGAAGTCCCTGAAGGGGTCTTCATGCTGGGCAATGTTCCTCATGATTGGCTTTTCAAACACGTCTCCTGTGTCGTTCACCACGGTGGTGCTGGAACCACAGCTGCTGGTATAGCTACCGGAAAACCTACTGTCATTGTTCCTTTCTTTGGCGACCAACAATTCTGGGGTGCGATGGTGGCAAGAGCCGGAGCTGGCCCTCTCCCCATTCCACATAGACAGTTGACGGCCGACAAGCTAGCAGCCGCAATTCTCGAAGCTCTCAAGCCTGAGACTCTGGAGAAAGCCAAAGAGCTAGGTGCCAAGATCAAAGAGGAGAAAGGGTCCGAGCAGGGAGGCAAAAGCTTCCATGACATGCTAGATGTTGATAATCTGAGATGTTCTCTCTCGCCGAGCAGAGTTGCCGTCTGGCAAGTTAAGCGCACCAAGACCCGACTCAGCGCCCTGGCTGCAGCTGTCCTCGCAGACCAGGGCCTTCTTGATTTTGCTGATCTGCAGCTTTATCGGCCCCGAGAATACGAAACGGAGGATGGGCCATGGGATCCTATTTCCGGGGGTGCTTCGGCTTTGTTGGGGACTATTGCAAGTCTCACAATGGGTGTCGCGGATTTCCCTGTCGAGATATTTAGAAGTGTGAAAGATAAGCATCGGAAGGCTAAGCCGAAAGAAAATGCTACGCAGTCGTCAGGCTCGGGCTCGGAGCCATCTACAATTATTTCGCGCGACCAGCCTGAGGCGGAGTCCGGTTCGGAAGAGAGTGCCAAGGCAAAAGACCAGGAGGCATCAGAGCCCTCTTCACAGCCAGACTTGTCCTCCGCTCCATCAACGAAAGTCTCCTACGACAGCGAGGTTCGAACATCTAACGATACTCGTGCTAGTATTGACACACCGCTGACAAGTACTTCGTCAACGGGACCGCAACGTGGGAGATCACTCAGAGAAGCACTCAGAGGAACACTTTCGAGGTCGAGATCGAGATCCGGTTCAAGTGATGGATTATCACGATCCGGCTCAAAGAGCCGCTCACTTTCGCGTCGAGTTTCCATCCACCGCACACCTCCCGAATTCGATCCCCGAAAGCTAACGGTGGAAAACGTTGTCGGTGCCGGTAAAGGGATATCTCGTATCGTGGGGGCGGGCATAAAATCGCCTATGGATTTCACACTGGGTCTCGCTCGTGGATTTCACAATGCGCCGAAGTTGTATGGCGATGACACTGTGAGGCCTCAGGAGAAGGTTACGGATTTCCAAAGTGGTCTTAAGGCAGCTGGGAGGGTAAGTAGGGTCCTTGTGATGTTCCGCCGCGTTGCTAATGTCGACAGGAATTTGGATTCGGATTTTATGATGGGATATCGGGTCTCATTACACAACCAATGCGAGGAGCCGAGAAGGAGGGTACAGCTGGTCTGCTCAAGGGTATCGGAAAGGGCATTGGAGGACTTATCATGAAGCCGGGCGCAGGTTAGATGTCCTATTCCGTCTTTTATCTTTGAAGTCCTATCTAACCCTATTGCAGCAATTTGGGGTCTCCCAGGCTACACTTTCTTGGGTATTCACAAGGAGGTCCGGAAGCTCTTTGGTTCAAGTGTTATAAACTATGTTATATCGGCACGGACAGCACAGGGGTATGAAGAATTCAGGACATCCACTGCTCGGGAACGTTTGGAGATCATCACCCGCTGGCGCGAGCATAAAGCCGAATACCAGAATTCCAAGCAGAAGCCTACTGATGCTGAGGGCCAGGATACAGATCAGCTCACTCCAAAGGGATTCTTTCACACAAGACACCTCAGTTTTGACGAGAGGAAAAGGTTATACGAGGAGAGGAAAGCAAGGAGTGAGGCAGAACGCACCAAGGTCCGAAGCGAAGACCACACTCCACGCCCCGGGCAGCAGACGTCCATAGTCTCAGACTCGCTCTCCAGCGACCCGAACCTCGAATTTGAGCAGGCGATCCACGCCTCCGTAGCCGCTACCTCACGCGGGGACCTCACCGAGGACCGCATGATCGAGCGAGCGATCCGCGCCAGCGTCCGCGAGCTCCAAACCGACGACGACGCCCTGCTCGACGACCAGGAAGCCCTCAACCGCGCCATTCAAGCCAGCATCACGGAAGCAGCGCGCCGCCATTCCAGTGACGGCGAAGGACCCATCGCCATGACGGACGTGGAAGAAGCAGCTCACCAAGCGGCCCTCGAGAAAGCGATCCAGGAATCCCTAGCTAACTACCAGCTGTCACAGAGCTCAGGGCTCGAAGCTCAGGAGGATGAGAACGTCCGTCTCGCGATTAGGATTTCGAGACGGGCGGCTCCGCATAGTGAGGAATCTGAGGATGAGGATATCAAGCTCGCGATTAGGAAATCGAGGGAGGCTGCAGTGGAGAGGGAGGAGCTGCAGCGCGCACGGACAGAAGAAGAGATCGTGTTAGAGTATGTTAAGAAGCAGAGCCTGATTGAGGAGGCTCATAAGTCGACCCTTGAGGCTCAGTCACAGTCATCGGCTCCAGGAAAACAGCGAGGACTGAAGGAAGAAGAACAGAGTGCAGCGGATGAAGAGGCGCTGAGACTCGCTATTGAGGAGAGCTTGAAGGGCTCTGTCTCTGGATCAGGATCTGGGACTCGCGACGATGCGGTTTAATGGCGTTATTCTTTTTTTTCTTCTCCCTTTAGACGGCTGGTCGGTGAGTTCTTTCGCAGCACGCAAGTTCAAGCATATCGGATAGATACCCATGCATGTATGTATGTATGTATTTATGTATGTATGTCAAAGTAGATAAAGATATAGATATAGATCATGAATTGGAATGGTCCAAGATTGTCTAGAGATGTAAGACTACAACTGTCGAACGCAGCTGGTTATACAGAGATCGATATTCCTGCGTCCAACTCTTGTTAGATACCTTATACAGTTGAATCTTGTTGGATATTTGGGCTCTTAGGCACCTATTTGAAGGATATCGCGCCTGTGCCTATCTATAGCACTATATAGAGTAGTCAGTTACCCTTCTTTTCTCTTAAATCAAGTCATTATCCCCTGTCCGACCCTCCCGTGTGACAGTTATGAGCCCGGGTTGTTTCTCCTCGCTATAATCTTGATTCCTCTATTCGATCGCCGTGATGTGGAATAAAAGCCCTGATATCTGTAATATTACTGTCTGTCGAATTTGCCGTATGATTCGACTCTGTCACCTGTTAGCCGTGCTAATGGATCAAAACACTACTATCATATGATCGATGTGTCTATAGTACCGAATTTGATTAAACCGTCAAACAAGGCTCCGACGCCCTTTTCGTTCTTGACGCCGGACGAGGCAGAGGAATACTAAGACCTAATAGCGTAGACCTAATAAGCTCTGTATTTGTGGAAAAGAGCACTTGCGTGAATAGTGTCCTTACGTGGTCACGAAAATCAGGGGTGACAGGTGTATCAAAGATCCGAAGATCATGGCCGACTTTAAAGGAGAGTAGTGAGCCTCTACAAAAGACTATTATATGTACTCAGCCTAAGAAGCCGTCTCTATTGTTCTTTTAGATCTAAGGGGGTACAGTCATCGTTTTTGTTGTTATAGTTGTTATAGTTGGTTTCGTTGATTTCGTTACTGTGAATTTTCATCGACTAATCTCAGTATCTTCTAACCCACCTAGCGTTTCGTCGTTTATTATAGACCATTCAATATTCTTATCTTTACCAGAATAATCACTGTTAATGTTAACGTACATCTTCGCTAAGTAAGGTAGGATAGTTACGAGGGGTAATTGATCTTAATCAATCTTGTTACCAAGCTGTAGGTCGATTTAAAAGTCAGGGATCAAAGCATAATACTACTATGTAATCCCACGCTCCTTATCACTGTAGTTGTAGCGTTAGGGTACACAGGATATTATAATAGTAAGACGCCTAAAGAGAGCACCATGTAGTAAAGGGATCTAGGAGGTAGGTAGGAAGGTTTGACTATGGCTACTAGGTGCCGCTTACGCGAGAGTCACCTGACAGAACCCCCTTTTATAAACGAGAACAAGCGAGATCTGATAAGCTTATCCTAACTTTCCTAGGGAGGAGGGATTAGACGAGTAACGTTAATTGTTGTTGTAAGGAGGTTTAGATTCTAAAGTTTGTAAATTTAGTGTAGATAAGAGTGGTAGTTAGAGAGAATGGGATGAGGGGGGGGGGAAGGAGTGGCCTGAGGCAATATAAGGAGAGTGGACCTGAGTAATAAGTGCAGATAGAGAGTGGATTAGAGACAGGGAAGTATGGAAAAAAAGAAAGAATAGAGCTATGGTAGTAGAGCTAGAGTCATAGTTTCACAGTTTATACCCCTCTAGACTTCCCAGTATTGATATGATCAAGAGTGCGTGTCGATAGGTAGGTAGGTAAATACATAACGTCCATCATCTAAGCCCCGTCTCTCGATTCCGGAACTTCCTCTGCCAGAACACATGTAGACAAAGAGCTACAAACAACAACTCTCCCTCCTCTACGAAGCGGGGACACGAGGAAGAGAGCAGCACTAGCTGGAACGGGAACAGAAGGTGGTTGTTCTCGAGAACTAGTTGCTCGGCGGTGACCAAGACTTCTGTAGATGGAGAACCTGGGAGGTTTGTCCTTCTTCTGACTTTTGTCAAGGGATCACAACAACAACAACAACAAGAAGAAGACCTGAAAGAATAGCAGCAACATCAACAGGACAGGAGTATCAGACAGCCGCTGCTTCTGATACTTCAGATTTGCTTTGCAACGCTTTGCAACTGGTATGTTTCTCCTGTTACTTTGGGTGATTGGCACAAACAACTGTCTATGATGTGGCATGCCCTTTTATCCATCCTATCCTCACCCATCCCATCCACGCCTCATTCATATCCTCTCACATTCATCCCTCTTCGAGAGATCTATCAATCTAGAACCAAGACTAACAAATTGAGAGCTCATCTCCTCCCACTCATATCAGATAGAGAGGTATGTGATTCCACTTGAACTGAGGGGTATCTTTCTTGTTGCTGCCCTTCTTCTCTGATCTCATTTCAAAGTACTACTTCCGACCTCGAGAGAATGCTAACATTTGAAAGATCTATCTTCCAGTACCTCCTCTGGGGCTCCTCATCACCTCCTTCCACATCCACAAGCACAAGAAAAGAGCCACAACTACGACAGAGCTCTTGTACTGTACGTTACTCGGGTTCTTTCGATACTTGATCTTCTTCTTCCCCATCGCTGTCTGTCATCCCCTCAGTTGAATATACGCTTTGAAGTACACTACTCAAATTGTGTTGACAACTTGTTCTTCTCCGCATATCCTCTCATATCACTGCATTCTATTTTCTTAAGTGTATGCACACATTGAAATCTCCTAGTCAGTGTTGGCTGAGCTTGAGGTCTCTCCATACATATAGAGCCTGGAAGTATACAGATCCACTGGGCTCTTATTTGGCTTTCCATACTCTGCATTTGGTATGCTAACTGGGACTACTAGTAGCACATCAAGATGGAGAAATCTTGGCCAAGAAAGACCGTCCCAGGCTCCAAGCCCACTGCTCTCGGAGACCAGTCCGCCCCGCCCCCAGCGGAGTCCGCCCCAACTATTACTCGGCAAGGAACAGCTGGGCAAAGAAGAGTGAACAACCAAGAAGGAGCCAGAGAAGACACGGAGAATGGTCCCCGCCGATCTACTCGGCTAAGAAGACGCACTGAACAAGTGAATTACAACGAGGACTCAGGTGAAGATCTAAGAACTTCTCAATCGCGTCCCAAGAAGAAAACCCAGGCTCTTCGACAACACAACAGCAACAACGAAAGTCAATATAGTAACAATATCAGCCAAGGAGAGTTTCAACTTGAACAGACTCCCCCAAGATCCTTTGAGTCAACTCCACAAGACTCATATCCCTCTTCTAACGCACTATCTCAACTTCAACACAATCCAAGCTTTACTACAGCTGCCAATCTTGGGCTGCGTTACGACAGAAAATTTGTAGACACATACAACCCAGGCACATACCTGGGATCTACCTACATTAACAAAGACTACGACATCAACATGTCTGATTCCCCACCTCACAAGAAGAGGTCCGGACGCGGTGCACGTTCTTCTGACAATGCTGGATCCCCTCCTAGCCGCGCTTCCTCTTCTGCTCGTGCTGCTTCTTCCCATAGCCATCCTTCTTATCCTTTTGGTCGTGAAGCTTTTGGCTCTGGCCATACTGGCTCTTTTGGCAATACAGGTTCTTCTGGACGTGGTGCTTCTTCATCTAGCCGTGGTGGTCACATTGGCTCTTCTTCTGGCCGTACTGGTTATTCTGCAGGCATTGCTGGCTCTTCCAGCCATGCTGGTTCCCCTTCTAACCACACCGGTTCTTCAGGCATGGCATCTTCTTCTGCTAGACGCGCCAGTTCTTTAATCCAACGCCCTATTTCACGACAGTGGGTAGAACAGGCAGTTCCAGGTCAGTATTGTGAACTTTCTTTATTTTCGCGATCGTCAGATGTATCCCGTTTTTGAAGATTTGTTTCAAAAAAAAACCAATCTATACTTGCCTTCTTAGTTCATAAGAATTGTTGCTAACTTGGGATGAACAGGACGTAGCATGAACTCTATGTCTTCGGGCATGCGTATGGGCTCTGTGGATTCAGACATGGGCATGGGCTCTATGAGCTCAGGGATAGGTGTAGGCTCCTCGACTCCAGGTTTTGGCATGGGCTCTATGAATTCAGGCATCAGCATGGGCTCTTCAACTCCAAACATTGGCATGAGCGACTCTCCCTTTAACTTCAATGTCAACAATCCACACTCAATCTTCTCTCAGCCAGCACCTCAGCATCATCCTGCCGCCCCACGCCTTTCGACTTTCTCTCAAACGCTACCTTCACTACCCAGCGATAAGGTCCTGACCGATAGTCTCCAGAGATCGGTCAATGAACAAATGGCCACTGCTCGGGGAGAAATGGATCACAGAAATCCTAACTGGCGCCATCCTTGGGGAATTCCAGTCGAACCAGCCTCGCCGCCTGTCAGACCTTGGGTCCCCGAAGCTCTAATTCCGAGATATGAGCACAATGTCAATTATTCAGACCAGTTCTTCAACTTCCCGGCCGATGAGGAGCCCGTTTTCGGCGGTTTCCTGTCTGACGACCACAACCCAGCCAGTATCTTCGACTACATAGCTGATGAGAATAATGCAGTTGGCAATATACCAGCTAACGAGCTAAACGATTTGCTCGACGCCTCGACTCTCAATGACAATAACGCATTTGACAATCCTCCAGCTGGTAACTTGAATGCCATGTCTAACTTCCTAGTTGATAATAACAACGCCTTCGGCAATCTCTCAGCTAACAATATGAATGATCTTCCCGTCATGGAGGATGTTGATCCTATCCAAGCTAATATCAACTTCCCGCTTGAAAACATGGACGAGTTCCTAGATAAAGATATAGCCCCCTACTTCGACTATAATGCCTATTATAATGATGTCGACGCCGCTGGAAATGCCCAAGATGGGAGTGTAGGCAATTCTGGGAATCTCGCGGGTGGTGCAAATGCTTTCGGTGATGTCCAAGCTGCAGGTGCAAATGCCATCCCTGCCTACTCATTTGGTTCCGGTCTTCCTCCTATGATCTCCCCTAACCCACATGGAGCTCAACCAACGCAGGCACCACCAGTCGGCAATGCACTCAGGCTCATCGAGAGAGAGACTCAGAGCCTCGTTGATCAGGGAGAGACCGAAGAAGATAATGAGGATGTCAGACGCGGTCGTGTCGCTTCCGCAACCCTACGCAGCATGAGGACTCAGGATGTCAAGGAAAACAAGAAGAAGGCCAAGGGGAAGGCACCAGCCAACAACGCCGACGCTCCAACGGTCTATCGACCTTTACCTGAATTCAAAGATCTGGCCTTGGGAAAGATCAAAATGGCAAAGACAGACGGTGTCCCCGGGTCCGATGGCAACGGTATCTCGGGAAAAGGAAAGGCGAAGCAGACAGAGGTGTCTGATGCGGCGAATGGTTGTACCTTCTGTCTCCATGGATGCGATTGGGGTGTCAGTAATGACACCGTATTGCTTCCAGAGGGGTCCTCCTCTGGTTGGTGCGCTGCTTGCGGCAACCCAGACCAGGGTGAGTTCTTTGATCTCTGGAGCACCATCATGGAGAGCCGTGGTGAGCCCGTGGACCGCGAGGTCCTCAAAAAAACCGACCGAGCAGAAGGGGCTGCAGACGGCAAGAAGGTTTACAGCCTGATCGATGGCCGCGATATCACCAAGTTCCAGGGGCCGATGTTCTGCAAATCGTGCCCTTGGCGCCAAATCGACCCCGCGAAGACGAGAATCTGCGGTGCCCACCGCGACGAGAAATTCGCCGTGGTGAAGCACCATCGCCACCTCCAATTCAGAGGCACTGGGTATGCCAACCCGGAGGACTCGTTTTCTGCGCAACAGGCGCGCAGAATGAACATGAACGACGTCGAGGACATGGTCCGCGAGGACCTTGTTAAACAAGCTTGGCTTGATGCGAAGTTCAAGGAGAATAGTCGGTGCATGGTATGTCCGAGCAGCGCGACCGAAGTCTGTGTGGCGTGTCCTTTACGGCTCTGCTCCAGATGTGAAGTCCTGCTCCGCAACATGTGCAAGGGCTATCTTAACAATCTCTTCTATTACTACGAGAGGGATCATCTTCGCAACGACGCCTTCTTGCTCCGATCTGACGGCGGTGGGTTCTGATTTAAGGAGGATAATAGATTAAGGCTGGTGAAGATAGACATTGTTGTGTATTAGTATAGGTTGAATAAATAATGTATTTGTAATCCTACAGTACTTACCTAGACAAAAGTTCTCGTCGATTTGACCAGGACCCCGTACCCTAACAGCACACCCTATATATATTAATGTATAACTGTCTTAGTTTACATAGTATTTCTAATGTAGATACAGACAATTAAACATTAGAATCAGGGCTATTTCTGCCCCTAAAAAATCAATAGGTTAGCTAGAATTAAGTCTAATATTTAGTGTACTACCTGTTAGCTGTAATACAGGCCTAGATCCTCCTCTCTATAATCGTTCAGTAGGCCTACCCTTACCTAATCTCGGCTAATCGCCTTATTAGGTAAGGGATAGCAATACGCGAATACTAGTAATACGTAAATCTTTTACCCTACTACTACTACTACCACTCTTTACTACTTAATATAGTACCTAAAAACGCTAAAATTAAAGCCGCTATTAGTGTAGCCTATAAGGTAATAGATTAAGATCCTAACCTTAAAGGAACAGCTACTATAGAGCGTTTTAAGGTATCTTATTACTAGTTAATAGCCTAGCGCCGTAGCCGTCCTAACAGCTCTTTAAGAGGGGGACACAACAAAAAGCTCTTAGCTTTATAAGACGCTACTCTTAGGGAGTATATCTTTATACTCTATAGTTGTAGTACTTTAGCTAACTATAATGTTATTTAAACTACTGTAAATCGACTCCTTTTTTACTCCTCTAGTAACACTTAAACAACGGTATCTAGACAGTAGACTAAGAGCTAGATAGTACGTAACTCTGACTTTCTTAAGACCCTTAGAAATAAATCTATACCTATAAAGAGGCTTATAGCATATATTATAAAGGAGGTACAGCTATACTTTAAGGAGTTTAAAAGGTGTAAAGAGTACTAGGAGATACTAGATAAGGATATATTTAACTTTGATAAGACTAGGTTTTAGATTAGCATTACTACTAGTAAGAAGGTAATAGTCCCTAAGGATGCTTAAGTTACCTTTACAGCTGATCTAGATAACAAGGAGCTTATAACATTAGTTAAGACACTAAATTATAAGGGCAAATTAGTGCCTCTTATAATTATATTCTTAAGGGCCTACTACTTACGCCGCTACTTAAATCTTTTCACTCAGCCTTCCCTCCACATCACAATCCCGCGTCTACTGCTAGATGATAATAACCCATGGCTGGCTTTACTGATACTCTTCGAGGGGATGGGTTGGCTAGGGTTCAGAGAGCTCTAGCAGGATTAGAGGGAGATCCGCAGCGACTCGATCGTGCGAGAATACGGTTTAACAATTCTCCACCACCATATACATCAGATCGATCGGGTACGACAACTCGATCTCAGAGTCCAAATCCTCCCAGCGAGGAGCAGCGACGCCGTGAGGAGCGACGAATACAGCTGGGACGGGAGGCTGATGCGTCCCAACCACACGAACAATTCTCAGCACAGGTAGATGAAGAGAGGACGCGGATTTGGAATGCAGATCCGCGTACGAGTTGGAGGAGCATGCCTCCCGGAGATACCTTGATCAAAGAGGCCAGCGAAATCGTCAAGAAGCGCTGGGTCGAGCAAGGCATCTGGAACAGCAAATGGAACCAGTTCGCTTATGGGCGGTGGAAGCACGAAGAACCGCTTGAGCTTGAGTCGGAGACGGAGACGGACTCGGAAGCAGGACCCTCACCTCCTCTTTTTTCCTTTTTCCCAAAGCCGCAGAGGCAGCCGAAGAGCGATGACGAAAATCGACGGATTGTAGAGCGTCGAGTAATACGGAAGCGTGAACGTGAGGCTTCACGTCCATATCATCAGTTCCTCTATCAGATATCGAAGGAGCGTGAAAGAATCCAAGAAGAATCCGAGAATGGGGAAGGCGCTGATACTGCCGACATCAATACGAGGGCGTACGAGAATGTCAAGAACACCTGGACCAAGCGATGGATCTGGAACGGAAGATGGGGTATACTGCCTGGGATGTCGTGGAAGCATGAAGAGCCTCTTGAGGAGGAAGTCGCCGACGGTCCTGCTCCTGTTCTAGCGAACCCACATGTGAACAGCAGCCATAAACCGGGAGAAGCACCTGCTATACGTATTTTTGGGTCTTCTTCTCCTGTTCAATCAAATCATCGCCAGGTGTCTGGCGCCTCGAATTCATCTCAACAAGGACCGCCTGTAGACATTGATTCAGCCGGATCAGAGAATGGCGACGCCGAGCGCTCCTCCTCTACGTTGAATTCACCTCCCCCTAGTTCGGGTAAACGGTTTCTTCATCCTACGATGGGGCAGGCATTGCTGCCAAGTAAGAGAAAGGCCTCCTATAAAGATGGGCAGCCGGCAAACGCATCCCTTGGCCCAGTCCATTCATCAAAGGTCTCAAAAGCCGCTGGAAAGAGAAAGGGGCCTCAACGGCGACTGAACATCTCACAAAAGGTATCCTCTGATGGCTTGCCATTGTCTTCTGGTGTGGATGCAGCAGAACCGCAGCCCTCGCCTTCGCCTGACCGTATAGCTCCGCGCAGAAGCAAACGGATACAGCCCGCCTGTCCCTACCGTATCTAAGGACCCAACAAGGACAGCATCTACGAATCCCTCTAAACGCGCAGTCCGATCAAACCCAGAACGGAACGTTGCAAGCAGTCTGACAGCTAGAAGCTCCGCAAAGCCTTAGGGCATATCGAAGAAACAGCCTGCGAAGATTACGCGGGGGAGGGAAAGGAAAAATGATCAATTAGATACCCAACGGAGCCTTTGTATTTGATGTGCTGTAGAATTTGTTGTCACAAGCTTTAGTAGAGAGAACTATCCCTAGACCTAATATCAAAATCACAGTGAGAATTTCCAAAAACTTTGTTAAACTACGCTAAGTACGAGGTGAATGTATCCTATCTGATCCAATCAAACTGGTTGTAGTCAGGACAAAGTTCAAGGCTTTTATTTGATGCCAGTACGATTCGTGCCTTTTCTCCACGGTTAGACGTAGGTTGCGCCACATTGACACCCCTAAAACATCTTGCGATGGCGATCTCTAATGGTTTCTAATACCTGCAGCCCTAACGTACTAAAAACGGTTGCTAGGGTAATCGGTTGTTAGGTAAACCCCCCTCTATCACCAACCCATGCCACGTCAAGTGCTTCTATTAATCCATTACGTTTTTGCTATGCCGCAGTATAAGAACCTTCATCATCCTCTATACCGTTTGCAATAGAAGAAGCAGTCTCGTAAGATGGGCGTAAACGACGTTCAACATTCGAGCTAGCGAGCGAACGCGGGAGTGACAAACGGCGTAGGACGTGTTGTCATAGAGAAGATTGTGAATTAACAACTAAAGTATTGGCATAAGGGTCAACTATTTGTAATCTTGTAGGCGTCGTTAAAGGGCTACTCGGAAGAGTCGTAGCCTTAGAAGGGCAGCCGTCTAGCGCTATTAGCATAGATTATACACGACCAGACCTCGAAACGACAGAGTTGCCCTGCCGACAACTGTACAAAAGCTTTTGACAGAACAGACCACTTGTATTAGCATATCTAAGGCGTTTATAATAAGCCACATCTGAGTCTAACTTGCGTCCTGGATCAGAAATATTGCGTACTATGTAACAAGGATTTTAAACGACCGTGTAATCTTGTACGCTACAAGAAATCATTCTATAACAAGATATATATCAAGGGCCTATAAATTCGCACCCTATCCGGTTAGGTTCTTAAGAGCACCTACACTGCTAGACACCTCCTTAAACGAATCTGTAGATTAGGATAATCAAACAAGCAAGTAAGCTCTTTATCTGTATTGCTTGATTTCCTAATTGCTGACTGTGTTAGATCTAAGCAGGAGGATATTAGAGCCTTAGAAACCATACATACCTATTAAGGCACTGTACTAAATAGGTTAAACATCTTTTCTAATGTCCCTTAGAATATAACTTTACCTACAACTATTTTCTTAAAATTAGTACTTGCTTAACAACACTCTTTTCTAGCCTAAAAAGGTACTATATTTGTTTAGAAACACTATCTAAGTCGTTATTATATCTACTTAACGCTTTTATACGTTACTCTAGCAGGAGTTTAAGAGTAAATAGAGAGGAGGAAAAGGTTGTAAGTAAATTAGTAAAGAGAAAGGCAGAGAGGTAGGATGTTTATATAGAACATAACAAAGACCCCTTACTAGTAAGTAACTAAACAGGCGACAAGAACTAAACTAGATTTAGTATAAAATAATAATTAAGACAATAATTAGGACAGCCCTAGGCCTATATTAGGATAAGCCTACGTAACGTCCTAACTAGTAAACAAAGGCTACGCCTAATACACGTACAAAACTAGTACCTAAAGTAGTTATAAAAGTAATTTACGATATAAAGAGAGGAAGAGGCTTATAAGATTAGAATTTTTTATCTTAAGAGTTAAAAGAATAGTATATAAACAAATAAAGAGTAACCCTTAAGTAAGAACTAAGGTAACTATAGGTAGTTATTATTTTCTTATTTCTAATCTAAGAATAAAGTAAAGTACTAAGAGTAGTCTAGTATATATAAGGCGTACTATATCTATAGTAATATCTATAGGCTTATATAAAAGAGATAAGGACATAATAAAAAGACCGGTAATACTATAGTACCTTAGTAAGAGAGTTTTATTTTCTTTCTTTCTTATAGAACTATATGTATACTAAAACTTAGATTAAACTCTTATAGTACCTAGTATAAGTATTTAATAGAGGAAGATATTACTACTACTACGTTACTCTAGCTATTATAGCGACTTCTACTCTTTCTTAGTACTTAATTACTACTAATTAAAGCGACTAAAATATAGACTATATACGCTTATAAGACCCTTCTTTACCTTCTAACTTAATACACTCTTTAAAGAGACAGAATACAAGCTATAACGTTACTACCCCTCCTTACTTTAACTTAGGTAAAAGAGTAACAACTACTAATCTAGTGTCTTAAGCTATAAAGAGCTACCTTAACACTTTAAAAAAAGAGACAAAACTATAAAGTAGAATTATATACTCTTTTATAAATACTATAAACAACTTTATAATATAATAAAAGGCGCCTAATAAGTGTAAGCTAGCCCTTAACATCTATAGTAAGATTATTAAGTATTTCTTAATAGTAATATTTATAGACTCTAGTAACTTTGTCTTTTTATACTTTAAGAGCTAACCCTTTATAGTAGTAAATTCATGCTTTATTTAAATACTAACTCTAGGTACTATAAGAGTTATCTATATACAATTTCTATTATTATTATTATTATTGTTCTTACTACCTATGCCTAATATATATAGAACCTCTATACTATATAAATTACGTAGTAAAACCGTACTAAAGCTAGGTAAAAACCTATGTACTACCTCTTGTAAATACTTTATTATAGTACCGCTAAGGCGCTAGGACTTTATCGCTACCTTACTAGAACTTAACCTTCTAGCCTAGTAATACTAAACATACTAATAAGACGCTAGTAAGACGCTAGAAGGACGCTAGCCGCTAGCTAAGATTACTCTCCTTCTTTCTTAGCTAGGTAGCGCTTAGCTAGCCTAAACTATAAGAACTAGCTAGTAGATAGTAGCTAGCGGATTAGTACGCGCGCGCTCTTTTCTCTCTTTATTACTACTATAAAGTCGCGGAACGTCTATAGCGCCCTTAGGTAGAGTACTTACTATAAGGCCTACCGCTACTAGTCGAGCTACTAGTAGTTAAGGACTAGGTAAGCTACTGTCTCTAGGGCCTTACTATAAGGACACTAGGAGGTCGCTACCTCTAGTACTTTATGTTTAAAAAGAAAGGCCTAGAGCCTAACCTTACTAGTACAGATCTACGTTAAAAGTAAGCTCTTATACTTATAAAGGAGTAAGTACTTCTTAAGGGTATCTACTAAAAGGGCGGGTAGCGTGGCTAGGGCAGTACTCTAGTAGTACGCTAGTAAACTATTGTGTTAGGTCTATCGTGTCCTCTAGTTCTCTTATAAGGTCTCTTCTAGTAAGGAGTCCCTATACTAGTCCTTTGTCTATACGGCTTGGCCTACCTTATACTTAAGTAACGTATAGGGTAGCGCTATAATAGCGTTATAGTAGCGTCTCTAGCGTTATTAAAGGCAGGTCGCTACTCTATTATAGATAGACTATATAAGTTCGCCCTTACTTATACATTCTAGACGTTATTTAAAGTCTACTACCTTCTTATTAAAGTAGAGGTTAAGTAAAGGTATAGCTATTTTAGACTTAAGAAACTAAACAAGAGTCGTCTAGTACGCCTTTACGATAACGTAAAGATACTATAACTACTTTATAGTAAGGTCTTTTATAATCCCCTTAGCTCGTTACTTAAAAGGGCGGTACTAGACCCTTACGCTATATACTATAGCGCTCTAGATTACTTTTATATAGATCTTCCTTACACGTAGTAGGCTATATCCTTACGTAGACATAGTAAGCCTTATAAGTACAAACTACTAGGTAGCGAACTTTTGTTTAATAGTATTAAAGTAGCCTTTCTACCTAAGCTTCTAATCTATCTAAACTCCTAAAAAGCAGGCCTCTTAGACTAGGGGTATAACCTAGCTGTTAAGGTAGATAAGCGTCGTTAGTATAGTGTAAGTGTAGGTAAGGTAAAAAAGCTTACTCTTTTTAAGGACAAACTTTATCTTTCTTATACACGACTACTAGCTACATGTCTACTACGCCCCTTTAAGGTACTAGTATGTCTCTATCGTGTCTTTACTAAAAGCTAAGAGATTAAGGTTATTAGTAAACCTTATTATAATAAGGCTTATATATCTTTATAATAGTATATATAAGCTAGTAGTATAGAGAAGAAAGAGGATAGAGAAGAAGGGCAAGCCTTATAGTACTCTTATAGTAACTTCTTAAGGTAGCGCTACCTTCTCGTTAAAGAAGAGGCTAGCTGTCTAATTAGCGAGAAAGCTATATACTTACTGTACGGCCTATATAAAGAACCTTAGGTATTAGAGAGTATAGAGAAGGCGTATATAGTTTACTATATTAAAGGCGCCTTTAATGTCTAGTTAGAAGAAGGACGTTATAGCCTTATAGCTTTACGCTATATATATAGCGTTAACTACTATTTTAACTATAAGGTCTATTAAGCGTTACGGCTAGTTTCTTATCTATGTTTCTAGGAGAAGCCCTTACGACTTTATAGCGTTAGTAAAGCGCTAGCTAATTACTAACTTAATTACTTTACCTATCGCGCTTAAGAGTAATATTAGCCTATAGGCCCTAGCGGTTTATTACTGTTTAAGGGTCTTTCTAGGCTTATATAGTACTACTACCTTTACTACTTTAAACTACGCTAGGACGTGCCTTAGCTAGAGGCTTATAGTTGTTACTACTATAAGAAGCTTAGCTAAAGGGCGCCTATATACCTTAAGAAAGCTAGTAGGTAGTAGGTTAGGTCTTAGCGCCTTTTAGGTACCTGTCTTTTAGAGAACGTTAGTAATGTCTGCCTTTATTATAGTGTCGTTAATAGTAAACCGCTAGTACTACTTGTCCTAAAGGTCTAGAACAACGTTACTAAGATTAGCTACTAATTCTAGAAAGAACTACTAGCCTAATACTATTACTTTGTTATAGTAGCTTGTAGCTAGTACCTCTTTATTAGCGCCCTAAAGAAGAGAGAGTAAGGCCGGTTTTAAGGGCACGTAGCTATAAAGCCTAGTCTACTTTTTAAGACTCTAGAGTTTTTGTTAGTCTTTTAAGGTAGTAGTAAGGGCGCTACGCTAGCTCTTAGTCTTTATATCTTAGATCGTCCGGAGTTAGTAAGTACTAGCCTACTAGAGGTCGCGCTAGTAAAGTTTAG